TTTATTGAAAAAGAGGCATAGTATATGTATGAAGAGCCCTTTGAACAAGTTCATCTAAAATTCCAACCCTGGATGCTAGTTGAAGTTTCAAGAGGAGAGCAATCACTACTTTTTTGTCGTTCATTTCACAACATTGGGAAAGACAAGCTTGAAAGAAGTATGTGATTTGAATTCCTCCAAGTTAGAATCGAAGAAAGGATATAATTATTTCAGCGACACCATTTATAACAACAGGCACAAAGAGGGATGATTTGTTGGAAAAAATGGTTTCTTATAGATTTTTTTTAGGAACATGCCTTACTAAGAACAGTAAGTTACAGCCCTGTAAGTTTGAGTGTGTTGAGGGATCACCCTGGAACAGCATACATTTTTGGCTAATTTGTCTCCTTCATTGAATTAAAATTAAAAAATTCAAAGCTAATGACATTGTTTTTGTGTTCCAATTAAGAGAATTCGTAGACAGGCGCAGAAGTTCAGGAATTTGACCTGAAATTTGGTTTGATTTTCACATCTTAGTTTTCTAAATTTGGTTTATGATGAGAGCTTCATATAAGTTTCGTATAAAAACAGATGTAACTCAATTGTGGCTCAATGTAATTTTTAATTCAAAAAGTGAAAAAAGAAAAATATCCTTCTTTTTGTCTAGATATATCTTCAACACAGCACACACAACACATAGTCTGACACAAGTAAGATATGGACAAAACCGTTCATTCTCAGTTTACCACCAGTTGGAAAAACTTATAATGGTCATAATGAGAGAAAATAACAGAAATTATCTCCCAACTATATCATCTTAGCCATTTTCTTACATTTCCGAACTTGTCTTCTAAATTATTGAGCCTTGTTTCCAAAAATTGTAGATTTTCTTTGTTTTATTGCCTCGATTTCAAATTGGCCAGACCTGGCTTTTTTCGTAACCGATTTTGGCTTCTCTGCTAGCAGCACAAATGTCTTAAAACATCGAAAACTTGCTAATCTGTAAACAATACAACAAGTTTGACATTTTCTTTGAAGGAAGGGTTCTTTTTCTCTGTGTTTCACCCTGCCTCTTATGGTAATGTTATTAATGCTAGGTTAAGAGATCGGACAATGACAGGACTGTCGTTAGCTGTTGTGCTCAAGGGAGTTGCTCCGCTCAAGGGGTTTTTGAGATAAAACGTTATTCAAACTTGCATTTTACAGTAGCTCAGTCTCAGCTTGTTCTTAATTTGTTCTTAACTTTTGGCCAATTTTGAGGCTCGTGTTCTTATAAAATTGTTCTTATAAAAAAAGAGTGTAGCTCTTGAAAATTTGCATTGCGTTGCAAGGCTATTAAATGCTCTTGACTTTTCCATCACAATTTTTGAACTAGAGTTCATCCTCCCACTTCTTTTCAAAAGCTTCATTCCTCTTTTGCTCAGTGCTTTAAGTATGCAGAGAATATGTTTATTCAACATTAATATTTAAATGACGATAGAATATTATTGGTTTCTTGCAAAGACTGTCAGTAATGTGTACACAACTTCCATGCAAATCGGCCAATCTAAGATTGCATGTTTGTATTTACCTGCCGTTGTGTTCAGTTGTAACATAGAAAGCTATGCAAAACCTGTTTTCGATCAGAAACGAAAACTGTGTGTCAAGTAACAGGTTGCATACTTTTTACAAAGGACCTATTTTGTTCTTTGTTGAAGAACCCGCTGACTTTGTAAAACGTACAAAGAAATTGCACCTGTCATCAATCAACGCAACCTGCATTTTTTCTCTCAAACTTGCACATTGTCTTTATATACATTGCCTAGTATCTTGCACTCCTGAAATATGTATTTCTTTGCAATTTGTTCTTTTCTCGCATGTTACAAAAAATTACTTGTCTTCTAAAGGTAGACTATTGTACACGGAATCGAAGCAAGACATCAAAAGTTCTTTCCCATTGCCTGATCTGTTTCCAATTTAGTTTTATAAAACATATCGAGACGATTTTTAGTACTATTTAGTGCTTTGCAGATGGCCCCTTTCAAGAATTTGGTTCCCGCCCTCCTCCTTCACAGGGGCAATACGGAATGTAGAAATTATGAGTTTGCATAAATCATCACACTTAACATCGTGGAACGAAAAAAATCGTAAAAATTCAAAGCCAACCCATCACTACAACGGGAGCCAGTCTGGTTTGCTCCCTCTTCTAATTAACTTACCAATACACTTTTTCTTAATGTGCAGAATTACTTTATTTTCGCATAAACGCTCGTGCTCCAAATACGTTTTCGATGAACTGAAGCAGTGCACTAATCTCAGTACATGTCTTTTAAGTTTCGGCAAAGAAGCCGTTACCGTTGTGATGAAGGCTGAGAGCCTTTAGCTCCCCAAAAAACCGAGTGATTCAGGTGAAGATTGCAAACAGAATAATCAAAGAAGTTGACTTTAATTTGGTATTTTTGTAAACTTATTTCATAATCGCAGTTATTCTCTTTGTTGCCAGGGGTGTAAAAAAGAGCTAGTGCTGGGACGAAGACTTCATGCTTTAAGCGTCAAAAGGGCTAGTGAAGATTCCTAAAGAAGATCTATGTAAATGACATGTATTTAGAACCTATCGCATATTATATAACATGAACGATGTTGGATCCCAAGGCTCGAGCTGGCCATTGATGGTCCAGTCCTTTGCCATTGAAGAAAACACGTCTAGGCACATCTCATAAAGCAACTTGGTGTCCTGGGCTTTTATGTAGATATACCATGTAACTTACATGATGTAACTGCATGGCTTGGTTTGGTGAAACCAAAATTTGTTAAACATTCACTCTGCTCATTGATATCAAACACCTTCTTTCTTTATCTCATAACTAAGTAGCTATTTATAATTTTTCTGTTGGTTAGCTCATACCACCGAATGCAAAGGTAATGTCTTTTCAAACTAAAAACAACAGTCCAAAGGTAGATCAAGCTTTCTCTGAGCCTTTCCAAATGGAGCTTGAAAAGATTTTCCCTAACTCAGAGAAGTTTTTTGGCCATAGCTTTTCGAATACGTACAGAATGATGTTAATACAAGGACAAACTAGCATTGGGTATGTACTCAAGTTCAAAGGCTTTCATAATAATTTAAATTTGTACTTGACGACTAAACAACAATTTATGAAGCTTTTTTAAAGGAAACCTTTTTCTTTAAAGACAATTTTAAAGTACTTATTGGATGCAAAATATAGATTCTAAAATTCTTGAATTTTTCGAAGATCTTTTCCTCATGTTTATTTCTCTAGAGCAATAAAAACAGATTTGAAGGTAAGATTTTGAAAACTATTATTCACTTACCTCTCTTACAGGTAGCCATTATTCGACGAATACCTCCGACCGTGAGAATAATAATCATGCACTTCCTATATCTTTCACTAATTCAAAATAAATATAAGTCCACTTAGCTAAACATTTGAACACTAAAAGAAGGTTAAACATCATAGCACCATCTCCCTTGTAATCTATTCGAAGGGCAATTAGCTGCGGGGACAAGCCTTTGTTTGCATGAAGAGAAGAACAATAGCCTATTGTTCAAACAATTAAAAGTCATTTGGGCTGGAGGGACAACTGCCCCCCTAGTATGTTAAAGAAGGCTGAATTCTCCCTGAAAAAAGATTTGGTATTAGTGATAAGGGCTTTAATTTTGCTAGGAAAAGTTGAGGGAAAGAGTTTAGAAAAGGGTATGAATTACAGAGTCAAATGGCAAGCCAACCAAAAGCCCTTCAACGGATGTATTAGCCAGATGGCTGCATTTTTGGACGAAATTCAGAGTGAAGATCTTTAAGAAAAGCTTTGATCTTTAAAAAAGTCTCTGAGTGAGAAGTTGAGGGGGAAGGGGAGGGAGTATGAGGGGGTTGTGAAAGAGAGGCCATTACTTTGAAAAATCTTCATGCTAGTCACATTCGTCAGCGCGTTAATTGAAAGATATGTTCGGTGCACAACTTAAGCTTTAAAGTCGGTAACTGATTGCTCCTAATAGACAATATAAATATCCAATGGAAATTCATAGCAAGATCTTTCACGGAGTTTATTGGCATTTAAAAAAGAGGCAACAGATAAGGTGGAGCTGGAGTGTCCATGATCCCCATCCCCTAAAAGTTTTTAAAAATCATTTTAACTATTTTCTTTTTTCATGTCAACAAAGTAAGTATAACCATTTATTGGTTCATATTGTCCATTTTTTTCAAATAAGCATGGATAATTTTTCCATCCAGCTTGCATTGTCATCGACATGTAGCATACCTGCAGTAAAAGGTATTTTAAGATTTTTTAGCATATCATTGTTGAAAGAACAGTCTTAGTGGCCATGTAAGAAGTCATGACAATTTTCAATGATGATCAATGCAGGAATCATACACAGAAGATAGCATTATAAAGAACGTATAGGCATTCAATAATGACAACATTATTGTCCTGGTTTTAGCGTGATTTTTTGCTAAGATTCCTAGCCAAAACATGAATTATAGCCGCATATATGATAAAGGTGTTAAGGGCTATAGAATTTCATTCTGAAACTCATTTTCTGTCTCAAGAAATTCACTTATAAGAAACTGCAGGCTGACTTTTTCAAGGCTATGTAACGGCAAAGTGCAAAGAACTGTTCGGTCTCAATTTTCCCGTTTCTGAAAACTGTTAATTTTGTTTTCCAGAATCAAACTAGCTTTCAATTTTTGTTAATTAAAACACTGCTCTCCAAAACTATTTACTTTCTGCCAAAATGTATAATTGCCATTTATTTTCAGGATGGTCCTGCTGTTTTCTCAATAACATAAGTGATCAATTTTTAATAAGAAACTTATCAGCCTCTTCTTCAAAATTTACTCCTTTTACAAGAAACTGTACAGTCTGATCCCGAAAAAACGAATCCTTGATATGCGGGGTTTCAATGTTTTTGCATTGCTATAACCAAAAATATTTTGTTCAGTTTTTTCTTCTTTGTTGAAGAAAGGCAATGTTTTGATCGGATGCTCCTTCACATTGATCAATTATGCTGCGTAACAACGTTCATCCGGGACTTTTTACGATTGAAAAGCTCTCAAGCAAACGTTGCTGCTTTTCCAAAATGGAGAACATTTCACAGCTTTGTTTGTGTTGCTTTGAAATGATCGATAGAAACCAAGTGCAAAGTAACTAATTTCCAGTTGGATATTATGTTTATCAACTTAATCGGGTATGTATCATTTCTTTAACGATTTATAAATAATATATGTGTAATTTATGACGCATTGTCTATGGGTAAAGTCGCAGTGATCTGGCCCAGCATTTGTGAAAGCGGGCTCCATTTCTGTTGTGTTTTGTGTATTCACTCTCTCAACATGTGATTCTCCCAACTGGCAATTAAATCCTATCCTCTTATCACTACATCATCACAATTAGATTGTCAGTCATTCACAGTTTTTTATTATTTCCCTTAGATGCCGGTATACGAAATGAGGAGTCATTGCCACTGGACATCATTTGAAACGAACCAGACGCAAAGGCAATTCAGGAGGTAGGCAAAATTTAGAGCTCCTCGCCACGATCAGGTCCGCTCGCAGTGGAAGAGCATGGCCTTTTTCGCCAACGTACACAATCATAATTGTTACAAGTATAATCATAGTCATGCAGTGGAAAGCCAGATGGCGGCCTTTTTCCATCGCAACAAACTGGCATTTTTAGGCCTAAAGTAATGTTAACTTCCTGGAATAACCCTGCGACTAATCATTACTTGCTAAGAATAGTGACAGAAATCAGTCATTCGGTTGTGTCTAGACTTACGTGTTGAAACTATTTCCCACCACGGATATCAATATTTTGACTTACAGATAAACATCTAAGTTTTGACGATTAATTCTACGCCTCCAATACCCGTTTCCAAATAAAGATTTTTTAGGATACCTCAACGCTTAACTAACTTGATTTGTTTCACGGATTAGCTCGACAATATGTTTTTTCTGCAGGAATGGCCTATGCTAATTAGTCGCTCGTTATTTTTTGTATGATGATTCCAGGAGTCTTGAATTTGAATGTTTGAGGGCACCGCTGATTCCATTTTGTGGCCAAACATTGCGAATCTGTTTTAGGCTTTCATCTCCGGACGTCCTTAGAGAAGTTAAGTTTATGCACAGTCGACCGCATTCATTGCTATTACCACTAGTTTCTCTTCAACTGATTCTTTTGCTAGAAGCCTCCATAAACTCTTCTTCTTTTGCTAATGACAGTTTCATTTCGCCCCGAAATCATTCTGGATTAAACCGGACATAGCTGACAAGTTTTGCTTGATTCAGCAACACCCTTTTATGTGGTTATCTAAGTGATTAGTACTCTTCTCTACTGAACCTTTCATAAAATTATTTGCAATTTTTTGAGAACAATGCTGTCTAAAATATTTAATGATCGTACAAACTTCATGACAATGTTGGAATAGGAAAGTAGGCTTGCAATATCAACGCATCGGAGGTCGGTCGGGTTGATCTTTGCTGTTAGGTAGGTGTGACTTGGTTCTCTATCACTCTGGTAGAATGATACTAACATTTGTGTACATTTAAAGCATTTGATCTGAATTTACAACGTTTTTATCTGCTGTTTTGTTGGACATGCGTGTTAGTTTTGCTTGTGCGGCCTAATACGTCCGATGGGTTTTATAGGCCTAATGATTCGTGACAAGTTTGACCTCAGTAAAAGTTCTTTTCTTCGTCGCATTTATGTCATCGAAGCGAGTGGCATGCGTTGAAATTTTTGTATCGTTTTTTCATGCTTAACTCCAGACTTTAGGTTCTCGCTGGGTTTTGTTGATGTGATATTTGAACAGCCATAACGTTAGTTGTTGCCACATGGATAGTCCAGGTGTGCTGTCATTGTGCAGTTTTCTGACATATTGTGAGCTCTTTAACGTAAAATGATTTTTAGTTAGAACTTTCGATGTTAATTTATCCAGTGTGCTCTTAGGGAACGATTGTTTAAACTCATAATTATATTCTGCTATAGATTAAACACCAACCTGGTGGTTATAGTTGTAGTTAGGGTTTGAGTAGAATCATGATTGCATAACTTGAGGAATAAGTGATCAAAACTGAGTCAAATAAAATATAACAGTTTTCAAAGTTATTAGCTTTATTCTTGTTTTCTTTAAAAGGAATTGTTTATTTTCTTGTTTTAAAGACCCTTATTCTAAGACCTTTGATATTGAATATGTACAGTAAATTTAATTAATGTATTTACAGGTTATATAGGCTATAAACATCATGAGTGGTTTGATTTTTGTATGTACAAAACATAGCTTTTTCTTTTAAGATGATATTTTTTATAAATATTTATTATTTATTTGACTTTCCTAATTACTTTTAAAGCCTTTTTATCAGTTTTCTTAAAATATTTAAGGCAATAATGTTGAAGTTTTTATAATTCAAATCTTGAGGTTTTAAATGTTAGAAGCCCTAAGGATCTTTTCATTGAACCCATCGGCAAACACTACCACAAGTTATACACATCCTCTTTATGTGTAATTTTATCTCTTTGAGTTCAATTTTCCATTTCACTGCAGAGTAGAGAACCAAAGATTGAATCACTTTTGATATAAATATAATGGTACTAGCCAGCAGTAACTATTTCCATATTAAATATGTAGTAACAGCTGCCATTCTTTTGATAAAGATGGAAAATGCGAAATAAAAAAGTTTTGACATTGATGTTAGTGGAGTTAGTGTGGTGTAGATTGGTGTTTTAATACAAATTGTGTTTCTGATTTTAAATAGTTGTTCAAAAGTTTTGTTGTACCCCATCTGTTGCTTGTCTGGAAAATAATTTTTTCACTGAGAACTGAAAAATTCTTGCAGCTTTTATAGCAAGAAAGACACAGTTCATATCCTTACATCTAATGGAAATCATATCATATTTTTTCATGATTATTTTTCCTATTAATGTTTGTAAAATTGATTATCATCCTTTTCATTTCTGTTTTTTATGTTTGCTAGCTCATGTTTGCTAGCTAGCTTATGTTTGCTACTTCAACTAATTTTGGAATAAATATTGTACTACTTGCTGCTGTTACATCAAGCAGCCTTCTAAATTTTCATCTTTTTGCTCTTCAGTTTTTTATTCAAATCCCCTTGGTCTTTTGAAATTAGAATGGGTGGATACTGTTCCTTGTAAAAATGCCCCTGTTTTGGGAAGTCTGGTTTATTCTAATAACAAATGCTGACAGAAACTTACTCAAGATTTGGTTAGAAATCCTTGCCTGATCTATAGCATGCAATTCTATCAATAAAGCTTTCACACTGGTTTGATTTTGCAGGCAATTACAACTAAGAGTTTGACCTATTATTATACCAGGAATGTTAGTTATATATCTTAGTTATTATACCAGGAATGGTATTCTTGTAACCCCGACAAGCTAAATTATGATATAGTACATAAGGTTTTACCCAGACTATCAGACAGGATGGATTATGAAAGCCTTGAAGATACCATCACTGAGATACTTAAGCAACACATACCAATAAAGAAAAAGTATATACGTGCCAACGATGAACAAAGAATTACGAAAAGCAAATATGCATCGTTCTAAGTTAAGAAATATATGTAATAAGACCAAAACTGAGGAAAACCTCATTGCATACAAAAAGCAAAGAAACAAAAGTTTGAATTTACTCAGAAAAAGAAAACATGATTATTTTAGAAATGATCCAAAGAACATTACCGATAACCGTAAATTCTGGAAGTCTGTCAAACCAAACCAATTAGGCTTACATGGGGCTTAATCAAAGTTAGTTTGGGATAATTTTGTAATTGAAGATTTTGTTGGTTGTTTGTTTGTTTTCTTGTTTTTATTCTTATTTTATTTTGCCCGGCAACTTCACTACATTTATATCATGTTAAGTTTTATCTGAAAGAACAATTCTCAATTCCTATTGGGTTTGTTCAAAGTCAAAGTTATATCCTGGATAAGTCAAGCAAAAGCAAAGTGATTTTATAACCCCCCACCCTCCCCCCTTAAAGTCTGGCTAAGCAAGATTCAACTTGATCACAATGTATCTAACTACAAATGTGCTCTGATACATTTTCAGTTAAAGCTGTCTTAAGCTTTTTCTCACTTAATCTTTCAACAATATTGGTAGCGCTTGGTGTAAGGTTTTTTAGAACTCAGATTCCGATTCCCTAGATATTTCATACCTTCAGCTGGAATGCTGAAAATTGTTTAGGTGTGGTAATTCTGGTAGCTTATTGAATTTGTCTGTTCTAACTGTATGTAACAATTTAATCTACTCCTTTTGAGATACAATAAAGCTTGCCATTTAGTGTGTCAAACCCTTTGAGCCAAAAATTAGTTGCAGACATCAAGTTTAAAAGAAATGCATTATTTATTTTTATTTGGTTTCTCCCAAATCATCACAATGTTAATACCATGGCAGTATGATTTGGAATAAATTCCAATTTAAATGAGGCTAGTTTGGGGAAGTTTTTTATTATCTTTTCTCCCATTCAGTTCATATATGTCCTTTAAGAAGGCTAATAGCGCCCCACAACAAGTCCTTTTTTTAAAACCTGAAAGCCTAGTAGTGCTGTTAACTGGGATATGAGGTTAAAAGAACTTCAGGGATATGAGATGTGGAAGAACTTGATGTGGTATAATTTCTTTCAAACTCTATTTTCAGAAGTTTTGGGACATCTAAAGTGATATTTTAGGAATTGAATGAGGGTCCCAGGAAAAGGAAATTTGTTGCCCTTTACGACACAAACTCGAGTGATTATCAATTTGTTGTAAGCTATGTTTCATGAGTGTCAAAGTAAATTTCTATTGTTGTATTGTTTTACTTCCATGGAATTTTAGATTGTACTTTTAATGTTTTTAAGGTTTTTCTGGTGCTTTTTCAAAAACAAGTTCCTAATTTTGAAGTTTATAAAAGCTACAAAATCTAGCTACCAAAATGTTCTTATATTTACCTATCTCTGTGAAACTTTATAATTCTCTGAGCAACTAGCTGTGATTTTGAGGCTGTGAAATGTGTTCATTTGCTGCAAACATACTTGTGGTTGTGTTAGTCTATGTATGAGTCATTTATTTAAGTCCTTTTGATTCTTTTACCAGTTGGCTATTTGAACTCATCTTGAACATTTTTACAACTTACACACAGTAATTGATCACTGAATTTAACATCTTTGGCACTGTACGAGCATGTGCAAGGCTTATAGCTGCTAAAGCTATTGTCTAGCTTTCCAGTTTGATTCTCAAAATACTACAGTTATTGGTCCTTTTCATTGGTTTATAACACTGAGCTTCAAAACCTATTGATATTGCAAATTCTGATTACTTAATTGATATGGACATTGCAAAATTGATAATTTAGTTCAACAGTTTCCTATAATTTAGAAGAAAAGCTAGTTAGTTTTCTCAGAATTTTCCAAACCAAATATATTGCATTGTGGTGTTATTAATCATTTTGGCTGCCCAGCCTTTAACTTGATTTGCCATGCAAAAAGTATTTTTATTGTTCTATCTTCCACTTTCTATTTCATGCTACTTTTCTGCTCATGTTGATTCTCTTCCCAAAGAATTTCACTTTTGATGATGAGATCTTAGTTAATTTGAGAAATCTTCCATCATTTTACAGTTACACTTTCTAAACATATAGGTGCAGATTAAATTCCAACAAACTCCTCGCTATTGCAGAAATGTATGATTCTGCGTGAAGTCTAATCTTTAAAGCCAATATTGCTGTTCTGCCTGATGCTTGTAAATCTTTGCAGACTTACATAGTAGTTCTCAAGTATTTAACAGTTTGATCAATCCCATCTCTAGAAGGGGACGACCCTTGTTAAATACACAAAAAAGAGATTTGCTTGAGTTGGCTGGTTCTTGTTCTTTTTCTTGTTTCTTTTGTATTATTTCTTGAGGTTTGGAGAAGCTTTATATCCAAGAATGGTTGATACCATAGTTACATTTGTGGTGGCTTTCATGCGAAGTACTTATTGTCCTTGTTCCAGCTTATTCAGGTGTTCCAGTGCTCATTCAGGTGAATCAACCACTTCATTCACTGCATGATTGACTAGCCTTGGTGTATTAGCGCTCTTCGTGTCTTGCCAAGTGAACCATTTTGTGGTTTTTCGGTGACTGAATTTTACATTTATTGATGGCCAGTTTTGATTTTGGTCATTAAGAAGTAATACGAATGGCCATGCGCTAATGCCGCTAGTTTTTCTCTTCTACATTAGATTATCCGGAACAAATTAGCATTTTGTATATTTATTGTTGACTTAAGGGGAATTCTCAAGGAAAGAAGATAAGCCATAGAATTCCACTAATTAACGCCAAAATTCCTATCCATTATTGAGTGGCTTTTTCTTGAAAAACTGTCGTCTTGAAGTTTATTGTTGCCTGAATTAGGTCTAGCTGTTGCTTCTTATCTTTTGCTGTTCCTTATCTCACGACCGTTTGAAATCAAAACCCCGATAACGGTTTTTACAAAGTGTGCACGCTTTGGCTTGAAATTTCAGTGATTTAAACGCAAGAACGATCCTGAGGGGTTGCGTGGTACTCAATCTTCTGGTTGTTCTGTACAATCACGATCTGAATCAACTCTCTCATCAAAGTTTACAAAATGAGAGCAGAACCACACTCGAGTATATAGAGCTTTAAATTGAGATGGGTCTTTCTGGTTTTGAAATAAAAACATCGTTTTTGGAAAAAGCTTCTAACGACTGAAACTAGCGAGACGTGTTTATTTTTCTTTTAAAGTCCTTTTTGGGTTATTGATAATACAAGAACCGCAAAAATCCCAACCATATTTTATTCACACTCAGCATGTCCCTATTAGAAGTTACGTTCCTGTTTTACGTCCCGGTGAAAGACAGCTGCGTTTTTGTATTTTAAAGTCACTTTCTGTTTCATTTAGATTTTTTTAATGTCACAAATGTTATGAGTACATTAAACTCGACAGCTAGATTAAAACATGCCTTCTTTGTTAAGTGTATCATTAGCTTGAACTCCGCTGTTTATTATGTATTTCAAGTGTACATGAAAACACAGTGATTAATTCCTTAGCATTGCTTTGGCATAAGAAGGGACTATTAAAATCAGGTCGTTCTCTTCATTTTCTGCATTCAAAAGATGCTAGAATTCTCTGTTTTAAAGTCAGTTCACGTTTCCCTTGATAGCTTACATAGCTTACTTGATTGGCCAATTACAAAAATATGATTCCTAAATTGCAAGTCCGGTTATTTTGCAAGAAATGCTGAGCTGAGACGGACAAGTTTGAGGCAAAATATTGCCACGTAGATTTGTTGTCTATGTGGAGCACAATGCATGAGCCAATTATGATTTTCTACTATGCTCTCTTTAACCCGACGTCAAGCTTTTTCGGGCCTAGCCGCGTCTCAGATCATAGGTTAACTTTCTTGCATCTTCATGATGTTAGTGTTCGCTGAATTGTATTGTTTATTTATTTCTGATTTTCAGATGACGGAATCCGAGGAATATTCGCACAGAAAAGTAGATTAGCTGAGAAATAAGGCCTCAGAATGAATAACAATTTTATGGGGTATTTTGGCCCCAGTCACAATAGCATGGGCATGAGCCCCGATTTCGGGAGAGGCCCTCCTGGGCAGCAAGGTGGATTTGGTGGCCTGCCTCCAAATATGAATCCACACGGGGGTCTGAATATGCCAGGTTTCCAACATCACCAGAGGCTACTTCATTACGAGAATAATCACATAATGGGTCCGCTGTCTCCAGGCATGTCAAGCATGCCCCCCGGCTCCGGTATAGGGCCGCCGTCAGGGCGCTTGATGGATATGAATTTTGCTCGCTTGCAACACTATAGAGCTACTCAACAGTCCCACCTTCAGCATTCACCTGGCTCGCTATCGCCAATGCCCGGCATGAGTTCTGGTCTCCCAAGCCAAAGTCCGTACGGTTTGCGAATGCCAAATCTCGCCCCAAAGCAGCAAATGCTAGAGGCCAGACTTCAATCAAGTCTTGGAAATGGTATCACAAGGTGGCCTCGTATGCCATCAGGCGCTGGGCTGACGAGACCGCAAATGCCACAGCTGCTGATGAACCAAGGCCCGATGCCGATGCTGCAAAACACTAATGAGTTCCAGCTGGGTGGATCACCAACCTTCTCAAGTGCTGATATGATGCGATATATGAAAGTAGATGGCGACGAAATTTATTCTGCTCCAGGTATGTCAATGAATTCTTTCGATTTCCCACCACCATCACATCAGTTTCAATCAAGTCAAAATCCATTTAGTATGGATTCGCAGATGAGTCAGCCCCCTCCGCTCAAGCAGAGTGATGGCAGCCAAATGCCAGCTATGTCTCCGAGTCCTTTGTCATTTGGACAGCCACAGTCGTTGGGCTATGGACCACCTGTATCCAAGTCTTTTGTTGACAGTTATTCGAAATTCATGAATCAGGTCCCACCACATTCCCCAAAACTGACTCATTTTGGACCAAGTCCAAACAACGATATTTTTGATCAGCCGTCAAACCCGCTCACGCCGCTGACTTCGCAGGAAAAATCGCCATTTTCGCCATTTGGTGGAGGTGGAACATTTAATGATAATCTAAACTCGCCAGTTGGTATGAGAAACATGCCACAATCATTGCCAATGCAATCATCATCTCCTGTCATCCAGACAAGCTCGCTGAATCTGCGCTCCCCAACCAAAGTCAACCCATTGCTAACTCAAATTCAGCAGCTAAAACAGCATATCTCTCAGTTAGAGGATAATCCAATGAGCCAAGGTTCTCCAGATGTATCATTGCTTAAACAACAGCTAGAACATACCTATATGCAGTATATTAGCCAGCAAAGATCAAACGACTTTCCTCCAATGAAGGACTCAAACAGAGTGCCCCAGCCGCATGACTTTTACCTTGATAAGCCGCCAATGACACCACGACCCCAAACCGACTATTCTATCGATAAACCCCCTCCCACTCCTCGACCTCAACCCACAATAAATGACTTCAGAATGGAGAAAATGCCGAAGGGGCCAGTTAGGGGAATGCCTCCAAACGACTTCATCTTGGAAAAAAGCTTAAGTCAGCCACATCTACAACAAGATTTTCTGTTGAAGAAATCCCCACAGACACCAATCGCACCTCCGCACCACGATATTTTTGACAAACCCCCGATGACGCCAAGGCCGGTGTCACAGCACGATTTTATGATGGAGAAATCACAGCAACAATTATCTCAGAGCGATTTTATGATAGACAAACCACCACCAAATACACGACAAAAACCTCAGCATGGATTTGTGTTTGGAAAGCCACAGTTACCTATGTCCCAGCACCAGCTACCCTTATCGCAGACACAGTTACCCTTATCACGTACTAATATGCAATTATCCCAGTCGCAACTTCATCTCGCTCAGTCGAATTATTTCGATAAGCCTCCGCACACGCCGAGACCTCAGCCTATGCAGCAGGAATCTATGTTGGACAAACCTCCCCCGATTTCGCATCCAAATGCAGGAGCAGATTATGTTTTAGATAAAATGCCACCGACTCCAGGATCGTTACCATCTAACCAAACACAGTCGAATTTCAACATGGTCAAGTCCCCAGTTAGGACGCAAGCACCAATACAGCTATCGATGCAGCAACAGCCACAGAGGCCTTCTCATATCCCTTTACAGTCTCCACTGCGATCTCCTCCGGCGTTCTTCTCACAAGCTTCACAGTCACCATTATCAACAATTTCAACTCCAATCCATTCGGTGTCACAACAGCAAGATAATGATATCGATCTTAAAGACGATATTGCATTACTCGATGAATTATTACAAACTAAACTGAATGAGCCACCTGAAAAACAGGAGCCTTTAAATCAAACTGCTTCCCGAACGAATTCCATGAGCAGGCCAACAAATCCAATGCCTGTGCTTGATGGTATGCCATCATCGGCAGCATCACCAACCATACCACCAACAATGCCTGTTTTAGCACCATCTGTCCCACCTCCTTCGTCTATGTCAAAATATGAAAATGCTTTGCATGACCCGAGTCAAGGTATGATGCAAAACGTAATGCCATCGATGCCAATGCCTTTCCATATGCCAATGTCTGCAGGGCCGATGTCTGCAGGTCCGATGTCTGCAGGGCCGATGTCTGCAGGGCCGATGTCAATGGGTATGCCAGACAATTCCATGATGTTTCCTGGGATGTTTGGTCTGAACTTCGGAATGATGCCAACAGGTAGGCCGCCTCATCTCAAACAGCCAGGGATAAAAGAGAGGTCTAAAGCGAATAAGAACTCTGCTTCTAAAAGCTCTGGGTAAGTTTGAGATATCCTTTTATTTTTTTAATTGTAATCGTATTTATTTGATTGAAACATCCCACATTTATTGTTTTATTAAGTTCACATATATTTGTATTCCGTTAAAATTGAGTTGTACGGTGTCTGTGTTCTTTGATTAGGGTTTCCCCCTTTTTCGACCGTTAGACCTAGCTGTTTAGGAAAACTTAAACCAATCATTCATAGCCTTAATTATGTTGAATAGACATTTATGCTGCAATGCATTAACCTATGGTTTCAAGGTAATCAGCTTGAGGGCAAGAGGTAATAAGGTCCATACCTTGTTCTATCCAGTTTAAATGCATTTTTATTTGACATCTTATTTCTACTCACCCCCACCCCAAAGCACTCTAATTGCCTTAGGACATTGCTATGGTCCTAAATCGCAAAATTGGCAAATGTGGATAATTTTTGTTTGTATTTGGCTGGCGTAATGACGCATCTTTTCTGCCACTGCTTCTTTTACTACAATATCCAAGCTCTAGTTTTACCATGACATGATTTCGTTTGTTCTAACAGCCTGGCCTCTGCGCCTAAGAAGAAGAAAGTGCGCAGGAAATCCTCAGAGTCAGACAACATACCAGCATCGCCAAAGACTCCAGTAACACCAGCGACCCCGAATTCGACTTCAGGCACGACCGTCATTAACCCGTCTTCAAACGTGTCCAGCGTCAATTCAGGCGAGAGCATTGCAGCCATAAACCCATTCACTCTTGATGACAATCTTGCTGATAATGCAGCTACGGTATGATTTTGTATAGACTATCATCAAGTAATTGTAACAGGTATCCTTTGAAGTAATAAATTGTCTCTAGGCTCGTTTTTTTTAACCATTGGTATGCTATCTCAAATGGTTAGATATAAGACAGAAGGATTCCTGAATTTCAAAACTTGTTGCTCGTTTATCATTAATCTTCGAATGGGCTTGTGGCCTTGTTTTGATGACAGTTTGGAGGAAAAAGAGACTTCGTTTGAGCGATTATGTCTCTCGCAAGTGGAATGGAATTTAATTTACCAATCAGAAATTTTCCTCGTCAGTCTCGATCTAATGAATGACATAATAACATTGTGCATCACTCTGCATCACGTTTTACTTTGTTTCAAACAGAGGCGATCACTTCGCGAGCGCAAAAAGAAGAATTACAATGATGATTATGATTACAACATATCTGATGACGAGGAAAAGAAGAAGGCTGAGAATGGAGAGCCAATGAGCGTTGACATACCTGGGGGACATAAACTGATACCGTACAAGCCCAGCGATGCTGTGGAGGGAGAGATTGCCATCATCGAACGCATACTCGCAGGCCGTATAAGGTCAAACGCCAAGGTATTCAGTCAAGTCATCATACTGTTGTAGTATATATATTCCATTTTGGTTATTGAAAATCCAATTTTTATAGATAAATAGTCCAAATCAATAGCGAAAAGTGTACTTTCAAACAAATAGCTAAATTAGCTTGTTTTGATTGCGATTATAGATATTAAACGTTGAAGGGCGACTGGCTTATTCCTTTATGCGATCTTGATTTGACAGTAGTTTCTACTTGAAGTTGGTTATATTGTCAAGAACAAAAACTCTTTTATAATTAGGAAGGTGATCAACAGAAGATAGCTTGGCCCTTGACAGTGGTAAGTTTAAAAGGAAGTTATGTTTCATATCTGCTTGCTTCATTTATACTTTTAGTTGTAATTATGCTTAGTTGATCAACTCTTATTTAATGTGGTCACCTCTTTCTCTCAATAGGACGAAGAGGGTAACGATATTGAAGATGAGGAATTCTGCGTCAAGTACAAGGGATAGTACGTAAACAAATCCACATTTTTTAAAACTTAGTGGTCATTGTTTGTTTGCATGTAAATTGTTTAGAAATTGTTCAGTAATCTATGTTTTTTTAGAATTTCCAATTGTGCCTTTTGATGTTGAAAATATAATCTTTTCTTGATCAACCAATTAAGCTGGTTCAAAAATCTTATTCCGTTTTTGCTAATTCCTATTTGATTTATACAGCTCGTATTTACATTGCGAATGGGGTACTGAGAAGGAGCTATCGAAGAAAGACAAGCGTGCTCCTATGAAGATCAAAAGATTCAAAACTAAACGAGATCCAGTTGCAATTCTTGCCGAGGTTGGTACACAGTTTGCCCTTCATCTACATGTGTATCTACCAGCTTGATCTGCAAGTTATCGAGTAATCATAACGATACCATTACTGAATTCTTTGATGCCTGAACAAATTTATCCATTTTAGTTCGTAAAAAAGCCAATTAATTTTTCCTTAGATGCCTAGGGTATCTGTATTATTGAGGGACTTCAATGTTTTTTTATTTATTATTGCATCTTTCCCTGAAGCATTATTATTTAATATTTTGCTTATTTCGATTGTTTTAGTTTTTGGTTTTAGTGCAGCATTCCCTACGAATGCAAGTTCATTATATTGTAAATTTTATGTTTTTTCTTCACAGCTCGACGACGAACCATTCAATCCGGATTTTGTTGAAGTTGACCGTGTCCTAGATCAATCAACATGCATGGATCAAGTCACTGGAGAGGTAACAGATGTTGATTTATTGGTTGGGTCGTTAAAGTGATTTTCTTGTTAGACTGTGGCTAACATTTACTGCAATAAAAAGCGATTCAGAAATAAGATTGCTTTGTCAAGCTACACAATGAGAAGGAATCATCTTGGCCTGAGATGAAGATATTGACATAAAGCAAACTTCTATTTCCGTTCGTTTTAGTAGGCACGCTCTTTTGCAGATAACCCTAGATGAGCAAAGCTTAGTTTAGCTATGTGTGTGTAGAAATCTATATTCACTTAATAGAGGGCTATACAAGATTGTACTGTAAATACCAAGTCAAACTAGAGGGCTAAACAAGATAGAAAACAAAGATTAGATAGCCATACAAGATTCCACTGTATCAAAGCAAAGCTAGAGGAGGAAAACGAAACTAGAGGACGATACGAGGTGTAACTTTAGACCTTAAAGCGAAACTTCGTTTGTTAAGAATTGTAATGTTCTAATTGTGCCTGTCTTTTCCACAGCCTGTTACGCATTATCTCGTGAAATGGAGGTCGCTACCGTATGAAGACAGTACATGGGAGCTTGAGGTATATTTTTCTTCATTTTATGCCAACAAAGGAAACTTGTTAAAGTGGTGTTGCTTGTTAAGGTATTTCGCTGCTAGACAGAATCGATCTCTTAAGCCCTGTTCAAACGCTCTCGACTTTTCACCCGACTGCTCTCGATTTTCGTCGAGAGTAAAATTCGAGAGCGTTTGAACACCTTGTCGAGAGCAATCTAGCGAAGTCGAGAGCAGTTGAGTGAAGTCTTAACACTTTTAAAAAAGTCGAGCGGAGTCGCACGACATTTCTATTGTTCAAGGTGTTGTTGAGCGTTTGAGCGTTGTCGAGAGCGTTTGAACACCTTGCTCGACAAAGTCAAGCTTGCGCATGCGGTCTACTGATCATCTCATTTTACCCATCACAACATAACACAGTTGAAAACATATTTAATGTACATAAAGTGGGGAGAGCTTGGCGTTTTTTGCCATCAATTTATCCTACTGATTCAGCTATTTTGTTTTCACAATTTAATTTGTTTGGCGCTAAACTATCAATTTTCTTTCGCAGTGTATTGCCACTACGAAAAAGCGATATTATAATCAAACGGAACTCGAGTAAAAAATCGAGAACATTTGAACACTCCCCGCTCGACTACACTCAACACTGCTCGACAACGCTCAACAAAAATCGAAAGTAGTCGAGTAAAAGTCGAGAGCATTTGAACACTTTACACGCTAAGCCTAGCTTTTACAACTGGTGTTGTTTTATATCGTTCAGGGTTCTTTGAACAGCCGTTTCTTAGTCTCCTTACGTCACAGTATAGGCATTTTCTTTCCAACTGCTTTGTTTGATCTGCTGTTTAATCTCATGCAGCATAGTTCCTGGTGGTGCTAAGTTTATTGGTAATAACAACCTGTTGTTTACACAGGTGACAGATGGACGAAAGGGAAGAGGAGGGAGTTATAACTAGGGGGCAGATTGTTTGAGAAGGCCAGAGGGGTGTTATAATATAAGTTTAACGAGCTAAGCTATTAATGTGTTATTGTAGTTAGCAAGCACAAGCCTATTGTTGATTGGAATTACCATTACAAGCAAATTTCTTAATTTTATATCCTCCTAGCTTCGAGTTGTTCAGGTGGACGGGTTTAAAAATATTCACTATGCCTTGCCATAGTACATCGAAAAAACGTTCCCGGCGTCCTTTGAATCGTATGTTCTTTGGTAGGGGCGTTCATTCGAGAGACCCTTAAAAGAGAGGGAATAATCATTATAAGGAGGCGTTGAAAAGAAGTAGGGGTTGGAATGAAAGGGGTGTTTACTCAGAGTAATACTGTGGGGGTATGCCAGCAAGGATTAGTCATATATAGAAAATATTTGGGTTCAATGCGTACTATGTTATGGTTTCTATCCATTTATGTAGGTAAACGTCGATGAACCAAAGATCAAACAATACCTCGAGCTGAAGAAACCTCCTCCTCCAGAATTTCAGCAGGTTAGTACCTTATTTGTTTTTGCTTTGTGGAGTAGATCATTATCAATGTATAATATAATCAGTATATGATTATTGCATTATGATTTGAAGAATCGAAAATAATTAGTGGTTTTGCAGGTAAAATCTAAATTTATCCAGAATGTGGATGTGTTGCTGAGATTTCGCCCCCATTTATATACACGTTTTCTTTTTAAATCTCCGTTGCTCGGCATTTCTATTTTACTTTCACAATAGAAGAGAAGCTTTTCTGAACAGTTCGCTGTAACTTAGCATTGTTTGAAATCGTCATGGAGAAAACCGAGAGCCATAGCTACCTGTCCTTTAAGTTATGCCTGTTCGTAACTATTGTTTATGTGTGTCCTGACGTCGCTGTCATTTGTAAGTTGTTTACATACGAATGGTTGCCATGACATACATAGGTTGGAATATAATGGAATGAATGTAAACATCTCGGCATCTGACAGCGCTCTGCAACTGAAATTTAGGAAAACCATCTTGGATGTTTGATATATACTGGAAAAGATTTTACACCTGCAACCGTCGAATGATGAAAATATTCTTGGTTGCATAGAAAAGCTGCCCCTTATTCAGAGGAAACGTACTTTCGATGCGTAATAGTATATATGATGATTCCGTTTATTTGTGTGGTCATAAAATGCTTCCAAAATGAAGTTTGGTACCGCTACTCTTTGTTTGTATCAGTGGCGGACACTTGGCCCCCCCCCCCAATACTTTAGAGCACGATGGTCTTGTGTTCTAAAACAATGGGAAATGTGACGTCATCTTATTAAAACAATAGGCTTGCCCCCAATATTTGACCAAGTGTACGCCCCTGGTTTGTGTTTATGCATTATCTGAAAACTTTTTGTTCCCTAGTATGTTCCCAGGCCCCAGGCTTTCCAATGGAAGAAAATCGAGACAAGCCCAGTCTACAAAGATGGCAACACCTTGCGTGATTATCAGCTGGAAGGACTTAACTGGCTCACATTTTGCTGGTATAAAAGGTTAGATGACAAGAAAGCATCTTAATCCTTTCCAACCTTTTTTAGAACATTTTCTCAAAGGTCATTTTTCAGTAGACGCTAGATTTTTTAGTGTCACGGTCGTACCAACAAATATAATGTGACCTATTTTGAGGCTATTCGTGGAAATCGCTCAATAAAATGTTCTGTATTCCTATTTTCTTTTCAGCGACATAATATATTTCTGTAGCCTCCCCTTTGTCTGAGAGTGGAGTTGCTTTTGCACTGCACGTTTTGATCTTCTAGCTGTGACAGATCTTTAACCACAAGGGTTGTGGCGCACAGTGGTCACCAGACCTTTAGGTTGCTCATCTACATTGTTGAGGTTTTTGTTGGAAATATTTATTAAGCATGAATTTTCTAAATTGTTCCTTTAACATTTCAGCTATTTCTGGTCCTTCAGCCTAGATATGGTATTTTTTACCTCTTACTTCTATCGTCATTTTATCTTTTCTTAAACAGGCAAAACTGCATCCTTGCTGACGAAATGGGTCTTGGTAAAACAGTACAGAGTATTTCCTTTCTGTGTGAACTTAAGGTAGGTATTTACGTGCGTTTTACGCTTCTTTCCCTTTGGTATTAGCCAACATCCCAACCTAACTCCAGCCCCGTGCTTTTTCACTTTATTCTAACTGTTGTTTCTAAATAGGTTTCCTCCCTTCTCTGTAGTATTCCGCACCATCTTTCTTGGATGTTTGTCAAAAAGTCCGGCTTGAGCAGCAGTTCCTGATTCTCATAAATTATTGTCATACGGAATTATGAGCAATTGTCCCGTTTTAAGGGCCGTGGGTGGCTTCTATCGTTATGAATGAACTTAAACCGTTATATTTGAACGTTGTTTTGTGCTATTCGTGAATGCCAAAGGCTCCCTACTCTTGTCTTGTTTACTCTTGTTGCCACCCGCTCCTCCTGATAATCAAAAAATTATGCGGTGTTAGGTCACCTTTTCTCAATGTCGATGCTGTTTGAGTATTTTTATCTAAGCTGTTAAGGTGAATGTGAGATATTTTTTCTTGAATAAAGACTGGTTGGGGTCTGACTCTGATCTTTTTCAACTCATCAAACTTGGTAAGTGTACGAAGTTTCATGCTGGTATCACAATCTGCATTATCGATGTTATTAGGGCCTCTGCTATCGTAGCTAAATTCAATGTGATTTTTTTCTTTCTAGCGTTACGGTGTGCGTGGCCCATATCTTGTTATTGCACCATTGTCAACAATTGTACATTGGCAACGTGAGTTTGAAGCGTGGAGTGATATCAACACGATTGTGTATCATGGAAGGTATGGATCTTTTTGTCAATTTTTCTATATCCCTTTTGAAATTGTGGTAGTTTATTGATGATTATTGCATGAAATTGATCATTTCTGTTGTAAACATTAGCCTGAAAAGAAAGTGGGTGTATTGTCTAATTTTATAAGTCTAATCTAAGTCTTGTATAACCCGATCGTCTTTGATTTCAGTTCGCCAAGTCGCTTGTTGATCCAGCAATATGAAATGTCATACACCGATGAAAAGGTCAGTATCTCTTATGTCTCTGTTTTGTGCCCATTAAATCGAAGTGTGGGAAATGGGTTATCTTAGCAGAGTGTCTTTCGAAGTTCCAGAATTGTACGGGTTAAGTGTCAGAAAGCTTCATTGCAGATCTTACCTGAAAAAACGTGTATTAAAGAAGACAATAAAAGTGCTTTAAACAAGCCTAAAAAACACTTTAAACTAGCTAAACATGATTGTTTCAACCAATCTGCGTTTGAAAACCTGATTTCAACGTCCTACAGCTGTACATAAATGCAGTCATCTTTCATTGTTTATCCATCATTTCATGACTGTTTGACTAAAGGTGACTTAGATATACAATGGTGGGCATTATAACAACTGCAAATAGTTGTGTTATCGATTGTTGGTTATACTGGTAATTGGAATTAGAGCGATTGCCGTCAGAGCTTTTCTCCTCCAATTTGGACTTGAAAGAATCGCATTCAATTGTACGCAGGATTGCGACCCTGTGGTATATCCATTCCTAGGGAAAACTTTATCAAGTCGCGCTCTCACCAAAAATAACCTACCACTTCGTTTGATTTAAATATGAAGTTAGCTATTTCTCAAATTTTTTGAAGTGTTGTTATTTGAGGATAGTCTTAAAAACAATTTTGGTTTCAGGGCCCCTGCCCCCACTTTTTGCAAAGCAAAATATTTTTTTTGCCAAATCTTCGATTTGCGAGTCTTTAATTGGCCTCCCCCTTCTCCCCCAGTCTTCAACACTTCAGAGCTTACGTTATTGGTCTTCTATGCCATTCAGTTCCTCTGCTGTATCCATTGGATTGATCTCACGGGCTTTTGATTTTTCTTGCAGGGTGAAAAGATCCCAGGCATCTACAAGTTCGAGGCAGTTGTAACCACTTATGAGATGATTTTGAGTAAGTAGGCCATGTCGTTTGCTTGCCACAAGTATTTCCTTGCGGCTTTCCTTGTTTGCAACTTGCTTCTTAGAACTCAACAAGTTTCTAGGTTTGTAAGATATGTAACACCTAAAGTCTGTTAATTTATCCTTCCTGAATCTTTTTATTAAAAATGAGAATCTTTATTTAAGTACATCATATCAACTGCATAGACCTATCATGTTCAGCCTATGATATTTAGTTCGGTTCCCCATGAATCTCATATCATAGATAGGATTGATTTAAATCCATGTAATAATCGACTGGTTTTTCCTGGTCTGAATGTCGCTTGAATCGGCAATAAAGATTGGTTTCTTTATAATCCTGGCTGTCAGATAAAACCACGACAAATCTGGGCTGGCTTTTATCGTTGTTCCTCGATGTTTGGATGGGGCTAGCAAGTCTGGGTAATTCGATGCACAGTCGACTCAATGGCTTACTGTTATTTGCCGCAGTTTACATTCCCTGTTAAAAAGTTTATTATTCTAACTTTGACAGTAATTTGATCATTTTCATGGTATAGTCCAGAATTATAAGATCATTTGAATTCCGGTGTAATGTTTCAATGAATTCATTAAGCCCGGTGTAACTGAACTTGTCTCTTATAGATTTCCACTCTGAACCTTCCCGCTAAGTTTTTCTTGCGTGAGAATGACCTACGCTTTAATGCTATTTCCTTCACCGGCGTTGCAAGCCTCCTGCTATCTTCTCGCTGTTATTCTAGGCAGGGTTTTGGAGCAGGGGGGCTCAGGGGTTTAAGCCCTTTGTTAATGCTGAAAAGTAACCATTTTCTTTCTTTTACTATTGTTTCTGGAGGATTTATTCCTGAGAACCCCCGTGCTTTTTCATAGCAATAAAGCCTTTGTTCTTTTATCTCTTCGGGTTGTATTTCAAGACGATTTTTTATCTTTTCTCTTAGTAACCCCAGCCTTTCTCGTTGAATTAGATCCAGTAATTTTTAGATCCATATCTGCCAAAACCTGTTTGTACCCGGAATGAATTAGTCTAGCTTTCTCTATGTGGTCACGACGACATTTTTGTTAAAAAAGCAACGATAAAGAACAAAGGAAAAACAGTGCTTGTTTAACCAAATTCAATTAATGCCCTAAGAAATGTCCAAGGGATACAAATTTCGAATTGAAAAATTTATCCAATTTTTCCCCTACCAATTTTACCCCAAACCTACTCATTTTACACAAGTAAATCCTGTAGTTTCTTGACTTCTGATACCACTGTTAACGAATGACATTCTCTTTTTGTAGGTGACAATGATATGCTGAGTAAAATACCGTGGCGTTGCGCTGTAATAGACGAAGCTCATCGATTAAAAAACCGCAACTGCAAGCTTTTAGAAGGCTTGAATAAACTGCAATTGGAACACAGGGTCTTGCTCACAGGCACGCCGTTGCAGAATAATGTCGAAGAGTTGTTCAGTTTGTTGAACTTCCTGGAGCCCACGAGATTTCCATCCCAAGCTGCTTTTCTAGTCGAATTTGGAAAGCTGGAAACCGAAGCTCAAGTTGATAGGCTGCAACAGGTTTGTCACTTAACTTATGTTCTTCATCTTCATTTGCTCCTCATCTTCATCTGCCACTGGTCTTGCTTGTTCATTTCATAAAATAACTTGAGATCTTGAGACAATCCCCCCTCGCGTATATCTACGTTTGCATACATCTCTAAACGTCCCCGTCTCTCTCTTCTAGATTTTAAAACCAATGATGTTGCGAAGACTAAAAGACGATGTTGAGAAGAATGTTCCGCCAAAGGAGGAAACAATCATTGAGGTTTGTATCTTTTTTTAAAAGACTTTCAGCCTTACCTTTACTTTGCTGAAAATGTTGGTGTTAATGCCAAATCGTGTTTTAAAAGTTTTCTCCAAAGAAGGTTGGTTTGTTACTTGCAGCTAAAAATTTTTTTCGAGTTAGCAGCCCCAATTTTCTCGACTTATTTTCACTTTATTTGTATTTAATATATATTTACTGTTCTATTTCACAATCAGTTTTACAACTTGTTTTTATATCTTCAAATGACACTACATTTCATTGTCTTTGTGTAACAAGTTTTGCGACCTTTTTTGTTCTGTATTATGGCTTTTCGTCCTCTGTGTTAGTAGCCCATTATTTTGTTGGTAGCCAAATTGGTAACTGTTAAACTGAGGGTAAAACCTTAAAGATTAACATTGGTTTGATTTCATCAAAAGGTTCATCATCATCATCATCAGTTTTCTGATTTTTAACTCTGATGTTTTTTGTATTTATTGCCATTTGCTAAAGAAAATCATTTACACCCTACCTTTTTTGGAACCTAAATCCAAAGGGGTGACATTCGAAAAACAGATATCAGACACAGAATTTCTAACCAAACCAATATTGAAATTGCAACCATCGTTCAGAGAAAAACCCCTCAAATTTTTTGTTATTCTTCCTTTAAATCTTTCTCTGAAAAATAGAAATCTTTAAGAAGGTATCGATTGTCAGTTCAATGAAACCCTCATCTTCTCTTTACAGGTTGAGTTGACAACAATTCAAAAGAAGTTCTATCGTGCTATTTTGGAAAAGAATTTTGCATTTTTGACTCGTGGCCTGTCAACAGCAAGTAACACGCCTAGTTTAATGAACGCTATGCTGGAGTTGCGAAATGCTGTAATCATCCTTTTCTAATAAACGGTGCTGAGGAGCGTATAGTTTCAGAATACACCAATGGCGCTGAGGGCGTCGAGACTATAACCAAACATTTTAAAGCGATGACAGAATCATCAGGCAAAATGGTACTAATCGATAAACTACTGCCAAAGCTAAAAGCTGGTGGCCATAAAGTTTTAATGTTTTCACAAATGATTCGCGTATTGGATTTGATAGAAGATTATTTGCTTTGCAAGAAGTACACATACGAAAGAATTGATGGTCGTGTCCGTGGTACCGCACGGCAGGCTGCAATTGACCGATTTTGTCGTCCGGAATCGGACCGATTCGTTTTCTTGCTATGCACAAGAGCAGGTGGCGTTGGCATAAACTTGACTGCCGCCGATACTGTGATTATTTTTGATTCGGACTGGAACCCACAGAATGATCTACAGGCCCAGGCACGATGCCATAGAATTGGGCAAAGTAAGCCCGTGAAGATTTACAGACTTATTTGCAGAAATACTTATGAAAGAGACATGTTTGATAAAGCAAGCCGGAAGCTTGCTCTTGATAGAGCTGTTCTCCAGAACATGAGTTACAGGGAGCATTCCCCTGCTCCAGTGCTTCCAGGAAATACTATTCCAGGGGGTGCTAGTACTGCTAACGGTGCTATTCCGGGTTCCGCTGCCAGTCCTGGAAACCCAGCGCAAGTGGTAAGTTTTTTAGAAGCTCTTTAGTTTTTACCCAGGCTGTAGAAAGTAAAGCAGTGTGTTATAGTGTTATGCTTTCGATGCTGTGGCCAATGAAAAGCAGTTCTACTTGCTAAGAATACATTATGAAGAAACGAAAATTTGCTCAGCATCAAAGCATTCTTTTATGATGTTTTTATGTTTGTTTTCGACAACAATTTGGTTTTAAACAAACTCTTAATTACAGCAGCCACAACCAATGATGTCAAAGAAGGAGATCGAAGATCTGCTCAAGAGAGGTGCCTACGGAGCTATAATGGACGAGGATGGTGATGCCAGCACGAAATTCTGTGAGGAGGATATTGATCAGATCTTAGAGCGAAGGACCCAGGTCATACAAATCGTTGGCGAAGGAAAAGGCTCTACATTTGCCAAGGTGAACCTTTCTTGTATTTTTGAGGCAGAGCAACTAACGAAAACTGGAGGTCGTTGAAAATGTTTGGGAAAACTCAACTAATTGCTTTATCATAGTTTGAAGAGGTGTTTAAGGATCATTTTTTATGCTTTAGTTCAGTATAAAGTTTGGATGTAAACGTATTCATGCGCGCAAGCATTATAATTCTGTATTAGTAAGTAGAAGAAGTTCTACTGAAATTTAAGTTCATTTGGAGTTGTGTAAAGTGGTTAATAAATTGATTCTTTTTCTTCGTGCACTCAATTAGAAACACTTATACCAATCACGTTTGCTACAGGAGTTTTCGTTTTATTTTATGGTTAAGTCAGACTAGTTTGTGCTAAATCCATGTGGTTAAATCCTGTGTTTGTATGTTTGCAGGCGAGCTTCATATCAAACACCGCCAAAATGGACATTGATGTTGATGATCCCGAGTTCTGGACCAAATGGGCGCAAAAAGCTGCCATCGATGTTACGGATATTGACAAGGTAAACATAAGTGGTTTTCAATTTCCTCTTTCAAACAGGAATGAAAAGAATTTTGCAAATGATGCCTATAGTACTTAGTATTGTTAGTAAGCTTCTTTAGGAAGTTACTTTAAAAGCGATTTCCAAAAAACCAAACATTTTGAAGCACACCAAAGCTTAGTTTTGTTAGTAAGCTTCTTTAGGAAGTTACTTTAAAAGCGATTTCCAAAAAACCAAACATTTTGAAGCACACCAAAGCTTAGTTTTGTTAGTAAGCTTCTTTAGGAAGTTACTTTAAAAGCAATTTCCAAAAAACCAAACATTTTGAAGCACACCAAAGCTTAGTTTTGTTAGTAAGCTTCTTTAGGAAGTTACTTTGAAAGCGATTTCCAAAAAGACCAAACATTTTGAAGCACACCAAAGCTTAGTTTTGTTAGTAAGCTTCTTAAGGAAGTTACTTTAAAAGCAATTTCCAAAAAACCAAACATTTTGAAGCACACCAAAGCTTAGTTTTGTTAGTAAGCTTCTTTAGGAAGTTACTTTAAAAGCAATTTCCAAAAAACCAAACATTTTGAAGCACACCAAAGCTTAGTTTTGTTAGTAAGCTTCTTTAGGAAGTTACTTTAAAAGCGATTTCCAAAAAACCAAACATTTTGAAGCACACCAAAGCTTAGTTTTGTTAGTAAGCTTCTTTAGGAAGTTACTTTAAAAGCGATTTCCAAAAAAACCAAACATTTTGAAGCACACCAAAGCTTTTCGTCTACACTCTTCAGTATATAAAACATTAGAACATGATTGCAATTTCTAGGGAATAAAATTTACATACCAAATTGTAGATCAGAATCGTGGCCACATGACTGCTGCTGCTTGCTCATTGAAAGTAGTGTTAGGCTGAAAATAAACTCCTTCTGTCTATTCAATAGCAGATTTTTTATTTAAATGTAGATATATTTTGAAACTGCTAGATTGAATGGCGACCAGGCTCTACCAATAATCCACAATTTTTGTAACACGAAAAATTGAAAGCAATCTATTCCAATGTTTTGTGTTCTAAATTACGAATGGGTAGGACTTGGCATCCAAATGTGCTGTTTCCAGAGCTTTCTTTGTGCTGCATATTAAAATGTTGGTATTCTTGCTATAAAATAAACTGTAGAACCCGCATAAAGAATAAAACTCCTGTACCTTTACAAAATGATCCTTATATTGAAGATACTTAGTTTGGAAATTAAGCCTGGACGTTCTTTAACTGCAGTTTCTTTCATGCAGGCTTTTAATGTATCTTTGAAGCTGGTTAGTGTTGGGAGTAAACTTAAACAAAGCGATTTCATAAACATATAAACACAAGCCCCTCGTTGGTGTGAGTTCATTTCTTGCTACCATGTGTGTTTGCTGCTAACGAAGGGATATCCTTAGGTGTTATTCAGTGTTTTGTATGAATTTATTCGCAGGAGAATTTGATTATTGACAAACCCCGGGAAAGAAAGCAGACAAAGAGATTTGGAAACGAGGATGGATCTTTAGAGTTGTCTGACGCCGAGTCGGTCGAGGATCAGGAGGAAGAAAAGCCTGTTATCGATGCAGTTCGCAGTGCTTGGTCACGTGTCGAATGTTTCCGGGTTGAGAAGAATATGTTGATTTATGGGTAAGTGATATTTGACTTAATTTTCCCCATGGCACAAATTTGATGTGATGGCAGAATAGTTAATGGGTTTAAGAATCTAAACACAGTTTTTATAATCTATATTCTGCCCTGCATTAATTTGCTATTTACAAACTTGAATTCTATATTATTGATAAGCCATAGTTTTTTTGTTTCAGTAAAAAACACAGTTGACTATTATTTTTTTTCTTAAATATTTCTTTTTTTTGTCAGATGGGGTAGGTGGCGAGACTTTTTGCTGCATGATAACTTCAAGACTCAAATCAGTGAAAGGGACCTTGAGGCGATTGGAAGAACAATACTAGTGTTCTGTTTGCATCACTTCAAAGGAGATGAGAAAGTAAAGATCTTTATCAGTAGTCTGATAACAAAATCAGTGACAAGATCACGAATTATCGGGCATGACATTGCAATGAAAGAGGTCGTGAAGGATGAGCCTTACACCCCGGATGCATCTGATCCAAGCAAACTGAAGAAGATGCCCAAGTTGCCAAAGAAAGGAACACAAAACAGCAAGCCAGTCCTAGTCGAGGCTGGTCCGGATTGGAAAACAGTTGATACGGACACTCTTGTTATTGATCAAGGCTATCGTAAACATTTGGCCCATCACTCAAAGAAAATTCTCACCCGCGTGAAGCTGTTGTACTGTTTGAGACATGAGATTATTGGTGGCGTGGCAGACAAGATCGTTATTGGCCTTCCAGCCTCAGACATTCCACTGCAAGTGCCGCATGTTGATGGTGAAGCACCAACGTCTTGGTGGGATGTCGAGGCAGACAAGTCTCTGCTCATTGGTGTTTTCAAGCATGGTATGTGCTGTATGGTCCTGTTGTGAAGTTTTGTATTTCATTTCAACACCAACACATAAACACCTACTTACTAATGATAATCAAAATTTCCAGGCAAAGAAACTAAGGAATATTTTTCCATCATTTCATTTAGAAATTTTCCATCATCTCAAAAAATGCATTAACGCAGGCCTGGCCATTTTAGGAGAGCCATAGCTCTTGCTAATTTTAGACATTTAAAAAAACTTTTTCAGAGGAAATAAATTATTTTATGCTTCTTTTAATAATAAATAACATAATTTGGCATAACCAAACACGGTCCAACACTTAAAGCTTAGTTGCTTATTTAAAAAAATGTGTAACCTATATATAAGAAACTTTTACCCTGATTATAAAAATGTATCTTAAAATAAGAAACGTTCTGAGGCCTCAATTTAGAAAGTGGTTTCTTATATGTGGGAACCTACTGTACTAGGAGAGCTGTTTACTGCTTTGCTACTAAAAGTCTTACGCTATGAATTTAAAGCTTCTTTTATAACCAATTTTTTGTAGTCTAAAACAGGCGATTGGCAAATAACTTTTTTTGAGGGCATATGAAATCTTAATTACGTTTTTTATTTATTATCTTTTTCGCTGTTCTCCTTCCTTATAATCATCAAGTGCCCATCACGTAGTCTTGCTATCTTGTAACAGCATTCCACGATCAAACTCCTACAATTTCGCAGAACGCAATAACAAAATCATTATAACTTGTGTCTTTTGCTTATAGGGTATGACAAATACAACGCGATTCGGACGGATCCTTGTCTCTGCTTTGTTAGCAAACTGATGTTGTCCTCGTCAGAAGTTGAGAAACTGTCAGCTGTTTCGCCGGATCATGGTATTCCAGAAAGGTTTGTAAAATAAATCTGTTTCTGCTTAATCTGACATTGACGTTAGCACAGAAGAGCGAAAACATGTTATATCAAGACAAACAATTTCTTCTTGTTTAAACAGAAAGCGCTCGTTTTCTCCTTCGGGCTCTTTAACTAGGTGAGAGATTGGCGGCCGCTGATTGCTCAGAAAAATAAAGAACCAATCAAACGCGCTATACTTCTTTTCGCGTTACTTTCGATCCACATCCGGATATGAATTTTCTGCTTTCCTTTAAACATTTTCCGATGTTCATGCTTTTCCGAGTGTCGGACGAAAGACTTCTGTGTGATATAACATGTTTCCACTCTGCCTTGCTGTTTTCTAATTTTTTATTTCACATTGATGTTACTGTATAAAAACAGAGATGATTGGCTTATCCCTAATTTGCTTTTAATTGGCATCTCTGAAACCCAACAAGCTCATATTTAAACTAATGTTCTTCACAGACATGATGACGTAGGAAACTTGGCCTCTGGTAAACGGAAGCGCAAGAAACGAGCTCACGAAGATGATGAATTCAATTCAGACATGGACGACGTTGATCGCGATGATGATGAGTCTTTGAGCATGATTGAGTCTCCATTGTCATCTGCGTCACCCAACGTACCATCAGACAGTAAGTGTTGTCATTTGCTATACTGCGTCATTTATTGTTAGTGTTAGGTTTTGATTCAAATGTAGAAATACGAATTTCTTGTAAGATTTTGAAACGTTCTTAGTTTTATTCAGAATGATTGTACCACCGTGAAATAACGAAGATCAGTAATGGGATTGACCCGGTTGCAAGCTTCCTTGGCCAAACTGTATGTTTTGAATTAACTCGCACCATCAGTTGTCCGAATGTGACTGAAAATTTGCCCTTTCGCTCTGTGTCAGTTTAAATTCACAGAGCGAAAGTGTCGACTTCAAACGAATAGGTTCTCGGTTGTTTTCTCATCCATAATCTTCACAAGTGCCTTATTTATGTGTTGCTTTCCCAGCAGCTCATTCGCAAAACCCAAGATTGAAATGGCCACAGGCCCCTGACTTAAACACTCGCTTGAGAAGGCTGATCACAGGATATCTGAAAGGCTGCGAGAAGGAGCAAATGAAGCTAGCGCAACAGGAAAAGGTTAGTCTGATTATTGCTGTTATGATACAGATTATAGCAGGCAAATAAAAAGCTGTAGCAAAGGGATTTGAGCTCTAGTGTCGTAAGGTAATAGTTATTTTAATCAGTGCAGTTTAAAAACGTAGTTCGGATGTGTTCCTCAAAAACTGCTTTTTATATAAACCCGCCTGTTGTTTTTCTTAGTGCACATGTTTTTAAAGAGCTATAGAAGTTCTTGTCTACATGAAGTTAAGATTGCAAGAATATAATCTGACTTTAAAGCAATTTTTGTTCAAGAGCGTCAGACGAACGTATGAAGCCAATACTAGAAATCTAGGGTAAGCCCTCAAGGAAGTGGGGATTCCCTTGGATATTTATTTGTGAATTGACAATTCATTGGCCTTTTCAATCACCCACAGGACAAAGAGCGCAGGGAAAGGCAGGCACAACAGATTCGAGAAAAACAGCTGAAGAAGGCCGAGATGGCACTGAGGTAAGACGCTTAAATTATTGTCCCCCGCTTTTCCCCCATATTGTCCATTTCTACCGCCAATGTTCCCCAATTCTAAGCCAATCCGAGTAACTTTTAAAAAGCAATACATTCAAAATGAATCATGAATTATTTTAGTTTTTGTGTTTGAAAAAACTAGTTTACGATTTATAAAAACTAATTTACGATTTATCATTCTGTGCAATTTTTCGTACACTAATAAGCTTTGTAAAATAAATGCATTTAAATTACTAGCTTAAAATAACTCTTGTCATGTCGTTATAATTATGGAATTTGTTTATGTTAGGTGGTCGAGGAGAGAGGTCACTGATTTCTATCGCGTTGTGACCACCTTTGGCGTCATTTATGACGAAGAAACGAAAACATATGATTGGTCCAAGTTCAGGTATGTAAATTGACAGTTTTTTTAGGTTAGAATCGAACGTAAATCTCTCCTTGTGTTCCTACAAACCTTAAGCGGTGTGCTGAAATCGCCCTACGTTTTGAGTTTTGCTAACTACCACTTCACTGCATTGCCGCTAATTGTATAGGTGTTGCTTTATTAAATCGAAATGATGCTCTTTCTTTGTTTGGGCTAATTATTGTCAATTGTATCATATAAGCAAGTTTGAAGTTGTTTCATAGGCCATCATCATACACACATTGTCATTACTGGTAGAGTGTTTTCATTACAGGAAACTGGCAAAGCTGGAAAAGAAAGATGATGAACGAATAACTGCTTATTACGAAGAGTTTTCAGCTATGTGCCGAAGAGTTTGTGAAAAATCAACTCCAGATGACCTGGAAACAAAGAGAGGTATTTTGAAGTTATAGGTTATAGCATTTTTGCTGACATGCTGGTTGTGGTAAAAGTGAGAAAATACCAAAATAATGAATCATGACAAGAAAATTGAATTTGATTTTCCACGTTAAAAGATATAGTTTTTTTTGTTCCTGATCACGTTTCCCAAAGGGCACTGGACACACTGTCACTTTTCTGTTGATTTTGAAAGGCACAGGAAAGGTTTGGCATGCCCTTTAAGAATCTGAGCAAAAACTGCGAATGGCTAAGGAAAGATACTACTATTAAAACCAATTAAAACAAAGCTTCACAGTGGGTGATTTTCTTAGATGTTGTTAATTTTTTCGAACATAAATTTGACGGGCTACCAGAGTGACACTGTATGGATGTACAGTGCCGTAAATCCTTAAATTTGTTTTTCGTTGGAGGCTTACTAATATAGGCAGTTTTTCGATGGGGGCTTACAGGTGGGGGCGATTCAAGGTTAAACTGTTGTAGCTGGCACTGCTGTTGATTAGGTGAGCAAGTGCTACTTCAGGGGACGATTTTTATCGAAGTTGTTGTAATCTTTTGATCCTCTGTGCTCAGTAACAAAAATGATACTCAATATTTGCTTGTTTTCTCATCTTTTCTTAAACTTATGTTATTATCTTGACTCATAATGTTTTGTATTTTGAAGGTGAAAATTTGGAGCCGATTTCGGACGAGAGAGCTCATCGTGTCCTTCACAGGGTCGACCTTTTACTGACCATAAGGAATAAAGTGAGTGTCTCTTTGCTGCTTGACCAGCATATCAAGATTGAGAAGCCAGCTGTTTGGCATTATTCTTGCTGGATCTTTATTTCTGTGACGTGTGTTTCCTGTTTCCTTTCCCGTTAAGTGCCTAACATTGCTAAGATAACAATCATGCAGCCGCGGTAGCTTCCCTTATCCCAACCCTACCCTGTCCCTACCCTACCCTTCTCCACTGAAGGCGAGTAAACCTGGACTGCATAGCCTTATATTGGCCATTCAAATGACAGCCTAAAATCGTCGTTACTAGTCAAATGTCGCCATTAGGATTGGTTATTTCAGTACAATGTAACAGTCAACAGTTGTCAAAAGTTTACTTTTCATCACTGAATTCCTTCTTCTCCAAAAATGGCAGATTCCCATTAAGAAATTTGTTATTTTCTTCCAAAACCCTAGAATGTTTTCTACAGTAATTACCTATAGTAACATCACCTAGTGTATGTGAAGCATTTTTATCACACGATTCACTTTTACCCTAAATTGCATTTGATAAGAATCCTAGCCACCACTTTTTAAGTGTGAAATCACTTATGTTGGAGATGATAAACCACTTTTGTTCAAAGCTGATAAAAATAATTTTTTGAGAGAATGCTCTTTCTAGACAACAAGATGACTACGTATTGGTTTGCTATTTTGTTACAAAAACCTTTGTTTCTTTTAAACAGGTGTTGACACATGAAAACTTCGATGAACGAATTTCTCTGTGTGAGCCATCAAATGACTTTCCAGTTTGGTGGAAGGCAGGTGTACATGACAAAGAACTTTTGGTTGGTGTAGCAAAGTAAGTTTCAATTTGCAAACATGTTGTCCTTTGTTGTTTCCACTGCTTGTAGTATTTATAGCAACATATGTCTTCAATTGATGGAAAGGAAAGCAGGTGAAAGTTAAAGCTTGTTTTGAAGGAAAAGTTAAAGCTTGCTTTGAAGAAAAAATTTAAGCTTGCTTTGAAGGAAAAACTAAAGCTTGTTTCGTTTTTCACAGCAGCTCTGTGAAATTATTTTTGTGGCGTATCTGAAAGTTGACTGCTAGCTTTAGTTTCAGTTTTCTCTCACGCCCATTGTAATCTTCAGTTTATGAACAGCTACCACAACACGAACATCTCATTTTCACTTGCTTCTTCACAATCAGAGCAGTATTAATGAAATATATTGCTTTTTCCTTTCATTTTAAAAAAGAAATAAGAAAACATAATGACAGCAGATAACGCATTCAAAGCGTTCTTAGATATAAAAATGTAATGACGCCAAGTGTGATATCTAGCTCTCTTTCCTTTGACGTTTTTCTGCCAGCTAAAATTCTGACCTGTATGTATGCAGGCTTAAACCACCCCGCCCTCCCCCCCTAGATGCGGTCCTCCTTTCAGACGCATTTCCCCCTTCAATCAATGATAAACACTTCCGCGGTAATACCTTCCAAACCATTATTGCGCAGTGGGCATTCGGAAATTTCTGTAGCAATGTTGATATTCCGACTATTACTTTTTCTAAAAAACCTTGAGGACTAAAGATTTAAAGTCCGTCGTTCTCGCAGTGGCTTTAGGAGCTTTGTCTTTACGGAAGTTTGTTATCTCGTTTTAGGCATGGTCTTGGCAGAACAGATTCGTATTTGTTTTCGGACGAGACTCTCTGCTTCAAAGGAATTCTTGACAGCTTGGCATTGCAGTTGAAGAAACGCAAGCAGGAACAACTTGCCCAGCAAAGTCAAACCAAAATAGGTTTGTTCCCTGTTACACCAAAACTCTTTGGCAATGATGCAATGCTTTTGGTATCGGCGTAACTTATGTTGGGCTTTGGTAGAAGCCTGCATACTCGTCAATTGTGCTTTGTACTTTCCTTTCTCTTGCACTGATAGATGGTCAGAGTTGGCAAAACAGAGTCAATGGGATAAAGTTTAGCTAAAGATTCTTTGTTACCTTAGGCCACTTTCTTTTGTGACGTATCCCAAATGTCATTACAGAGTCTAAAGTATTACAGAGTTTTTATTAGTGCGCACGAGAATATGATAAAATTTTCAAGGTGAATGCAATTTGTCTATGTAGCAAAATTTGATTTTATTGTTTGTGGTAGATGCTGGATTGAAACCTGCAGACGAGAAAGAAACGTCACAGCCATCTGTGAACAGTACTGTGCCTGGGAGCGAGACTACAAGCATAAACGAGACACCGTCGTCAGGCGTCATTGTGGATAGACAGCCAATAGCAACACATGACCCGAACCCAGCAGTGCTTGAGGAGAAAGGCGAGGCTCAGGATGAGTCCGTTTCGAAAGAAGTAGCTGAAATCATAGCAGCCTGGCCCAAGGTCAGTTTTTAGCAGTTTGCCCGCTGCATTTTAGTAATACAACATTGTTCGTCCGTTAACGTCCCTTGTTTAAAGTGATTGATCATAGATGACGTCATTTCAATATTACAAGTCGGAGAATCACTTTGCTCCAGCTTCTTCAATACTTCTTTTAATTTTGTTTGTATTTGCTTGGTTACTTGTGCAAATGTTTAGGCCTGGCAGATTTTTGTTAGGAATTGTTTGTTTCATTTGTCTCGTCTTCCCGGTTCTCTGTCGCCGTATTTGTACTTATTAAGTTGGATTATTTACGATGTTTTTTGTATGAACCTATCTTCTATGCGTTTCATCAGAGGTACTACGATACAAACAGTCTTTAGCTGAAAATATCTTGAAACTCCTTTAGTTTAGGGGGGCTAAATCCGGGCATTGTGAGCAGGTGTTTTCATGTCCCCCAATTTCCCCCTCCAACATTCTCCCCTGCTGCTTCTGTACTTTATGTAGAATAAATTTTATCTCAATTTTTAAGCGTGTTGTTTCGTATTTTGCAGGACAAAGCTATGCTCGGTAGATTGGAGAAAATATGCCAGTGCGTTTTAAACAATGCGTGGCCTAAGAATGTTCGCGTCGAACCCAGCGGGAGATCTCATGCTCAAACTGGACAAACTCACCCAACACTGCCTGGCTCATTTGATCGTGCAGATTTAATGCGACAGCCAACAGTGAGTGTTGGGGGTGAGGATGGACCGAGAGGGGAAATGGCCAAAGGAATACTCAGCCCTGAAAAGAACTTCAAAGTTACTAGTGTAAGTGCCTTTACTTTCTAGATAGACTGTTTATTTTTTGCCTTGTCAAGATTTCCTTGTCAGTTTCCAACGCTGGAACTCTTTCATCTTCTTGTTACAACCAGGACTTGCAATAAAACTTTCGAGTGGATCTCCATGATTTATGTAGAGATCCTCTTTATCTTTAAAAATCTCACAATCATCTATAGGATCGAAATTTTTTTTTAAGGTGTCTCAAGTATTGTAAAACCTACAACGTTACCTTCCTGCTAAACTTTTTAGCTCGTTGATAAGTAACATTTTGTTAATTGTTTCCTTCTGTTGTCTTGTAGCTGGATGGATTGAAAATAACGGTGAAGAAGAAACGAAGACGAAGAACCAAGGAACAAATGGGTAAGTTGAGCGAATATGGAATGTGGAACATAGTGTGTGTTTAAGGATAAGACATGTTGACAATATATGTTTGATAGCAGTTGGGTTTGTTAGGCCAGGTATCATATCAAATGTGTTTAGTATATATGGTATTTGTACTATTGGCATTAACCATGTATTTGCATGCACCCACAATCATATTAAAGCTTTCATTATAGTAGTGAATTTGAGAGAAAATTGTAAGTTTTCCTTTAATGACAATATCACGTCAAAGTTGGTGTGATGTACTTCTAGTCTAAGATGTATTGTAGTGATGAATTTTCGGATTGATTTTAAAAGTCAATCGTTAAACGTAATGTTATTAGATTGTTGAACTGCATAGAATTAAAGAACGCTGTATAAATGAAGCAGAAGTTTCGTATTTATTATTTAAATCTGTTGTATTGGCAAGTCATTACACATTGTAATACTATGATCTTGAGGATGATAATTTCATGTTCGTTTTCTATTTGCAGCGGCAGCAGCAGCTGCGAAGGCGCAACTTGCCCAGGTACCACCACCCGAGCATCTGAAGTTCCCTGTCAGTGATATACAGGCTACTGGTGGCGCTGTGTTGCCAAATGACAAGGTCAAGCGTAGACGCAAGCGAAAGGGTGACTCCTCAGACGCGATGTCAAAGAACTTAAGCTCGCAATCATCTTCTGATGAACCACCGCTCAAAGTAGTGCCTCACCCAGTCAAATACACACCAGAAAACGATTCTGCTCATGCAGATCTACAGGCAAGTGTTTAATGACAACTTGTACTGGTCACTGTTGTGGCCATTGTGGTTTTTTGTATTGAATTAATTTGAAAACGACGGCGCTTAGGTTAAATATCTACAATTCGCATATAGTAATAAACAGATAAAACACAGAAAGATGTTCTTAGATTATAAAATAGAATAAAAAGTAAACAGTAACTTACTAAAATTTGCAACGGATACATTTAAAAATTTTCCATTATTTTATCTTATGTTGTTTTTATCCATGAAGTAGCAAAAAACAATTTCTTGCTTACACCTGCAGTCGTCTATTTCCCTCAATGCTCCATAATGTCAGAAATTCTGAAGCAGCAAGCATTGTAAATGTGTGCAGCATACGCGCTAATCAAGGCTGGTGTCTTTCTTCTGAAGTAGAATTCTTTATTTCTCTTTATTTACAGATCCTTTTTAATCGAATCATTTGCTTTCAGATGACACTTAACCCATCAATCATTCTACACGTTCCTGCCAACATGGATCAAAAGGTGCATCGTGTGCCGAATTCAATAGCCAATGTTCCCGGCGACTACAGTGCTGCTGTCGCCTACAGTCACAATCCTGAGAAGACTAATGTAATCCCACCCACGATCAGTCACAGTATAGAAAGTTTGGTGCACAGTAATCCGCACCCAAGCAGTGGCTTCAGTCCGTCTCCTCGTAGCTCTGTTGTTGAACACCTTCCTAATACCAGCCGGCATAGTGCAAGTGAAACCCCCTCTTCAGCAACCATTTCAGCAGCATCTGATACTAAAGCTTTTAGAAAGCCAGTCATGGAAAACTCTGATTTTTTGATGAATGCTCAGAAAGGCATCAAGGCATTGAAGCCAGTCGCCCCATCAGAGTTTGTGGACACAAAAAGCAAAGAACAGCCTAAGATAACCAGCCAACCAAACGTTAATCGGCCTGTTGATCATGCAACAGTCATATCACCAAATGTCAATCCATTTGAAAAGAAACATCCTTCAATTGGGGAATCAAATATTTTTGATATGCTTCCACTTCATATGCAATCATCTTCCGGTAAGGATTCAATGATATATGGGAACATTAATTCCACTTACGCTGCTAAGACTGGCAAGCAAAAACAAAGCAAAGATGAACCAGGTACACCACCAGCATTATCAAAATACTTTGAAGGACATAAAGCCTCGGCTGCAATGGCTGCCCTGGCTGCAAAACTGCACTCTCAGGCTACGTCGCAAGGTTCAAGACCAAAACAAGAGCACCATTACCCAAACATTGACTCAATGTCAAAATTCCCTGTTCCAAGTGAGGAGTTTCCACCCAGGACCACTTCTGCCATTGGAAATATAAGAAGTCCTCCATTGGAAAGTTCAAAACCAAACACAATCAGTTATAGAAGCAGTAGGCCTGAAGACGAGGCAAAAGAATATCCAAAACCGGACAAATCATCAAATCCTAAAAGCAGTTTAAATGACGGGCCTGAAACGAGGAAGAGCAGTCAGGAAGCTATTTTCCAGGCCAGTGGAAAAGTGAGTCCAGTTGATACGAACAACAGACAGAGACAAGGAATAGCTGGGCATCCTCATAGCATGGCATCACTGCTCAGCTCGCAGCCTGTGAGCAAGTCACCAATCCCATCTGCTGCTAGCCCTTCTATGCAGATCCCAAACTTTCACAACACCACAGAACAGCGCAGTTATGCACGTGATTCGCAAATTCCTTCGCAGGATTCTGGAAACTCAACGAGTAAAGTTTTGAATACAGGCAGGACTGCCAGTTTACGAAAGCAATCATCAGTGGAACCACCTTCAAAGAAACACGCCCATTATATCCCAAATACTAATATTTCTAGTCCAGTCCAATTCCAGGATAATGTTAACACTTCCACTCATAATGTTTCAGCCCCACTGCCAATGAGCTTTAGTTTACCAACAACAGCACCAGAGCAAGCTAAGCAAGCAGCATCTGTACCAAGTGATGTACCACGGTCCTCTCCTCTTGCTACAGGGGCTGCAGGACAGGTTGCAATGAAATTTACTCCAATATCCGCTCCTTCTCCGATCCCAGGAAATGTAAAAGTTAAGCCAAAATCTGTAGTGTCGCAAAGTCAAGGAAAACCAACAGTGTCGGGAAGTATCCCCAGTGGCATGTCTATAACTGACAAGGTTTCACAGCTCCGAAATAAAGTATCAAAGGGTACCAAGTCTTTTCAAGGTAAATCTGTTATAAAGAAGACAACACCAGGTACGGTGCAACAAGCCCCCAAGGAGGAGAGTGGCGCTTCAAAGAGAGCTACTTCGCTGCAGGCAGATGTTAATGCATCAAATGATAGGACAAGCAATATTATGCATTCAAGTTCTGGCAGCATCTTACTTCCACCCCTGTCAAAACCCCGTCACCACATACCGAAAATCTTTCTAAATCTTCTCTGGATGATATGTCAAGGAGTAAGAAGCCAAATTCTATGGCTGAGTTGCCTGTAGTGACAACTCAAACTGATCCATCGAAAAAAGAGCACTTGGTTATGTCTAAGAATAGTTCATCAGCAGTCCAAGCTAAGCAGTTAAAGTCCACTCAAGCTGTGCCGATTGCGAGTCAGTCTCCCAGTATACCGTCTTCTGTTCCACGATCAGAAACAGCTGCGACCTCTCAATCACGCCCACCCACTCATTCGAAACCAATTTCGCAACCCAAAACAGCAACAACAACAATCACTAAGATTGTTCCACTTACAACACAGGTCAAAATGACAACATCAGTGCCAACAGCAAGGTCGGTCAATATTTCTGAGAGCAGTTCTCTGTCTGTCATCAAAACATCGGTAAGCATGCTGTCATCTGCTGCGTCTGTATCATCAACTGTGCCAGTCATAACACCATTGTCTGGACTTATTAAAGTCGTAGATGCTGCCAACAAAAGAAGTATTCTCACATCTGCCAGCAAAGCCCGGCCGACCAGAGTGTCACACTCTGCCTCTCAGTTATCTTCTCAAGCAGCTTCACAGTCTGCTTCAGTAATCACAGTGGCCACTTCATCGGCCTTGAAGCACACGGGCAGCTCATCATCAACGTTGTTCACTGGTGCCACCTCATCAAGCAATGCCATTACACCTAAGCCGATCAGTTTGCAAATAGTGACTGCAACGTCAAGCATTGTTGCATGCTTAGCAGGTGCTACTCTGTCACAAGTTGCGAGCATTGTCAAGCCAAGTAGTGAAAAGCAGAGGACAGGCAACCAAACATCTGTTGTCTCTACAATACTCAAAGTCATTCCTTCTGTTGGGCGAAAAGCTGATAATCGAGTAGAAGCTTCTTCTTCAAACAAAACTGCGAGTACCAACCAGAGTCCAACTGTAACGAGAAAAACAGTACCTGTGTCACAGCCTCCACAATCTTACCAAAGACACCAAGTTCAAAAACAAGTGCCTCAACTGTACCATTTTCGACTGCAATCAAAGTCACGGTAACATCCTCCACAGATAGAAGTAAACACGAACCTTCTATTTCGCTGCATTCCGATTCTTCCCTTTTAAAAACTGTTTCAGCTGCCAACTCAACTGCAACAGAAAATCCCTCCTCAAAGGCATCAAATCAAAAGATTGTACCATCTACCAAAAACAGGACATCATCAGAACGACAGTCTCACAAACCACAAAAAGCCTCACCAGTTGCAACCAGCTCTTCCAGTGAAGATACTCCAGATGTAGGAAACAATGCACCTGTAGCTTCTCGCACTCGGCCATCAACAAGACGGATCACTACTTTGTCTGCATTAGGCTCAGGTCATATCAAAAAAGGAGTCAAAGGAACACCAGTTACTTCTCCAAAAGGAGCAACATCATCGAAAAGTCTGGCAACATTGCCTACTGGAGTCAAGACAACTGTGATGTCTACCCCAGCAACAATATCGGGTATTGTTACGACAAAGTCAAGCTCGAAATCTAGTCCCCAGTCCTCGCCCATTGCATCAGACAGCCAGAAAACCAGTGCAGGGAAACATACAGCCAGTGGTGAGAAAGGAGTGGACATCAGTACCAGCAAACCAGTTTTGGCGCCTTCCAGCGATGAGGTGAAGGATTCTGCCAGCCAAAGTGCATCTGCAAAGGCTGACCATGGATATGCGGCTGCTGCTGCTCTGGCTAAGTTTAACGAAAGCATTGTTATCCAGACAACAAGAACTGTAACGTCAGTATCAGATCGTCCCAAAACACAGAAAAGAAGTCTTGCAAGTATCGTAAAGGATCTTGCTTCAAAGTCTAGTGCCCAACACTCAGTCGCACAGACCTCAAAGCAAGATCCTGGCAAGAAAGAGAAAGAATCTGCAAAAGCTAAGGATCCAGTTACTACCAAAGATAGTGGAACTGCAAAGGATATTGAAAATGTGAAGAATGCTGTAACTAAAAAGGAAACTGTCAGTGTGAAAGAAGTTGTCGCTGCAAAGGATGCTATCACTGCGAAGAATACTGTTATTGCGAAGGATCCATTTCCTTGCAAGGATGCTACACCTAAGAAGGAAATTGTGAAAGTCCAACCTATCTCACAAGGAAAGGAGGTTTCAAGCGATAAAGAGGCTTCTAAAGGGCCTGTCAAAGAGCCTGCCAAAGAGCCTGTCAAAGAGCCTGCCAAAGATCCTGCCAAAGAGCCTGCTAAAGAAATTTGTGCATCAGTCAAAGAGCCTGTCAAAACAAAAGAGTCTAAATCCCCACAGATAAAAGACAGTCAACATGGCAAAGAGGCGACACCAAAAAAGGAGTTACCATCAATTCGTAATGTTGAGCCTAAAAAAGATAATGTGCAAAAAGAAGAGTGTGTGAAGGGAAACAAAGAATTGTTGGCCGTTAACGCCAATGTTGGCGTTAAAGCCAGCGACAGTGTTAGCGAAAAATCAAACGTTTTGCCTAAAACTACCAAAGAGTCAACGGAAACGCCCAGCGATGCTGCTGTGACAAATACAGGCGCAGGAGACTCGGCACGAGCCAACCTCAAGCAGAATGATACTGATAATAAACAGACTGTGAAGTGCTCCTCCGAGAGTGCTGCCACTTCGCAAATAAATCTCACGTGACCGTGATTTTACTTTTCTAGATGTAATAACTATGCCCTAAGCGAACTTTTAAATGCTATTTCTTATCGGATTATTGTATTGCTCTTTTGATACGAAATCAAGGAAAACATCTAGATAACCAGGATACGCAAAGACCTTTGAAATTAATATATGAATACATATTATATATTATATTTCCTTTGTACTCTAGTCGAGTGAGGGGGTTGCTTCAGGGTCACTGGTTACAAGAAGGCAATATTTTACACCCGCATTTACCCCCTGATTGTACACAAAATGATAGAGCGGGGGTTGGCACGAAGTGCGTCAATACATATGATTTCCTGAAACATCTAGTATTGGTCGTTTGCCTAATATTGATAAAATCGATGTTATAATAGGTCGGAGTTTTTTACCTATCTCACATGAAGTGCACGAAAAATTTAGGCCATGCTTCTCTAACTTTCTGTAGCTCATTTCAGCCCCTTTTGCTCAGACTCATCATGTATTTTTCAAAAAACAAACCAGTTTTTTAGCATCATTGCCATTATTTTCTAGGTTTTAAGATACTTCAAGTCTTTTGAAAATAGCTTGCATGTTAAGTGGAGCTTGAATTCCCTTTTCACAATTCACGTTGATGTCCGGATCGCTTTGTAGGCTTTTTTAGCAGTACAGTTCGTCCATTCGTCTCAGGTTATGCTGAAAACCTTATATTGAAGACCAATTGTAATTCGAAATGCCTGATATCCTATGGCACTCTTAGCTAAAGTTGTTGTTTGCTACCTTCGAAAAAGAGTGACTACCCCGGATCATTAAAGAGATATGTAATGTACGTATTTAATCCAACCAAAGCCCTCGACATTTGGATGCCAAAGAAAAGCTTCACCAGTGACCCTTGATTAAGACTGCGCCTAAGGGAGATGCGGGCAAGGGGCTTCTTCATATCAGCAAGTTTTAGTTGCAGTTTTTAAGATCGCCAAGCCACGCACAGTTAAACAATATATTCAAGCAAATTAGCTGCAGTCGCTTCAAACTGATGTAAAGTTGTGCGTGATCATTTATATTAATATTCTTATCAAAGGCCTGAATTTTGTCCATAGACAATAACGTAGCTATGTGTTTTTATTATTTTTTGTAGTTGTATGAATACCAGTATTATTAATATTATCATTGCATATAGCAAGGTGATCGATCAATTGGCTTGTAGAAGTAAATGACGGCTAGAAATGGCGATGTCAACCTTGATATAAGATTTTTATTTGTCACGAAAATGTCATTCTATTTATCTTGTTTGCCGGATATTTATTCACTCCATCTGAAAATTTTTAACGTTTTTTGCCCCCATTCTTTTTATACTTGTCAGCCCTGATGAGATTCAGGACCCTTGTTCTTATTCGGTTTTTTGGAAACACCATATTGGCCGATTAGTACCCAATAAACGCGACCTGATGCATGTATTGATAACCGAAGTAGCGGATGAAATAGACGAGGCAGTCGTGATAATAGCCTGCGTGCAGACTTTACTATCCGTTGCGAAAGGAGAGCCAATAAGAACTTGTAAGGCGATCGTGATAAATACTGCTACTGTGTTGTTTTGCGTAGGTCGATACGAAAATTGAACGGCAAAGATGTGAAATGTAACGGTAAGGAATGAAATAATGTAAATAACTTTTTATCATTTGGTGGCTTAACATTCAGAGGTATTTCCAGCAAATGCTTCAGATGTGATCAAACATTTCAGTTCAGATAGTTGATTTCACTTTGAAGAAGTGTTAGAGGCTCTGCTTGTTCTATGCGTTACGCAATGAAATGAGACAATATTTCGGGTTTCATGGGAACATGCATGATACCTTCGCGAGGACTGGAACTAGTTAGCTCGTGACGTAAAAAGAGGTGCGTCGCCCTATAGAGATAGGGTCGCCCCAGAGCTTTTTATTCTGCTCGCGTTATCAGTCGTAAAATTAGAGGTATTTTACCTTACAAAAAGACAAGATAAAATCAACCAGCAACATTGCTAAGTTGCTAGAATAAACAGTATTGCAAAGGGCGGAGGCAAAACAGCTTGTATGATCTTGGATGCCCGACTATGTTCAACTGAGCCCAAAAATGCCGTTGTCAAAAAGGATCCTTTAGAGATATAATGAAACTCGGTTCAATTTTATATATATTTGTCATTTTTTACGATTACGCTACGATTTTTTCCCCATCATTACCCCTCCCCCCCTTCCCCGTCCAAAAAACAGCAAATTTTCCAGAGATAGCAAACATTCATGATATGGTAATTCCTAAGAATTTTTCTGAATCAGATCATACAGACTGATTAAAGACTCATTGCGCTACGCAAGCATCCCATAATGCATTTTTAGACAGTCTGAAATCAATTTACTGCCATTGAAGACAGTTTACTGCCATTGTTTGGATCGTCGCCACGCTCGCAAAGGCCCATTGTTAGCAATAAGTCTTTAAGTCACAAATAAACAAATGTGCTAAAGGCACTTTAAACAAACCTTGAATCAGAGGCCAATGATGATGGTGTTCAGTCCTTTTGTTTATGTTTTATACGTTCAGCTTTAGGTAACAGTAGGATTATATACAACATTCTGCTTCTAGCAGACGATGTTGTTCGAATTTAGGCAAACGAAAACCCTCATTAGATCAGCAATGAAACCAGAGCAGTCCTCCAAGATGAAAATTGACTAAAAAATCTAGTTACTGTTTGCAACGCTATTCTACTTCTCATGTTCGTACTTGATGATAAAATGAATTCACCATTTATATATTTACAGATGAGCGACACTATTTCAAAATTTTATACCCTGGGTTTGCAATTATCAAAGTAAGAGAACTGGCCAAGTTTCTAAGAAATTGACAGTTATTCAAGGTATGTAGCATCCACCGACACAGTGAATACAAAAAGTAGAAACGTGTCAGGCGATCATCCTGCACCGTTTCATTGAACAGGGGGCTAAAAGCACTCTACTTCTTCTCATGATGTACAATTTTACTTTAGCTGAAAGATACAGTCTATTTTGAATTGAACTTCGCTCGTGTATCAGGTCATTTTATGATCATTCCTATCAAGAACATATAACAGAGCAATTTCTTGGCTCATACTCTATTAAGGCTTTGAAGGGCAAGGGCAACATTTGCATAAGGGTGTGGTCACCTACTCGTGAAATTATTGACCACACCCTGATGCAAATGAAATTAATATTATAGAATTTGATGGCTTCTATAAGAAAGTTCAACCAGGGGGGTCTCCCTTTAACTAACAACAGACTATAAAATACCTCCTTTACCTTTCTTTTTAAAGACTGTCCATGGGCTTTCCAGTCCACTAAGACAAATCTATAATTTCAATACCGAATTTAAGTGTTATCATATCAAATATTTTCAATGCTGCAGAAGACAGCAACTATCTCTTGTTCTTCCATGATTTCTTCATAGATTTCTTGACAGTGTTTTTTTATTCTCTCTCCCAGATATTGTTTTTAGGTAGCTTTACACCAAAAGATGTTGTTTGTACCGTTAACAAATATTTCTTTGCTCTAAAATCTCGCAGCCGTACTGCTTCTGTGATTATCTAACTTGTTGTTGTAAAAGCTCTAGAATGTCATTTTCGTGACGTTAAGTTTAGTGTATATTTAATCTTTATCTTTTGAATGATGACATACCAGTGTTTGATGATGATGATGATGATGATGGTTGGCGACTTGGCATATCTGTGGCTGTTAAGAAGCAAGTCAAAGATGTATAATGCAGTGAGAGGTGGCTTAGCAGTGTGTCTTTGGGGTTGGGGTCAGCGGCCACAGATGAAATTATGGCTTGGGGAGGGGCAGGGGGTTAAAACATTTTGGATCTGAACATGTCAACGGCCAAATGCAAGGTTACTTTTGCATAGTTTTAAGTACATTATTGAAAGTTATTGGGGATCTTAAGACTCCAGCCCTCTCCCCCACTCAGAAGAAAAGCAAATCGAGAATTTGAATGACTCAGTGTATGTTTTGGGTATATAGAGTCAGTAACGTTTCCATTCCCGGAGTTTACGTATGGAATTCAAAATTGGTTTCCAGACCCCAAAGCGATTGTTGTTTTCATTTGCGCATTGGGAAAGAAAGAAGTGGAGAAGGTCGAAGATGCAGTGGTAAGGTTAGGCCCTTTCATCGATAAAAATCCTCCCCATCCTTTACTTCACTCGCACCAAACGTCTTCAACATGAGTTGTGGAGGTACACCGTACATTGGAAGCAAAATTAGCTTGATATCTAAAGCTAAAATCCGGTATGAAGGATATCTTTACACCATCGACACCGAGGAATCAACGGTGACATTGGCTAAAGGTAAGCTCTAATTTCGGAAGTAGAACTAGATAAATGTGTTTGAACTGTAACAAGGAATTGTATTTTTTGTTTATTTGCCTTAGCAAATGCTTTGTTGCTGGATATATTGCGGCTAACTCAGTGCTCTTTTGATTTCGTATGGAGGAATGCTTTGGCGATGTCGCACTGTTGTTTATTTCATTGTGAAGCTCTTGCAGGTCGAAGGCACTCCTGTTGGTTTTATCTTGTCATATCTTATCAGATTATTCGACCTTCACTCCACGAAACACAATTTTAGCGGGGTAAGTTTTTTAGCGGAGACCAAGTCCAGCCGACGCTTCCACCCAAAAGAATTAACTCTGAACTCTGAACAACGCTCGGAAGGCACTTCAGTCTGTTTAAAATTAGTTTCCTAAATCTTAAATGGAATCATTTTGTTTATAAAGAATATTTCCTCTTAAGGGCTGTGGATTTGAAACACTGCCATGTTAAGTTACCAATGCTTTTTTGCAGGTAAAATGCAAAATTGCTGTGCTAAACTCATTGACCTGTTGTTTCAACCTGAATCACAATTTTAGATCAATAACAATATTAGAAGTAAATTCATACAGCAAAAAATGCTATTTCTAAACAAAATAAAGGGCAGGCTCTGCCCTACTTTTAAGAAGAAATTGTTTTTGCAAAGAAAAGTCTTAAATGAACACAGAACAATTATATAAGTAAGATAGCTCATGGTATTAATTTCTAAGAAGTATATTTTCAACAACCAAATCTGCAAATTTAGTTCAAAACCATTTGTATTTTTAAGTTGGCACTGTGTTGAAAATATGGAAAAGTCACACAAACTTACGAAAACTAAAAACTGCAGAAAATCAGTTCTTAAGATGATGGAATAACAATGTGAAAGTTCAGGTTGTATTTCCTTGCATTGCTGAGTCTGTGATAACAGAAGGTTTCATGTCACTTCTGTCAAATGGAAGGGAGAATATAACAGGTCAAGGTTGATATAATATCTTTTAAATGCACGGAGAAGCTCTGAAAAGTTCACTAAAATGACCCAGTAACATTGAAAATAGGTATTTGACCATTATGAAAATGGATGCAAAGTGAAATACAATTGCCATTCAAATATTTTGGAAATTCAAAACAATATATAGACTAAAACAGAGCATTGTGTTCTGAGTTTGTGAACTTACTTGCTGAAAGACTTCCCCCTCTGTTTCATAAGTAATAATTTCACAAAATATATTTTTTTGTAATGCTTCATTCTTGATAACATAACCTGAAGGGTCATAAAACATTTCTAACTGTGCAAACTATGAAGGCCTGCTAATAATGAAATGAAGCTACAGAGAGCTCTGGAGGTCTGACACCCCCTTAAATAATCCTGTTTCAAATCTGATGAGTTTTTGCTGTGTAGGTGTGCATTGTTGGGAAACTATCAAATTTGTGTGGAAATAATGGCTGACTCATCCACTTCTCATCATTTATGACTTGGGCATAAACCTACCCCCTCCCCCTAAAGCTGCTGACAGCCCTGACAATGCAGAACATAACAAATTGTTTTTTACAGACTCGGATGAACTAATAATTGGCACAAGTAATTACCAACTTCTTTCCATGTAAATTCTTGTGGATCAGTGTTTATATAACTGCATTGTAGCAGGATACAACTGATTTTGGATATCGTACTGTGTTGCTAAAGAACTTTGCATTTGATATCGAAGTAAGTTTGATATTGGTCTAGATGTACAGTAATGGCATTTGTCAATTAAAAAGGAAAACCCAGTGACATGGCCACATTGGGGCTGTAGGGGACCTAATGGCTTCCCCTTTGCATGTTTAGCATTTTCAAAAGTTTTCAAAAGTGCAAATTTATAAGGTTTCTCTAAAAAAGCTATTTATTGATAAAAGTGTTTGTATTCTCACACATGCTTCCAAAAGATACCCACTTAAAGCCAAAGAAAAAGGCATTGAAAAAGAGCTTCACTGCAGAGTCTTGCCTTCAGACCTTGCTTTTCTAGCTTTACCAAGACTAAGCCTCTTAAACACAATTTTGGAACTCTAGCACTGTATTTTTAGAACTCAGTCTTCCTGCTTTTTTGCCATGCTTCCACAAAATCTTTATTAGTAAAGCAAATGTATGATAAAAGCAAAAAAAGTTCATCAGTTAAAAGAGGTTCAATTGAAATAGGTTACTTGCAAATTTAATTTCAAATCTGCAAAAGAAGCCAGATGCTTACTTTTCTAAACTAGCTGTGATAGAGAAGCTTAGGTTTTCCTGTTTCAAAGTTCCAGCCAAAGTTCTCTGAAACAATATCAATGAGTGGATGCAGGCATGTTTTCTATATCATGTTAACAATAATTGTGTCTCTGTTAGCAACAATTTTATATCTATCACATGTTTTATACTCTACTTCAAAGTAAATGTCATTGGTGTTCAAATTTTGCAGCAAATTTGGATTATAAGGTAGCAGCCCATAGCAAATGATGTTTCTACATTGAACTCTCCTGGGGTCAAAAAATTAATTGCTTTCTAAAGCTTTTGTAAGCAATAATCTATATTTATGTCACAAACTGCTGATTTGCAATTTTTCTGCACTTTTACCCTAGAGCTTTAGGGTTTCACATCATGATGCTTTATGTTGCAATTAAATCTTAGATAGTCATCTCATTTAAAGTGAGTGAGAATAAGGCAGTTTAAGCTTTCTACAAAGGTGAAGGCATTAAAATTTTTGTGGGGTTGAATCACCATTTTATTTTACTGATAGTTTGTTATTTTTGGTAGTATTTTTTAAAGAAGCAACTCAAAATTTTACTGTTAGAAAAAATAAAGGTTTGGAAATATTTATTTAGGATTTGCCTTGTTCTTTGTGAGAATATCTGTCAACTTTGGTATGTTTTGTTTCATTTTCTCTAATCGACACTTACTCGTTTTAATACAGTTTTTTGAAGGATACTTTACATTTCCAAGTCAAAAATTTACCAAAAATCAGAAAGCAGCTGCAAAAGCTATTGGTAGAATTAGAGATTAAAACCAGTCCAGCTGCTTCTGTTATTATGTTGCTATTAGCCCTTACCTATGGCCTTTTGTATTTGCTTGTCATTAACACTGTAAGCTCATTGAAAATAATCCAGATACTAGATGATTAAAGGAAATCACCAATTGCAGAAAGTCATCTGGCAAATCACAAATATCCTGTCAAAATGGGTAGCAATGGAAAGTTTCCAATTATATCAATTTACTTTCTGAACTCGTAACTCAAAAGAAGCAAATTCATGGATAAAGTGAAAGGGCAAGCAATAGTTCTTGGTGACTGAGTTAGTATGCATGTTCACTGCCAATTGAGGGTCACATAGATTTGGTGACGATTTTGAAGAAACAACTGGATAATTATTCTGATTGATTTTTGCATGAAGTTTTAGGTTATTTTGATTGCCTTAATTTTGATCAACTGATGTGCAGTTACAAAGTTTGACTTATAGCTGGAGTTGGATTTAAGCTGTAGTCAACTTATCAAGGTTCCATTGTATATATATGATGTTTGTCAAATCATTGTTTTCTTTTACAGTTAAGTCATTTGGTACAGAAGATAGAAGTGCACCAAACAGAGTGCCAGAACGCAATGAGATTTATGAATATATTGTGTTTAGAGGAAGTGACATTGATGATCTTCATGTAGCCGAATGTCCCAAAGGGAGCAGATCCCAAGTGGCAGAAGATCCAGCCATAGTCCAAGTAAGCATATTTCTGACATACTTCATAACCTTATGCTTATATTTACACGGATACGCAAGGGTACTTTTGAAACAGCTGCTCTGGCCCACAACAAAGTTTCTTCTGGCCTGCCAAATGCTTTTGACTCAAAATGTTTTCCTTTACCTGACCCTCCCTGTTTCATGTCAACTTAAAATAGATAAAACAATGGAACCTAGTTATAAAAATTCTTAAAATATTGCTAACGAGAACGCCTATTGAGAACGTCTAAAATCTATTTAGATGTAGTTTCTGGCCATCCTTAGATAAGTATAATTTAAAATTTTTCTTGCTGCCAACCATTGTGGCAGCCTATGCTAACTTCACCAACAATCATCACATTTTCCCATCTTTTTAAACTACATTTAACAGTCTATTAAACTCACTTTAAACCCTTCAAGTCAACATAACAATAGTCTAACAAAAGATTAATTTTCCAACTTGAAAATTGGACAGTGTGTTCAAACAAAGATCTTCTGATTCAAACTGTCACAAGAAATGTTAAGTTGCACAATTTTGTGTAAACTATTTCTTTGCCTTATATACTATGCCACGGTTTGAGGCTTTAAGCCCCACCCCTCAGCCAGAAAGTATTTCCGGCCTCAGGCCCGTGAATCCACTGTTAATTGCACATTGAGCCAACCCCTTCAACATCCAGCCAGCGTCATGTCCTATCATCCACCTTCTAAAATTTATTTCACCCTGAATAGATTTTACAATTGTAAAACCTTACACAAAATAATGGTCTGCCTATATAATCAGCCTGGTAAGTGTGAGATTTCATTTTGGTCTGTTTTTTTACACATGGTATTTTAAAGTTGAAAACTCACTTGCCCCCAAAAGAAAACCTTGCAAACATTTTTTCTGGCCCAGCACTCAAAATACTTAAGAACCTCTGCTCTATGATATGTCATAAGTTTTTCTGGATCAAATTGTGCTGCTTCAATGTGAAAATTAACTCCAAATCCTAGTTTTGAACTGCTAAACTGGATGATTAAAGGGGAATTGCTTCAAAATTTTGTTGGCATTGTTCCAGTCTCTTTTAAAAACATGCATATAATGTAATTTCCTGGTCACTGTTATGACAGAAACTCACCATGTTTGGCTCCCACTATCAAAATGTCATTTTTGCAGGGTGTGTTTAGTAGAGGGAGGTGTGTAAGTATATTTTTGAAGGGAAATGGGATATGTGTATTTCTTGCTAGGTGTTTATTAGAAGAACCACAGCAACCAAGTTGATAAGCATTTTATTTTATGACCATTTATTACTCATTTATGAATGTTCCCATTTCATGTCAAGCAAATTGCAGCTGCTGTAACGGTCATCCGTAGAGTCAAGCAAAAAAGAGAAGCATGCTTAAAACACTATATATATATTTCTTGTTTGTTTAAATGTTAATGTATTTTAAGCTAGAAGAATGATATGTCAAACTAGAAGATATATATCTGTAATTTTATTATTATTTCTCTTTTTTTGTCAGACTGGAAACACCCAGCCAAGTATGTATCAGCAGCAAATGCAAATGCGGTTAGGCACTCCAATGGCCCCACAGAGCTATGGACCTTTTGGTGGAATACCCCCATATGGTTACCCCATGGGCTTCAGGCCACAAGGAAACATGCCTCTTTCATCAGTAATAGGGCAGAGTGGCATACCAGACCGGAGTCAAAGGTCATCATCATTTGATCAGTTTAGAAGAAGCCCTTCACCCCCCAGTGCTGGAGTTGTTGGCCATAGATATCACAACAAAGAGAAAGCAGAGAGGAACAGGTCTCCTGAAGGTGACAGAAATGTTTCACGACACAGTGAAAGTCAGCGGTCATATGACTCCCAGCCTGGTTCTGCAAAGCCACAAAGAGAGCAGAGGAGCAACCAGCGTCAAAAGGATGGTGATTATGAAAGGACAAGTGAGAAGAATAGCTCAAGAAAGCTTAGCAGAGACAATGACCAGCAGAGGTATAAGATTTTCCTTACCTTTAATCATCACACTAAAACATATCGTATTAATGGCTAAGTCTGTTGAACTATGCTATTTGGCTATAACTTAGCTTTAAAGTCTTAATTAATATCAAATATTGTTTGATTTTAATATCTAAGTAGACTACTTGAGTTAATATTAAAGTACTTGCAATGTATATCGTTGCTACTTACAATCCGAGGCATAAAATATGCCCTGAAAGTATCATAGATTAGAAGTCATGTAGAATGGTGTTAATATGTCTTTGGTTTGCTGAAATTTGTCAATTGTACAAATATCACCTTTTTGTCATGACCTTGGTTTTGGTTCAGGAAGCAAGTCTGTTATTGTTGTCTGTTGTTTTCAGGCATTCTCACCGTGACAGTGAAGATACAAAGGAACATGGGAAGGCAAAGGACAAAGATCCTCCCAAAGAAAAAAGTAAGGAATCATCACGTGGACCAAAAAAGCAGTATGACGGTAAAGAGTCACAAGGAAGCAAGGGTGAAGTGTCAAAAAACAGGTCAGAAGGTAGAGAAAAAGGGGGGCACAGAAAGACGGAGAATGAAAGTCAGAAAAAGGATGTCGCAAATAAAGATGTTGAATCAAACAGAGATTCGAAGAAGGAGGCCAACAAGGATTCAACCAGAGAGGGTATTTAACACATGCTTTCGTATTTAGTATTTTGTCAGACTACTGTAGGTAGAAGTTAGTTACAAACGGATGGGATTTGTTTTGAACTCTCTCTTTTTGTATGATATCCAGTCAGGCTGTCTATTACTCAGAAAAATTTCGAGCTGTCAACGCCTTGCAGGTGCATAGGTCAGACCGTGTCTCATTTTGTTTTTTTGCAACTTTTGCGGCATGTTTTGTAGAATGTTGCTGGCCATAAATTGTTTTGATAAGTGAGTGCGTTTTTAGGTTATGACGGCGGAAGGGGTCATCATAGGCCTAGAGGAAGGGGCCGCCCCAGAGGACACGGTTCAAACAGCAAAGCCAGGTTTGACAAGGACTTCGATTTCGAGCGAGCCAATGCCAAATTCAATAAGGAAGAAGTAGAGAAGGAATTATTGTCTGCTCTGAAGAAGAAAGCCTCGCTTAAGGATGATGATGACGTAAGTGAATTCTTGGGAAATGCCTGTTTATAATAAGGACGTTTTATCTTGCCAAATCTTATTGTGATTTAAGTTCCAAACAGGAATGTTTGTAGCGAATGCTTAGAGAAGATTTTTTACCTGCTACTCTTTTTATGTTTGTACATTTTCGTATTCAAATTGATGAATTATTGAAGCTTTTTATTAAGAGAAAAGCAAATTGTTCATCCAGGTGATTGTCGAGAAAGATTGCCAAGACGATTCGCATGACGAGTTTGCAGATGGAGAGATGAACGGCGAGGATGTGTATTATGACAAATCTAAATCGTTTTTTGATCAAATATCTTGTGATGCTGGAGGCCCAAAGAGCGAGGGGTGAGTGCGATCAACTCTTCACATCTAATCATATTTACAGATAAACTTAGAGATCATGATACAGAAAGAGAAAACATGTTAGAATCTATCCCATGTATAGTCAAACAGGATCTGTTAAATCCGAATACACCCCACTTTGCTGCACTTTTGATAATAACAATCTAAAGCAAAGTCCTCTTCTCCCCAAATATGACAAAATGTTTATATATGAGTTCAGGGGCCAAAGTTTATATAAGCTTGTGGGTTGGATTTCAGTACAATCTGCTTTATACCCTTCACCTGTTTGTCTTAGCCAGTATTTTTTTGTGATGGCTGTTAACGATTCAGTATATCAAATTCAGTGTATCACAAATACAGTTTAGTCTTGTCACATTTGATATTAATTAGATTGCTGCCCTCTGAGAAATTTTCAATCGGCAGTGGATCCAAAGACGGAGGATATAAGAACGATCTCAGCCGATTCGTAGCTGCAAGATCGGATACACCCCTCCAAAATCAATTTCAATTTTGAACACCAGAGCTGATGAGAATTTCAGTCACTGTGGTACTATAATTTGAAACATGTTTCATAGAAATTATCTTCTGCTTTCCGCTATACTTCTTCGCCCTTGTAGTCCTGGAGGCAGCTGTCTAGACATACCCTAAACATGAACCAGGTGGCATGCATATATAGTAAAAGAATTTAGGCCCCTCCCTACTCGTCCACAGAAGTTGTATATGTTGGTTAATAGCAGGGGTATGAGATTAGTTAATAGAGGGGATTAATCACATTAATGCACAGGCTACTACTCTTTAGCTTTCCATCGACAGCAGTTGCAAATTAAACTGTTTGCGTTGAACGCTTTGTCATATGGGATTCTTAAACCCATCTTTGTGAAAACGGCGTGCCTTATAACTTGGTTTACTGTGTGGATGACGGCGTTTTGAAACGTACCTGCCTTGCTTTCTCCGTTCAGGTTTTCAAAACGAAAAGAAAGAGCATTAAATGTACAAACGTTTGGATTTGTACCTCACAACTACAGAGGAAGGCCTTACCGTGGCCGTGGGGGTAGAGGCTCAAGAGGCAGAGGGTATGGTCGAGGAGGACAAAGCGGAAGGACGGGTCGTGGGGGCAACAGAACATGGGTTGACTACGACTTTGATTTCGAAGCTGCAGGTATCAGACAGGGGAATAGTTCAAGCAAATCCGGAGGTAATGGCCTTTAGGCTCACTTTATATTACCATTAGCTGGAAATTGCTACTTGTGATGTATTGATTTTGTTTGGAAGACGAGCCGCCATTTGTTCGAAGCTCGTGTTTGATTGAAGCTTGAAAAAAGGGTTCAAAAAAGGATTGTACCTTGGTTTAGTTTGTTTTCTTGCAGTTAAATTTTTCATTTCAAAACACTCTTCTGATAGGCTAATATTTTTTTATTTTAGGAAGTTGACCTGTTGATCCATGAAGCGTAATTTGAGTTTAAAGATGAATTTTAAAGAATTTAAAGAAGCCTCGGATGGCAGGTTTTAATTGTTTTCCATTGGATTTAAAAGCTTGTTCTGGCGTCCGAACAGCCAGGGGGGCGACAGTCAACTCCAATTAAGCGGTTTTCCTACATTCATATACTGTAAATAGGAAATCTTATACACAGCATACCAGTAAGTCGACTGACCAAATCTCATTTCTAGACATATTTGTTCAGAGATATAGCTGGGATGCAGTTTTTTCTTCATCGACTGTCAAGTTCTTTACTCAATCATGATTAAATCGCTAGCCACATTTTGATGTTGTTGTTTTGGGATACGAATGAGTCAATTATGAATCACAGCATAAGAATCAGGATATAATTCCAGCCTTTCCCCGTAATGCTGCTTCAATAATTATAAGAGTCAGTAATTTCCTAGTAAAGGCTTACGGTTGTTTGCTTACCTATTTCGGTGGTTTAAAGTCTTAGATAACCTACCTGCTTGACAGCTTGGACCCCTAATTTTCCCTTACGGGGTTTTTGTCCAAAAATTAATGTTTCAAACTGACAATATTTCTTGTTAACTTAGTAAAAAATTTGCTTATGTTAATTTGTGTTTCTTAAATTTCATGGCCAAAGGCCTTTTATAGACAAACGTTGAAACATAAATAGCAAATTTATGTTTGGATATTAAACGCTTCTTGCATGATTTGAATATACGTGCTGCGAAGAGAATGCTTGCAAGGCATGCACGTGGCATCGCCTTTTGTTTTGCATTTTCTATACCGCACTGTTGAATTTTCACACATGCCTTTATTAAAAATGAATGTAAAACAACAAAGCAATGCTTCGACGCTCTCGTGTTTTAATGCCAAGTTGCCAATGTTGAGTTTATCGATTGAGCCAAGTCTTCCCTTTTCTGCCCTTAGTAAAAAGCACTAGGACTTTAAAGGAATTCGTTAATTGCTTCAAACATTACCGTTGTTTTAGATGAAACTATGAATTGACCTGTTTTTGAAGAACCCTGTTGTTTCCTCGACGGCTTTAAGGCGCAAATCTGCGTTGTTTGATTACGACATGAGGTTAGTTTTCGTCAATATTGATTTCTTATGTATGATAATGGTATGCTTATACATAGCATCTAAATGCCCTTTATTGATGAAAACTTGAGTTTATCGTCAGAATTCGTGTTTTGTCTCTTGTTTTTCCCTAAATTTCTTAATTTTATAAGAAGTTTTCATTGGTTTTTGAATAAATCCCCTAGAAATTGAGCTTGTAATCGAGACCTTATGAGGTTTAAAGTCGGGTCATTTTTTAGATTAACACGCCAAAGGTCCGAGTTTCTAATGAAGTTATAAATGGGATTCTCCAAGTTAGTCCTTTGTTTCTATTACTTATCACGCCGAACTGTTCCTTAATACACAAGTCTCGACTCTTGAATTCGGGAAGTAAGATGTAAGCTATTAACTCTTTTATGGGTAATTACTTTGGAATTGTTGACATTATGTGCATTTTCTCATAGTGTTTAAGAGTAAAAGAGTTAATAATTATACCATTTCATCCTAAATTACAGTTTGCAAGAATAACACATTAAAACTCGTTTTCCACACAACTTTTCTAAAACCATTTGGAAAGTTGGCCTGTTTCAGAGTTTCGACCTTCTTCGACTATAATTTCGCCCTTCAAAATTTTCCTTGTATGCTTTGAGTAAAAGGTTTCTTAGAAATTGAATTTAAGTGAAATAAACCATGGTTTGGTCTTTATGTTTTGTCAGGAAAAAAAGGAGTCCCAGCACAATAGTAATTTCTTCCTACTTTATAAACTCTAGAGTTGTTACTGTGCCCTCGATGCTTTTGCATCAGCACTACGACCCATTTTTCTTCGAGGTACCCGCCCTTGTGCTTCCACTCATTATCTTCCCTATTCTCCAACCCTCTTTTTGCGACCAATATCCTATACCACCCACAAAAACGCATTCCAAGCTTTGGGCATTTTTAATATTTAGAATTGCTTGTCTAGCTGTTGAAAAACCACAAAAATATATACTTTAACGTTCTCTTTAAAAATGTCTCTAAAAGTCAGTTCAGGTAATAATTGTCTCCATGAATTACCTTTAACAGTTAAAGAAAACTGACACAGCTTTTAAGTCAATTTAATGTATTCAATAACAACATTTGCTCACAAAAACTGAACTTCAATATTCCTGACCAGAAGTTTGATAAAAAAGATGATTTTTAACTAAGTTGAGTGCAGTTTTAGATTAGATCCATCTCTCAAGTTAGATATATTTGTTTGGTTCTGCTGATTAAAAACGTCTTCTTTATTAAAACCAAAAACCCCAAACGAAAAGTATTTACGTAAAATTTTAATGATAATTAAATGAAATTTAATCAGAGTTAATTTCGCGAGGGGCTTTTGCTGTTACCCCTTGGTTGATTATTGGTCTTTTTGGTCTCTTGTGCCACGCCTCCTCGTGGTCCGCTTGTATTTGCACTTCTAGTTTGTTGGTATTGCGTGGTGGTTTTGGCCTCCTGGGGATTTGTAAGGTAAGGCAAGGTAATGGTTCGTGGCATTTTCATTCCCTTGGTTATTCTAGGGGCGTTTAAGGTTTTTTGGCAGTGTGGGTCTCACTTTGCTGGGTGAAAGACGAAGTACAGAGTGCTGTTTATTTGTTGTTTGTTCTATTCTTTGCGAGATGTCCAAGTATCGGAGTCATCGAGTGATTTTCCTATGAAGTTTTATTTTGTCACCTCTGGAGTGGCCGCTAGAGTCGGTGTCTTAGGAAATGCTGTGTTGGAGATGCAGAAAGCCTTGTTTCATTGCGTAGCCTTGTTTCATTGCAGAGCTCGTCGTTTTCAAATCAAGGTATGAATTTGAATGTTCCTTTGTCTTTGAAACAGAATTTGCCATATCGTGTTCTTAGCTAAGTTTTTTACGGTGTCCTCGGCAGTAAGCTCAATTCCAATTTTCTCGGCCCCGAGTTCACCAAATTATTCGACTGTTCATGATTTTTTGGTTAGCAGTGCTTCAGCATCTATCGCCACGCCTTCTTTAGTTTTACCTAAAGTTTGGTTGGGATTTACTTCTCAATTTTTTATGACCCAAGCGGGGATTTCATGACTTTCAGTAGCTGGTGCTCTTCCGCCTATCCCTGATTATTTGGTGCAAATGGTGTCGAAAGATCTGTTTGTTGAGCTACACTCTTTTTTAAAAAGAACACAAGCCTTACAATTGGTCAAAAGTTGAGAACAAATTAAAAAGAAGCTGAGGCTGAGCCATGTGTGAGTGCTTTTTCGGTGAATATTCACACGTCTTGGCAAATGAAGGTTGTTTCGCTCACTTTGTTGGCCTGCACACCTTCCTAGAGCGAAAAATCTAGCAATCCCACTGCTTGCACCCTACTAATTTAAGAACAAATTAAGAACAATCCAGCATCAGATTTTTGAAAAAATTAAGAGCAGTCAGCCTGAACTTAAATTTACTGGTTCTTATAAATAGTGTAGTTTTGCTCGGACCGTGCAATTTGGTCCAGCTTCCTCAAGTAAAACCTGTTGGTGCGCAACTCATCAAATTGGGCAAATGCGAAGAAAACTCAAGTATGCAACCAGTTCGTTCTTTTCTGGATTAAAAAATGTCGGATTTTATTCCCGATTACTGACAAAAGAAAGAAAAAAGGCACTTATCTTAGGCTATAGTCTTAGGCTATTCCCGTTGCTGAATTTATATTTATCAACATATAAAAAAATGATACTTTGACATTAATAAAAATTAAGGTATCGAATAAAGGTTCTTTCAAATTCCACTCGTTTTTGAGGTAAGAAAAATAGTATTTTTGCCCATGATTGACGACTTCCCTTACTACTGCCTTAGATATCTATCAAAAGATTTGTATAGAAACCTTTAAAAAATCGAATTCTTTTTCCAAATTAATGGTTTAATGGAGAAAGGGATTTATCTAATTTCTTTCAACTTTCTCTTCCTAGCATAGAATGTAAATGATAACATACGAAGAAGAAGATATCGAACAAAAAGCTTTTTGCAAAATTCAACGCTCTTTTGAGTTTGAAAAAACCGGTATTTTGGCAAAGAATAACGATTTGCCACTACCAGCATTTACAATGAAACGAAAATACAATGACATCGAATAAATTTATAGGGTTTATGTTGGGGTTTGTACCATGCGAGAACAGTAGTTGAAACACTTCGTGGCACGAAATTCGATTGTCTTGAGACTTTGTAACAACACTCTGCGACAGAAATTGCTAATTTAATAAAGGGATTCCTGTTATGTAAAAAATTTTTGCGGAAAGAAGGCTCGATTTTCCCCGATTAACAGAAATATAAAAAACAATTCGGTAAAAAGCAAGAACATTTAGCTAGGTAGGTTTCTATGTTTCATATAAATGTCATTCTAACAACGATGTATAATAAAAATAATTCTGCACAGAAGGTGACAAGACGTAAATTACGAAACAATTAACGACGTGATCATTATCAAATACACAGAAATATATGGAACAAAACACTAAAAATGGCGGCAGTAAACGTGATGTAATGTAACATCTCATAGGAAAAAGGCATGAAGTGTCCGAGTGTCAAAGGTGGGAATTTCATCACCACTTTCTACTCAATCTAATGCTTCTCCGATTGTTCGTTAGCCAGTTCTCCGTCATCATTTAAGAACATTCCAGGGGAGAATGGTGAAAGTCCATCCATATCTTCGTTTTCATCTAGAGAGAAAAATGTAGACAAGAGGTTAAGCTACTTCAAACTGAAATACAAATGCTATATGAAACAGGGAATTTGCTTCTATGAATGACACAAGTCTAACTAAGAATGCTTACCAACTCTGTGGCCATCAATTTCTTCCATCTCTGTCGGGTCAGCAGAAGCCGCTTCCAGAGCTGCAGTTATTGCCTGCTATTTGAAAGAAAATATTACTTTTTATCGTCATGTCAACGTTTGTTATGACTTGTAATCTAAAACTGGAATTTGAGTAGAAAATTCATAGAGAGTGCAGAACATGTGTTGGTCAGACAGCTGATGACGGCAAGGAGGAATTGTCAAAACACATGAAAGAGGAAGGAAGGATCTCACGTGGCTCACTGGCCGGAGGAGGAAGGAAACTCTTTCTGTATATTGCAATTGCATTCAAATTTCAGCTAGAAATAATTCAACAGATGTGCAAAGAGAGAAGATTGATAATCTGCAACAAAAGCTTGGATTTTACCGGTGAGAGAAATAAGATCACAATGGTTGAGGTTTAACTTAAAGGTACGATCGAGAGAGACCTGCAAGCAAATGGCCTAACAGATAAAGATTAATGAAAGAAAGACCTGGTGCATGCTAAGAACCAAAAAACAAACCCTTAATATCAGGGATAAAGCCAGCGGATAATCATTGGATATGCGTGATCCTGTTTTTGAAGTTTGCTTTAACGAAAGAAATATAATCTTAATCTGTTAAGAGCTAAGAAGCCTACAAAGTGACATTGAGGAAAAAAGAATAAAGCTTTTATTTCAGGCTATTACATTTTTTTCCATCAACAAGCATCTGACCATTGGAAAATTTAAGTTACGGTTTAATCTGTCAAATGTGATGAGAATGATTTTACAAAGTACTGATATCTATCTATATATCGAAGAATGATGAAAAAAGGAATACTTGATTTAAAAGAAAATGCAGAACAAGAGTGACAAAATATTCTTCAAACTTGTGTCCTTAAATTGTTTTTAGTTATGGTAAATATTAAACTGCAAAACATTTCGTGCGTATTCCAGTAACAAACAAAAACCAGGTTACTCACGTAGGGTACAGTGGTTGGCGCCGAAAGATTTTCCTCTGAATTGAAAAGCTAAACAAGATATATAAGATATGATCAAATGTTTGGAAACATGTTCTCTTTTCGCATAAAATGTTTTACTCAAGTTTATAGCTTGGCTAACAAAGTACACTGTTACCGGTAAAATTCAGGGCAAAATACAAAGTATCACATTGCACCTATTAAAAACAATTTCACTTAAACTCTCAGAGGATCAGGACAGGACAGAGTTATCTTTGTATGTAAGTTATTTACAAGGGAGCATACAACACAACAGGGAAATTATTACAGATAAGACGTTAATTCATATCACGAAGAATTACACATGCAATTAAGAAAAATAAGTCTTTAAGGCTTTGTTTCAACGTACTGCTATGAAGTGGCCCAGCTGTTACTATTTTTGCTCTAAATTGATCTAAAATCTATGAGAATTTATGAGTGATAGATCAGAGTTTGATCATTTTTATATTAAAGATCCACTGTCCACCTGAAAAAAATTCTAGGTAAATTTTCCACACATACCTGTAAAAGCGTATCCGCATCCAAATTAAACTGGGGACCTGACAGAATTCCTTGCAGTGAATCCAGACTACTGGTTATATGATCCACATCTTGGTCAATCACGTCTCTACAAGACAACATTCGCTCCTTAGCAAAGAGTTAATTTAAACCGTATTTGAACCAAACAATACGGCAACTCAATATTTTTCAACAATCAGTTTTGAATTTGATTTAGAAATTCTTCTAACCCTATTTTAATATAGTATCTCAGCAAAAACGTGCACTGAGAAACAATATTTCATTGCTTTGTTGAAATGAACTCTGTTCAAACGTTTTTGGTTTTGATACCCGAGAAATCTTTAAATATATCATTTCACTCTGTTTAAATACATATGAATATGTCCAATAAATAAAACTAATGAATATATATTGCTATTTTCTTTAATTCAGAGATTATATTTTGAACTTTGAAAATCAATTTTTTGCATATCTAGGGCAAATGCGTTTTCTTCCCTTTCTTTTGCCCTCATTGTACACCACTACCCTCCAGAGGCTTTTATACGATATTTGCCAGTCAGGCTTTCGGAGAAAACCATTCTAAAAATCTTATATCATTTTGCTCATGATACAGTATCAATGTAAGGATTAGCTTTAAAGTTTTGAGGGGAAGAGATTAGCTTTAGAAAACGCTTAAAGCTGACATGGTGTTCAAAACGTTTTGTGAGTTATTTAATATTTTTAAAAACTGTACGTTGGAAGAAAGTTTGGAGGCTAACGTTTGTCCTAAAAAATAACAGCCTTACTTGTCAGCGCTGACTGATCTCTTCAGAACAACTGCACTCGAAGGATTAAAAGAGTTCTCGAGTTCTTCAAGAGTTTCACTCACAGCCGCGTTCGGCATATTAGTGTGGGACGGGAATGCCGGTGCAGGACTATCGAAGATGCTTGGAGAGAAGTCGAGGGTTGGTTCTTTCGATAATGAAACCATGGTTGGCATTTTGAGTTTCAAGGAGTCTTCGCTTTTTGGCTTCGAATTGGTCTGGGATATCCTTTTCTTTGTTTTTGTCGTGCTCGCAGTTTGTAGAGCAATGGAACTGTCACGTGCTTGGTCAGTGCTGATCACTGGTTTTGAGGTTATGTCTTGAACAAGTGGTTCGTCTGGTAACAGTGTAATTTGCGGACCTTAAAAAAACATCAGAATAAAGTAAGTTACCACTTCTCTAAATGCAGAATCAATAGAAAAGTGACAAACTGAGAAGTGCTACGAGTAACTGTTTACAAGATGATGCAAAGATTTGGATACAAACATGGCTTTTTAACCAATTTTGAAGATACAGCATCATATGTCTTGCATCAACTAAAATAAACTGAATCATTAAATTCTATTTTTCAGTCTTTTTTTATATCTCATGATGAATAATTTTGTGGCCGCAACTTTACAGAAAATATATTGCCTATCGTATTTTTCAAGACGGGGGTATGTTTATTTGATCAACAATTTAGAAACCCATTCTTTTATGCATTTATAACAGAGAAAAAATAAACATAATTTTACCAGATGACGTAGTTTCAATGTCAAAGTTTGATAGGACGCTGTCCACTGCCTTTGGCTGAAAAAACGCATTTGCAAAGCATTAAAATGATGTAAAAACAATTTATAGACAGGGATGATAAATGCAATATAACAGGAGAATGGTATATGCTCTAATAAGGAAAGATTGTTGTCAATACATAGATCATTTAGGCTGGGTATGTGATAAGAAAAGGGTTCGGAGAGACTACGGCCTAGCTATTTTGGACTAGGAGTGACCTAAACTAGATTTTGGTCACAGCAAAATGACACGAGAAAATTCAGGAATGCGATTCCTCTGTTACTCCTCCGAGTAAAAAATGACGGAAAATCGTCTAGCATACAATGTGATATACAATGTGATTCGGTGATAGGTCGAAATTGACTTGGCGAACTAGGGTGCATGCAAGCACATATTGATGACAAAGTCAAATTCAAGCAAGATCGTCTTTTTATTCAGACGGTTCGGGACCTGACTACATCAAAACAAAAGATTTGTGTAAACAGAAAGAGTTCGTTTTCTCTCTTCAACAAAGTGAGGGTATTCCGGCTACGGAATGGTCAAAAACAGAACAGAATAAACGCATGATTCCTAATCTCGCATTTTTTCGATCCGCACCTTTTGGGGATTGTTCAGCATTTTACTCAGGGGACCATGCGTTATGTTTCAGATCTTTCGTTAAAATTCAAAACTTAAAGTATCAAATTTTGAATCAGCTTTTAGCAGTAAAAGAAAAAGAAATAAAAACAAAAATCAACATACTGATTCGACCACATATTTTAGGCTCTCAAGCTCCTCCACCTGGGCCTGGGATCCTGACGAACGTCTCCGTTTTGTAGATGGCTGACCTTGCTCAATGGCAAGCCTATCAATTGAATACAAAGTAGGTTAATTAAGTCGTATAGGCAGTTTTATATCCACTGTACACATCAATTAAAGGGAGAGCCATTTCAAGGATACTTAAAAGATATATTGTCCGTTGGAGGGAGGTATCTATTGGCTTGAGATTACATTACAAGTTTTGATCACTTTAAGTTTTTCAAGAAAATTATGATCATACAGAGAAATATCTTACTAGCAAAACTTGTTTTTTCTTTGTCAAACCTTGGCAATTTTTGCATTTTGTGTACCTTGGTATGCGAAAATTGGTATACCTTGGTAATTTCTGGGTATCAAAACAGTTGAAATCAAGGACGTCTTGACATAACATTCACTTCCAATGACATGCTCACATCTTAAGAATGTTTTTTGCAAGATTTAGATGCAGCTTTGGGATAAATGATGTGTGTGCCTTTCTTGGAGGTGTCTGATGAAATAGGGGTTCTTTTAGGCATCACTGTTTGTTCAGCACGAAAACAAATCTGAATATAGCAGTTTATGAAAACAACAATTAAAAGCACGAGATAGTCTTTTCTTATTGACCATTCTCCACTGTGGTTATATCATAGCAAAGATAATTTTAAAAGTAAAATACATGACCAATCTCACATACCAACAAATCAAAACATAATGAAATAAAACCTACCTTTTTCTATTCTTGACACCTTTGCGTCCATAAATGAGGATAAGGAATTTGATCAGCTAAAAAGATACACAAATGAGACAAATAAGTTAATGACAATAATAAGGATGCATTGAATATAAAACACAAGGCTACAGAAATAAATAGGATTCTTGTATATATTCCAAACTGTTCATGGGCAATGTCAATAAATTGATAAACTAAAAGGCATATCATAAAATGTATTTTTATAATCATGAAAGGTGGCATGTTGAGTATTATTCACATCGAAAAGGTTTAGAGCTAGTTGACTGTGACTATATTTTGATCCTTGGAGAAATATTTCCCTAACATTGGGCATATAACTATCTACCTTATTTAGAACATGCTGTTGCTTGTGGTGCTTCATCCTGAGTTCTGTGAGTTCACGCCAAAGCATTTCATTTTGCCTGTAAGTTGGAAAATTAAAATGTGACAACGATTATTAATTGGTTGGTAGGGAGGAAATCATTAACCAGCATTTCAACATTTCATAATTGCAGGTTTGGAAGATAAAATTACATTAAGATATGCAACCAACACATTACTTTAACCAACTGAAAGTAGCTTCATTAAGATGTATTACCAATGTTAAATATAATATTTGACTTGTATTGTAAGTAAATTAAGGTAATTTATAAGGTAATTTATTTTGTAATAATTACAATATAGACAAAAATTACTTACAAACTTTCATAATGATAATTTCATGTCAAATAACATGCAGACATTCATTGAACAAGCAGAAAATTGTTTTAGATAATAACAATGAGAATGACGATTTACAAAGCTAAAGTATAGGTTGCAAAAAAATCTTATAGTAAATATAATAATCATTGCCAAATGTCTTGAAACATTCGCATCAAATTTCAAGGGTTCATTCAGCTGTACCCCTTTCCTTTTGAAACATTCTGGTTCACTAAAAAAATGAAGTAAGAGATTGGGTATAATGTCTTTTGCATGTCCCATACGATGGTGCAAAAGAAGCAGTACGTAAGAAACATTGATGAAAAGATAAATAAATAAAAATGTTTTCAGAACCTGAAGAGGTTTTCCAAAATACATACATTTTCAAATTTTCAAGCTGACTCTGGACAACACCGTGCTTTTCACGCAGCTGCTGCACATCCTCAATAACATGAGAAACATCTTCACTTTTTATCTTCTTTTCTTCTGGATGTACCTGCTGACAAAAGTGGAAGCATGAACAATTTGTATTTTACATTCTGGAATGTCATTGCCAATTCCCTATGCTATATGTTCACATTTCAAATTCTGTAAAAAACAGAGACCAGTTTCCTTTTCAGTGTCCTTGTTGGGAAACACCAAGATCCAATTTATAGAAGAGAGAAGGATCCCTAGTTACTTATCAGTTAGTCGGTAAACTTTTAGTTGGTCACAAAAACAGCCTGGAGGTAAGTAAAATATAATCATGTCATTATCAGCTTTTGAGACAATTACCATTCTCTGCTCAACAATTTTGAGGGTCAAGGTATGCAACTGGGGGATGCAATGAATATATTAATGGAATGAGACAACTTTCATTTTTTGAACAAGAGCAAAACTTATGATTACCACATTTCAAGAATTCACAGGGCACGATTAGTCTTTATTTCTTAAAACAATTATTTTTAAAAGAAGTCACTTATCTCAGCAGTTTTCTTACTTTAGTTTTGGACATGCAATAACTTTTATTTGGACAACTATGTCACAATTTAGAATTATTGGTAATATTTGGTACTATAGGGAAAAATGGCATATTGATTATCAAAACAAATAACTTTATGGTTATGATTCATAGACCTTTTACTAAAATGAAAGAGAATCATATTGAGAAGCAAATATTGTAAACAAAGTAAACATTGAAAAAAGCAAAGGTCACAAACAGAATGAATAAGGGATAAGCCTTCAAGGTAGCAAAATAACAAATAATCAAGCCTGCTCTAATAGTAAGACGAGGCCTTGTAGAAGGGCTTTTTAGGAAACAGAGGCATGTTATGATGGGTCATGTTATCATATTTTGATTATCATATTTTGATTATCACCAAAAAATTATCATAATTGACAAAAACAATGCAGACATTGTTTTTGAATGTTTTTATATCAATTGAAATACATAGAAAATAGAAATGGAAGGAAACAGTATCTATATTTCAGGTAACTAGTTTTGCTGTCAATTTTTTAAGAAATGCTCATGGCTCCCCAGATCAAACAAACAATATTTTATACACATTCAGCTGAAAGGCCTATGGCATTAGACTGGATGATTTGCCAACCTCAAACCAATAATTAGATCACAAACCTTCCTCTTAACAAGTTCAAGCAACTCTGATTTTTCCCTGGCAAAATATGGATGATGAAATTCCCACTCCGGATTATCAGATTTTATTCCACCATGATCAGTTGAAACTAGCTTTTTGAAGCCATCTAAAAAACAAGATAATATGAAAGAATGTTGATAAAATAAAATATTTATACTTCAAATAAAAACATTGCACATATACCTAATGCAAAGAGGACCAAATGATAGAATATAAATGTTGCTATCTTGTAGCAAGGACTGTTTTTGAGATTATTTTGAATAATCATAGAACTGAATATCTTTAGAAGCAGTTGAATATGATAAAAATGAAACAAATATGCTGCTTAAAAAATAATTTGACTACTGAAAAATTGATGGATTGTAGCTGTATGTGTGACAATATTATATGTACTTTACCCTCTGCAATCTGAAGGGTTATATAAACAAAGCAGAGGTTGGTTATTGTCATAAAGATTAAATATCAAAGTAAGAATAACAAAATATTTTTAGATATATAATTGATAATTCCATATATAAGCAACAGGTTTTTCATTATCTTTCTGATATTAGAAGGAAGCCTGAATCTTTTCAAAGCGGATAAGGACTGATTCTTTTCGAAAACAAATTCAGGCACACTTAAAAGTGAGTTACACTATTGTTTTGAACAAAATAAACTTCTTCTGTTTCTTACATACTCTACTACGAAAAATAAGAGCAAAATAATTGGGAACACAACATTTCTGCCAAAGAAACACCACAGGGCTGATGACCTTTGCTATTATGGTTCTGTTATACAATCAATATGTTTTGTCATATTTTGTACACAAATTGTTCCAAGCTGAAAGTGTTAATTTTAAAGGAGACTAGTGACTAGAGCAATGCCCCAAGGGAAAAGAGGGAAGGACAGAAACATGTTATAAGAATCATGAATAAAGACAGGTTATGTATTTGATTTCCATAAAGATGAAAATGCAATTTTTTGAAAACATTTCCATTATATATGGCCTTAACTGAGATAAGACTAAGCTGTGATCATTTTTTATGACTATGCAAGGCTAGCTGAGCTTCTGTTTGCGGGGGAGTGTCTTATGACTTGTGAGGAGGGGGCTTTTATGGTAGTCAGTTAAATCTAATATTTGTTTAATCATTTGGAAAATCACCAAGCATGCTTTGAATACATTGAAAATACTCACACATATTTAACTGTCTGACAAAACTTGTAAAGTTGTTATGCTTAAAATAATGTGGAAGGACATCTTTAGCGAAAGAAACAGGATCATGTACACAAAATGCTGTTCCTTCCTGGAAGCAAATGAGACAATGAAAAAATTATTCAGTTCCATCTTCAATTTTCAGATAAATGCAAAATATATATTAGACCTACAATAAAGTGCAGAGAAAAATTCTGAAGCTTAGCCCTAATGCCAAAATCAAGTCCTTTTATAACACTAGGGTGTATGAATATAAAAATATATTTTCTGATACATCTCATCTGGTGAACAACAAAGTGTACCTAACAAAGTTGTCTGACACTAAAGAACAGAAATTATTTCAACTCAACTCTAAACTGCTTTTTGGATCAACTCAAAGAAAGTTACTTGACACAGTTAACAAAATTTCCTGTTGGATGGACAGAAAAATCAAAGGGAGCTATCCAACACTTTATGCAAGATGTTTGCTGTGAAAACGAGCCATGTATATAACATTTTTGGTCTGAGATCTGAAATTCCAGTTGAAATAAAAAACTCTCACTTGAAAGTTTCATTTAAAACTAAGATAAAGACCTACTTTCTGTGCAATAATTACACCCAGTAATTCCCATATTATTCTTTATATATATTATTCCTTATCTTATAACACTGTCTTTCTGTACCTGTTTTGATAACATCTGAATAAGTAAACTCTCTTTTAGGTAGGGGGTATTCCCTCCTCGATTAGCTTGCCTATTATGGGAGTCCCGCATTTAAGAAACTCCTCTGATCTCAATGCAGCTCTTCCTACTCACCTATTTACTATACCAACATTTAGCTTTATGTATATCATCCTGTCATTTGTTTTATTTTATTGTTATGCGTTGTATTTAACTTCAATTTGTTATTGTTGTGTTAGTGTTGTGTTAGTTGTATTTAAATAAATGAAATGAACTGACTGATCTGATCTTAGGCATGAAGGGAACTTTTAGAATGTATTTAGGCATAATATATTGTAGATATTAAAATCTCGGGAGTGCTAGTGTTAAATTTGCAAATCGGATGAGATTACAAAGGAATGTACATAATGAAATCCTTTGCTTTGCACTATGAAAGTAGTCGCTTGCTACAACAGAGCCTACTAAAACGAAAACCCTAGCTAAGTTGATTTTACCGATGTCAGACAATGGTATTTAGTTAAACTTTTTCCAGCACTGACCCAGGCTTGAAATTTATTGAGAGATTACATTATTTTGGTCCACACTGTCGTACGACGTGCGAGAATTAGATTAGGCCTAGTAGGCCATGCAAAAAGTTAGGCTCGATTCTCACCTTACTCCAAGATATCATTTCATCGACATTTGGGTCTTCCACTAGCTTCCAAAGCTTCAAAACAAATGCTGCAACGTTACTTGGTACGACGAAAGTATTTTGACTCATGATTACAGCTATGTATCCTTGTCTCTTCGCACACTTACTTCGCCATTTCTCTACAAGAACTTGTTATCCAAACGTTTACCCGCAATTTCCTGCGTTCTCCCGCGCAGTCGTCCGCCACCAAAATGCAAGTTTTCTAAAGCGATGACGTCATTAACCATTTTAAGGTTACGGTAAACGTTTGTGACACGATGTTTGGTTTTTCTCCCTAAAAGCAAAACTGTTAACGGAATCAGATTAAACTATACATCATTCAATAAACAAGAATATGGTGATTCCAACCATATCAAAATAATTGGCAAAGATTATAAAATGATACTTTCCAGGCAAATTTATTGCTTGAGTGAGTGTACCACCTTTAAAAGCTATTTTGTACCCTTGCATTTGAGGTAACAAAATCTAACTTACATCAGCAGAAAGCACATATCCTTAGCTACCAAAGGGTGTCTCAGATTTTTCGAATTCCTCCTCCCCTTGAAACTATACCCTGTCAAAAATTGGGGAACAATTTTTCTTCTCTCTCATAACTATACTTTTCTATTGAAGACGGACCAGAGCAAATACAAAAATTTTGAGACACAATTTGCTTACCCGACATCTGTCCTGGCCGTGTACAAAGTTTGAGCCATTTGATTGGTTCCTTGGGTACAAAATAGCTTTTTCGTACCTATATGTAGAGGAATTGTAAGTCCGGAGAAAACAGGATTTTACTGATCGCACTTGCAAGGTACACTCGTAAACCATAGTGTAATCCGGGTCAAGTCACTTGAAACTTTAAGATCAATAAACCTGTTTAAATAAACACGACCGTACATTGGATACATGGATGTGCCATGCGATGTTGTAAATGAGACATGCGACAAAAACCGCAAAGCAACGATAATCGGCTTAACAAGTCAAGAGATTTTCAGGCCTCAACTAAAAGTTCTGATAAAGAAATTATGGAAACCTTCGTTTACATGGGATTTTTTCAATTTTAAAAATTTCTGTTTGTTTCAATTTGGTATCATTGTGTGCCTTGAAAGTTCGGCTACTTGAATGTAAAGAATCTAAAAATTGATGTTTTCATCCAGAAAGCGTTTACCATAAGCAGAAAGCGTTTGAAATTTGTACAATACTATTTTTTATCGAGCTAATTTTGGACCTGATTGTGCTTTACCTTCTCAATAATTCTATATATTGGGGGGGGGGGGCAGTAAAGAGAGTGGTTGATAGATTTTGGGTTCGTTCTTTAATTCTTTTTTAAGAGAGGTTTAAGAGAGAGCTTAGCCTGTTTACAGACTTCGAGAAATTGAGCATGTCACATAAAAAGGTTGCAGATTTGAGATACAGGCTTTGGCGATAAATTTCCCTTCAATTTTATAAAATCTGTGGCTTTTAGGGAATCGTTATCTCTTTTTGGACCCTTAAAATAGATGTATTTATATTTGGATGTAATTGAAAATTGTAAATGTCACTCATAATGGAGACTAGATGACCTTGCGTCCTTCACTATTGTGAGTGACATGTATTTGAGTAGCTTTGTTGTAGTTTAAAATTTTTAAAAAAAGAAAAAAAAATAGATGTAAAAGATACCGAAAAGAAACGTCGAGGCGAGATTCAGTTTTGGTAGAAGCTTTGTACATTCTCAAGTTAGTGAGGGGAAATCGAAAGATTTTTCATCAAGTCTGATATTATATAGAAAGTAATTCTTTAGATATTTCAGCACTGGATTTTTAATCAAAAGACATTTGTCCATCATCAATGAGTGAAATTTTAGATGGGGTACTTGATTCAAGCTAGCCCTAAAAATAATAAACTTTTCCTTATTTTTTGGCATTTCATTAGTTTTGCACTGTAATAGTCTTTTTCTTACTTTTGAAATAGAGTGTATAACATTGCTAGATGTTTTAAATGTTCCCCTAATCTTTCCTTTTCTATTCTTATTTCCTTCAGTAGAGCTATCCCATCCATTACATAGCTTATTTTGTCGTGGAATTATTTATATGCTGTGTTTATGTCATGAAATTCGGAATAATTTGGAAAGTCTAAGAAACGGTACTTTGATTAATTTTTGAGCGAACGAATTTTTATGAAGGTGCACGAAAATAGTCATTGCTGCCAAAGAAAGTCTTTTCACAGATGTACCAGCCTTAAATTTGTGAAACAGCGAGGAAGCTGACAGTAAAGATAGAAATAAATCACAAAAATGACACAAATTGTTGATAAGGATCACAGAAATTTCTGAAGATAAACAGTTGAAAGTGCTTTATCCAGTAAAATCAATTAAAATACATAATACTCTGTAAAAGCAACGCTATTACTCAAACCACCTCTTAGCTGAGGCCTTCTTTAATGAATCATGTCCTCCGAAAAGTTTCTCTTTGTATTTGTTTACCAAGGAAGAAAATTTTTGCTCCTCAAAATCAGTTCTTCGTTTCTTCTCTTTCTTACCCTTCCCCGATATCATCTCATTATCTGCATCAGGTTGTCCCTTCCGCTTTCGACTTCCGCCTTGGTGTTTACCTTCATTACTAGAAACAAAACGTTTCTTTTCAGTTTTTGCCTTTTCATTCCCACTTTTACCTTTGCCTCCTCTAACTTCTCTCTCTGCAGCTGATGTTGACTTCTTGTTTTCCTTTGGCTTTACTCCTAACCCCCCAAAACTAACATCATTTTCTCGTTTTTCAAATCTTTTCTTCTTATTTCCAATATTTTTTCTATCTTTCCAATTTTTCTCTTTATTCCCCTTTCCCTGAAATTTTTGTTGACCTGCTGCTTGACCCTCAGTCCTTCCCTCTCCCCCCTTGAATTTTTCCCCACCAGCCGACTCAGAATCATCATTCCTTGCAGACACAGCTTTGTGTTTTTGTCTCTCGCGTCGCTTTTCTTGCACATCCAAAGCGGCTTTATTCTCGACAGAGAACTCCACAATAAGCCTTCTGTTATCCTCAAAAACACTTGGATTGTTATTGGTTGCTCTTAACATTGCTAAAGCATGCTCATGGGTGTCCAGTTCCATGAACCCATAGCCAAGAGAGCGAAACGTCCCAGTCTGATCAACTCTTTCCTTATTTCTCATTATCAATACCTTCTTTATTCTGATCCCCTTCTTGTTGACAGCATTTGAGAACGCTTTCTTCAGTTCATTTTCAGTTGTAGATAAAGGTAAATTGCGTATACTCAACCTGTAAAGAAAAACAGTTTTGTCAAAATTATTTCCTAGAAAAACGTTCCTCTTCCGAGATTACAAAACATCCTTCTGACCCTGGACTATTCTAAAAATCGTGGTTTAACTTGTTAAAAAACACATCAGAAAGTTCTAAAGATTAAGGAACTTGAAGAGTTAGAAAAATAAATTACATTAATTATTTGACAAAAAAGATCATGAAGTGTGAATCTGGATGACCAGGATGGACAAAATTGAAGACATTAAAAAATCAACAAAAACTAGCAAAATTAACATAGAATTGGTTAATTGTGGCATCACATTGCTAATTAAATCAAAAGAATCATCACAAAAACAAGACTTTTCAAATCTATAACTTTTTCACTTTTTTCACAAAAGCTCTTGTTGGTAATTCTTCAAAATTTTTTCTTTCTGGCGCTAACAGTAGCAGAAATGTCACAGTAGAATAATTTATCTTTGGGTGCTTTTGAGATTTGTGCCATCTATTCATACGGTATATCTTTCTCTTGCAAATAAATGATATTCCCATTTAAACTCAATCGCTATTCGCGCTATTAAATAGACAGCAACGATGGCCTGACTTAATAAACGTAGAACTTACTCCACATGTCGATACAGTTTAAAGTATATGCGATGCTTGAAAATCGTTGAAAACTTCTACTTTATCCAACAAAGACAACATGGACAACTAACCTGGTTTTTGAGACGAAATAATTTTGATTTTTCAATTTGGCCTTTTTATCCGCCCATGCTTTTTCTCTTTTCTTCATATCTGCCTCACTAAGCTCCTTTGCAGCCTCTGAGTTAGGGAATATTACCCCTTCTGTTGCCAATGCTACGTTTCGTTTGTCTTTAGGCTCCTTCTTAGCATCCTTTTTCTCCTTTTCGATTTCCTTCACTTTGCCACGAGTAACTGCTTTGACAATAAACAGTCTTCGTCCATTAAATTTAATACCTTCTTCCTTTGAGTCAGTGTCCTCCGATGCGGATACAGCTGCATCTGTTGAGCTGACATCTTTGAACTTAACGAAGGCCGTCCCACGACTATGTCCAGTTTCTCTATCCACAACCAACTTGCAGTCATCGACGGGACCAAATTTGCTGAACAATTCAACAAGCTCCTCTTCTTCTGTTTCAAATGGCAAGTTCCTTATAAATACTGTCCTGCCTTCCTTTGCATCATGTGATTGCTTCTTCGCAGCCTTTGAAATCTGTCTCTCAATTTCGCTGTCATCATTATCCGAATCTTCTTCATCATTGCTGTCTTCTACGTCGCTCTCATCATCCTCTTCTTCTTCCTCATCATCATTGACATCAGAGCCATCAACACTGTTGTCTTCTGCATCATCATCATCATCCTCACTATCAATGTCATCATCACCACCACTGTCGTCATCAACTGTCCTTTGGTCTCCTGTGTTCTTGCCTCCAACAGCCTTTTCTTTTTCCGTCTGTTCTGTTACGGTTTCTTGAATAAAAATATTTTTAAAAGCAATGGAACCAACAGTCAAATAAACCTAACTTTTGCTGCTACCAAACCAAGAAAGTTAAGATGCAATTGATGATTAGAGTTAAAATATATTCACTTGAAAAGAACTTAGCTGTTGCAAGCTCCATTACAGAAATGCACCACACAGGGTAACAGGATGTGGCAAACGAAGTGCAGGATGACACATGAAACATGAATACAAATAATAACACTGAGCAGAAAACACATGATATTGACAAAAATGTTGGGAAAATTTAAATAGTATGTTCAAGGAAAGAAGTCAAGTCAATTGATACATTCAACCATGTTTGTAATTTGATAACCCCATTACAGTATATTTTTGGACACAAGAACAGGGTACAACAGAGCTTTACCTTTTAACTGGGTATACTTGTCATAGCTATCTGAGTCAAATTATAATATGATTGATCAGAATTCAGACATTTTAATTTGCCCAAAAGATAATATGTTAAGGAAGATACATTGTTTTGCTTGCAGAATTAATAGCTTGCGGAGCACTCACCAATTTTGGCTAAAAACTCTTCTTTCGGTACTGCCCAGTCAATAATCATTGGTCGACCAAGTAATTGTGTTTTATTTAGTGCCTTTAAAGCTGAATTAGCATCTTCTGATCTAATAAACTGCAAAAATGCAAAACCCATCATTCGCTTACGACCCTTTTCATCCATTTTTGAAGGCAGCTCAATCTTTGTGATTGTTCCATATTTACTGAAGGCATTGCTCAAGTCATCCTCTTTACACTTATATGCAATATTTCTAACAATCAATCTGGACTTATCTAGCACTTTCCGCGATGGCTGCTTCCCTTCTTTTGTTAATAGGCAAGAATAAAGGATGTTTTCATCAATTTTACTTCCATTGATTTTCTGAAATGCCCGAACAGCCCCCTTTACAGATTTAAAAGTGACTATTGATGTATCTTTGCTTTTGTTTGGGGCAGGATGTTGTATCTTCTGGACCTTTCCATGTTTCGAGCAAAGAAGCTTCAATTTGGTTTTTGTAAATTTATCTGGAAGTTTAGATATTATAATGGTCCTTCTTGCTTCTTCCTGCTCCCCTTCCATATGCTTTTTTGTAGTTTTAGTCTCTTTCACAACTTTTTTGTCATCAACTGCAGGTACCTCTATGTTTTCGTCTTTGTTCTCTGAAGTTGCCTCTAAAACACAGTGGAAATAAATATTTTGAGATTTAGAGGGTTTCAACTTTTAAAATCCTAGTTAAAACTGAAACGCACTCGAAAACATTCAAAAGCATTCAAAACATTGCTGGAAATTTTTTACCACCAATATTTAAATATAAAAGGCATTATGAATCACAAAGTACAATAAATGAAATAACTTCACTGTGTTGAACAAAAGTAAATCACTGCCCATTACAATGGAAAAAGGTTGTATTACTGTGAAGAATGATACTGTGAATTTTACGGAAGATTGTAGGGGTGCCTCAGAAGCTATTATGTATTCAGATCAAGCCATGATAAAAATAAGATCAGAGACATGATGATGATGATATCACTAAACTGATAAACGGGTTTAAGTTCTCAAAAATTCTCAATTAAAAAAAAAACGCTACATTTTGCTCATGCTACTTTCAAATAACATGTGGGCCTTGTTATATGTTTACTTTTCCTGCAATGTGTTGGGAAGTCCTATAGACTAAAATTAACAAAATACCAAAGTAGGTTTAAGTTATTTAGATTCTAGGTAATCACAAAAGTTTAAAAAACTGAAATGAAACCAAACATTTTAGCAAAATTTGTCAAATTTTCTTCTTGAAAGCTGAAACATAGAAAGGACAAATAAATCAATTTGGAGAGTCCATACCTTCGTCAACAGCATTCTTAGGTTTATAGTTATCTCTCTGTCTGGGTTTCTTATCTGCAAGTGATACCGACACCTTCCTGCCACCAACAACAATCTCAGTATCGAGTGCTTTAGCTGCATCTTCTGATATTGCAAATACTACATAACCAAATCCTCTGCAACCTTTGCTCTTATCTTTGAATATAATAATCAGAATCAAAACAAAAGCCATATATTTGGGACACTTAAGTAAAATTATAGCTCCAAACAGGAAACTGATTACAAACTAAAAGGGGCTGTTTCTCAAATTCATAGTTATATTCTGACCTTGCTTAACTCTTATTCTGGTCAAACTGTTCTTGCTGGCACATGATGCCAGGTTGGGAAACTTGCAGCTCAAAAGAATTTAAGATAAAGAAGGGTAAAAAAAATTATTTTGCTTTAAGGCAATTTTGATCCAAGTTTCCACCAAAAGCTTGGAAAATTGTAAAATACATTTAGGAAAATTTTAGAAAATACCAAGTGTATCCTTTTGTACTTTGGATCTGTAGGTGCAGAGAAATTAAAGAAGGAACAGATTATTTAAGCAAAGAAAATATCACCCACACACTTGGCAAACTTAGCAGTCTGTCAAGCACATACTCCACAGCACTTTTTCACCAGATGCTTTTTGAATCAAGGTAGCAATCTAAGCACATTTATCCGGGAACTGAAATGTAACTTTTTTGGTGATGTTAGCCACTATTACCACCATATTGTTGAAGTTTGAGAGCCACAAGAAAGAAAAATTTATGCTTTGGAGAGGTTTGCTGTTTTGTCATAAACAATATATAAGTTGGTTCAATGGCTTTCATTGTGCAGTTTGACAGTGGGTGTACACTGCGATAATCAATAATAAATGCAAATACACTCCCCTCCCAAAAGTATTCAAACAGATGGTTAAAATTATTGGCCTAATTCTTTTTTCAAATTGTGCAATAAGAAGAAAGCCTGATTTTTCAACAAATAACCTCACTCACTGCCAAAACAGAGTTAAAATCAGGAAGGAATGACCTGTCATTGACTGGGGCGAGCATTATGTATTCTTAAATGAGTGTAGATTTAGTTTAGAAAATGATTCTGGGGCCTTCTTAATCCGGAAAAACAACTGGACAAGGAAAAAATCAAAAGTCCTTAAACCAAATGTAACCAAAGGAAGGAATTTATAGGGTTGTGTTAGGAGTAATGGCATTGTCATCTTGTTCCTCAGGGGTGTTTCCTGATTGCGGTATATTATGTTGCTATCTTCCAGGAAAACTTTCCCCAATATGCCAGAAAAACTAATGGTTGTATAAATCAGCCTTTTGTTTTTCATCAAGACAATTCTCTATCTCATGCAACTAAGGATAACAAGGGACTTTTCGGCTGCCAACTGAATCCTCACCCTTCTAGGGCCTTCTCAAAGTCCAGATCCAAAAGTAGTTGAAAATGCCATGGATTTTTTGGCTTTTACAAAAGATTCAATGACTCGAGATCCTCCGAAGGCCAACCATCAGCAATTAGTTGATAAAACCTTTGACATTTGTGCCAATATTCCTCTCAATTTAATTGAAAATTTGCAGAGGTCATTCCCTGGCCGGCCATTTGCTGCCCTTTTGTCTCGTGAGTACCCCCACCAAATATTGAAATTATTCTATTGATAAAATGAATTATGAACTCAAAATAAAAAAATTAATGTAACTTACACTTTGTTTTATGATTGGCTGAAATTTTGAAATGATTCCTGTTGTCATTCTATACATATAGGCAATTTACTTTTCCTTTTGTTTTCATTAATTTGACCCGGCACTGTCGCAACATTGGCTTACGTTCGAATACTTTTGGGAGGGGAGTGTAAGTTGGTTATGTGTAGGCCTACTGCAAGTGGATTTTGAAATACTATCTTACCTCTGTCCTTTACAACAAAACATCTCTTGATTGGTCCATAGTTACCAAAGGCATCTTCAAGTTGTTTGTCTGTTGTAGTGAACGGTAAATTTCTCACAAACAAAGTCTTTCTCCTGATAGCTGAGGTGTCTTCTTTTCCTTTTTCGACCATGCTTTGATCGGCCATTTTGGATTACTTGGAAACTAATCTCATCTCAGAGACGAGGTTGATAGAAGCTCCAAATTCAAAATGGACACGTCAAGAACATCAACATTCGGTTTTATATAGTTACAATTTGAGTAATTATAGGTATTGAGACGAAGTATGGCAGCAAAAATAGATGCGATCGAAAATATAGATATTGATTCTGTTTCAGATATAGCTGAAATTAAACGGCTGTATACATTGCTGCAACAGAAAGAGGTATGCTTTGACATGTTTTTATTTGACTTCGATTTCATTTTTTATAATTGCATTTCTGCTCTATACGTTCCCCATGCAATACAAGCAGATTTCCTGAAATCAAGAGTGTAAAAAGCTTAGCTTCATACTTCATAAGCCCTAATAGCTGTTTTGGCCAGCCTGAACAGTACAAGAATTAGGCCTATGTAAAAATTTTTTTTTCAGAAAAGCACACCCCCCCCCCCAAACCCTAAGTTCCAGACTGGACATTGCCTCAAGAGTGCGCAGCGGAAATCACAACTTTTACCGCAATTGGGTGCACCTGGCTTTGGAAATGTTTGCCCTTTTCACGGGCGCACTAAATGATTGGTCCCGAGTGGCCGGAATTGTTATCCCCAAAAGAAACTGCGCTTATAAAAAAGTACTGTTCAGGTCTGGTGACCCAGATTTCTTTTATTATCGCTTTGGTGCACTGTCGGCGTACTTTCCAGTCTGGAATAGAATGCAGGCCTGTCAAGAAAATGAGTGAAATTTTTTTAACAGGGAGGGAATATGTTTGGTCCAGAACGAATCCTGACTGCCACACAACCAAAAGTAGGGTCCTGGGGTGTAGCCCCCAAACATTTTCTTTTACCATGCCTTCTAGTTCTTCGGAAATGCCTTTTTTGAGCAGGGACCACACAGAAGTGAGTGGGGGATTGAGGGGGCTTTGTTTTTTGCCATTATTTTCAGTTTTTTATGGAAAAAGAATGTATAACAGTACATAATCATGAAATAATTTCATCTGATCCACTTGCGCTGTGCAAATTATTGCAAAGTGCACAGCACCGTGGACCAGGAATTCAGGGGAAGGGATGCAGGCATACAAACAAGCAAAACATGGTAGTGTAACTGCAACCCCAAATATCATTCTCAAGAATAGTTACTCTGCTCTGACAACTCCGATTGCAATCTGCTGAATTAAAACTAACTTAAGGGAAATTATGCTCCTCTTTTACATTTTGAATCAATTTACAATGTGTCATAGTCGCGAAAAAGCTAACCTGCTATTTGTGTAGGCTTGCCAATAAATGTAACATCACTTTACCATCCTGTGCAAATTCGCTGTTATCTAGTATTATCTAGTTTCTGTTATTGTGCTAACATGCCTAGTTAGGAAAGAGGGATTTTGCTAGGATTTGGAATAAGATTTAAAAATTTAAATAAACGAAGAAATTTGTTGCAAAATGCGTGAGGATTCTGCTTTGATGCGTGTGAACGTGAGAAAGGACTGAAATGCATGTGTCTCACGCAAAATGCATGTGACTTGGTAGGTCTGAGAATGCTGTTGATCTGTTGACATGAATTTTGCGATTCTTGATTGTGACCGACTTCCAGGCTGGAAAACCTGCATATGCTTGCAGCGACGCTGAACTTCTTTTGCTCACACCTCAGACCCCAAAATGTCAAGGAATTTGTATATTATACTATAGTTATGTATAGAATGGGCATCATTGCTTGCAGCTCAAATGCTTTGCTTACAGGTTGCAGCTGATAATGTGCTTTTGGTTGCAGTGAAGTGTCTGCAAAATTATACAATACATGTTTTCCAACCAGGACCGACTTGATTTGATTTAGGCAACTATTAGGCTCCAACAAACAGTAAGATTCAACCTAAAAATAATTGCTTGATAGAAAGATAAAGTTAAAGAAAAAGTATACCACAATAAAATGTTGTTAAATATTGTTGTAGATTATGTGTTTCTTTTCATTAAAATGGATATGGCTTTATTTTGTTTATTTTGTAGCAAGAGCTTGATGAAGAATTGGACAGTATTCTTGACAACCGTTTAATTGTTGATTCAAAGGTTGAAGCCATACAAAATCTTGTGTAAGTTTCATTCATGGAAGTTTAGGATAATTTGTTCATCTGGTAAATAGAGAGAGAGAGAGAGAGAGAGAGAGAGAGAGAGAGAGAGAGAGAGAGAGAGAGAGAGAGAGAGAGAGAGAGAGAGAGAGAGAGGCATTTGTCAACACTCTAGTCAAACATTATTTAAAACTGTCAAGAAGTTCTCAGAGAGCACAACAAAATGGCATGATGGAATTGCTTCATTGACAACCAGATAATATATTTTCAAAATTTAAAGGACCAGATAATATAAACAAAATTTAATATATTTTCAAACCATCAGCTAGCTGTTGTAGCAAAATCTACTTATATTCACACAAAATTATTCTTGAATAGTATGGAATGTAAGGCGGAATGAAACTGTAAATAGCAGTTTAATTTATTAGTTTCACATATAAATTTAATGTGACACTAACTGTTTATCCTTTATGTGCTTCAATTTTAGGCCAAACATAGAGGTTCTGACTGAAAATGCTAAACATTTAGAGCATGTTATATCAGATACAAATCAGTTAGCAGAAAAGGTCAGCAGCAAAGTGAGAATATTGGATCTTGCAAAGGTAGAATTAATTTTATGTTGGTTTTTCTATTGTAAGTGTATTGTTTCTATTTGTACTTTAATTTCCTTTTTTGTTAAAAAAATTAACTATGATCTTAATTCTTTGTAATAAACCATGAACAAGGCCTATTTCAGCATCAATTTGTCTTTCTTACAGAGCAGGGTTCAGGACACAATAAAGAGGGTAGATGACATTCTTGACTTGAAGGTAATGAATTATAATGTTTTGTTCAATATGTGATCAAACATTTCATCAGTTTTATTGTTGCTTCAGTACCAATGTGATTTAAAATATTCACTAGTTTTAATATTAGCTTAAAACCTATTGATATTCTTTTTGTTACTTAATGTATTGATAGATTGCATTTGATACCTTCATAGTCTTGTGTGGAAGGAGTTGAAACTGCTTTACGCAAAGAAGAATTTGAACAGGTATCTGTGTGTTTCTTCTAGCCTACTACTCCTATTTTTTCAAAGCTTTGCTATTTATGCTCAATCAGAGTTATTTTTCCATTTTTGTCATTTTAACCTCCCTGTTTGTGAAGAACCATTCCTTTGTAATATTTTCAAAAAGCTACTTTTTTTTCATAAATACATTCAGGTTGTCATATTTCCATTTCTCTTATTAATCTCCTATAAATCTCCTTTAAACTACCCTTCAGCTTGCACTGCTCTTTAAAGATTAATAAAATTATGATAGTTTAATAAATTGTTTGACTTCTGTTAGGCTGCTGCATTTATACATCGATACCTCAATCTTGATGAGAGAGCCTTAAGAGAGATCCTGCCAGATAATTCTGAGGGTTTGTCAGATTATATATCTAATAATGATACATTTTATGATGATTGCCTTTTCTTCAAAGCATATTCTTCAGTCATCTTATATAGCTTCACCATGATTTGTTCTATAGCCCTGTCCAATGTCTTAAAAGGATTGAATGTGCCAAGAATTGACTGCCAAGTTTGTCTTCTCCCACTCCTCTTTCCAGTTGGAGAGTCATTTTTCCTCTCATTTCTTTCCTGTTAATAACACTAAGATTTATTAGATTCTTTTTTAACCTTTTAGGTACTGATTTGAAGCATTCATTCAATTTCTTGCATGATGCACAAGGCAAATTGCAACAGATTGTAAGGGACAAGTTTGATGCTGCAGTGAGCTCTAACTATAGTGCTGCCGTTGAGAGGTATTCTGATTTGGCTCGTTAGTCCATTAATATGTCTCTGTAGAAGTAAATAAGAAATAAACCACACAATTTATCTGTATCTGATTACAAGTGATCAAGAAACCATTTTTGATTCCCCCCCTTGAAATACAGAACATATAGCAAAAGGTACTTGAATTGGTCAGGGCTGATTCATATTCAATTATTGGTTCCTTCTGCTATTATTCAAAGAAGATTACTCCAGACTTCTTGACAAATCTTTAATATATGAAATTTGACAATAAAACGTATTTGTAATTCTTTGTGAACCAGTTTTTGAGACCTGCAAGTAAATTTTCAAGTAGTTAATCTGTTATACAGATCGCCTGTGATCAAAATATAAATGTTTTTGTCATCTTTCTTTGACTTACTAATCGACCTTATCCTTGGGATCATCTTTCAGATTTTTCAAGCTTTTCCCACTGGTTGGAATTGACGATGAAGGCCTTACAAAGTTTTCTCAATATTTGCGGAAGCAGGTTTGTCCTTGTGTGATTTCTCACTAGGTTTGAAGAAAACTTTCTATTCTATGACAGTTTTCAGTCGTGAGTTGATACATAGAAGACTTAAATTTGTTACCTCCCCAAGCAAGAGTATTGCAATGCTTTTAATCATACTAGCTTGGTTTTATAAAAGTACCATTTTGTAAATCTCTATAGTTCTTAAAAGACAGTTTAGTTGTAAATTGGCAATTTAGATTCTGATAAATACATTGTGTCAGTGGTATTAGCCAGGCTATTTAGACAACGAAAATTCTGCTCTTTGGACGCCATTAACTATTTTTGTGGACTCCACAAGTATATGCATTATTTTCCAAATTTCTGTTGTAGATTGAAGCAATGGGTGAAATCAACTTGGATACTGCCATCAAGATTAATCCACAAGGTGCGTGCTTAGAATATAATCAATTTTATATTTATAGTCAAATTTTCTTTTTTTCAAATTCTGGGGTTTATTTGACCTTTTATATCCTGAGGACGAAAGGCTCTAAATGTGTGGGAAATCCTTTCGTCAAGTGGTGAAAATTTGCCCTGTTAATTGCAATTAGTTTCGTGCAATTGGTCTTTCGGATATATCATACTCATTATGCGAATGCTTTTAAAGTTTTCACTATGTATATTTCGAACGTAGGTGGGTAAGTTCAATTACGTATTTGATGCTTTCTTATGATTTATTCTAGATAGAAGAGCAAATGTCATCTTTGCAGACACATTGACACTGCTGTTTGAAGGCATTGCAAGAATAGTAGAAGATCATCAGCCGTTGGTTGATACCTATTACGGTAATACTGTCTTTATCACTGTTAAAATTACTTTTAGCATTGTCTATTAATGTTGTCAGAAATCCATCACTCCTTTACTAGAGTGGAATCGAGACGGCGAAACAAATATGGCGGGCAGAGTTGCCATAAACAATTGAAACAAAAAAAGGACAAAAGGAATAGGCTTAGTATTTGGCGAAAATGGCTACGCAGATTTTAATCTGGCCCCTTTATACTGGATAGAACTTAAGATCAATGTTTGCTGTAAGCAATAAAAATTGTACTTGTAAAAGGTTATCTTTGATAATTACATCCTGGCATTTTTGTATTTTAGAGTGCGAAATTTTAGTGTCTTTTCTTTTTGGCAGGTTTAGAGAAAGTATGTTGTCACATAGATGAAACTAGAACGGCTCTTTATCTCGGTACAAATAAAGATTTTTGAATGTGCGTTATTTAAAGTACAAGGCATCTTTTAAGTCCATAAAGGTATGATTCAGCCAGAGAAACGTAAAACTAAGCTAGACTAGATTTACCAACCTCTGAACAAGATTGTAAGTTAATACTTGATAACTTTCTTTATATTCAGGTCCTGGCAGGATGGTTACTGTTTTAAAGGCATTGCAGGTTTGGTTTTGTAAACTTTTAGTTGACATGATAACGAAAATTGATGTTTATTAGAACGTCATGTATTGCTGTTGTCATATAGTGAGTTATTGTGGCTCACTGTGTCAAATATCATTTTTGCTTTTTAATTGTTTACGTCATTTTGTGTCAACCGGAAGGGATTATGTTGCTCAGACCGGTCTATAGGCTTTATTTAATACCTTTATTGATCATTGGTATGTCACATGTTTGTGATTTAAATCTGATATTTTTACCTTGCAGGAAGAGTGTGACATCCAGTCACAAAAAATTGTTGATCAATTCATCATATCACGCAAGTTTAAGACAATGGTACCTTTTTATCTAATTGCATTATCTACGTAACGACTGCTTAGAATATTGAATATAAATATGAAAGGTGAATTAATAACAAACTGTCTGTTATATTCTCTATAAATTGCTTGGATAGTACAAACTACAGGCCCATTTCATGAGCAACAAAAATCTTTTGATATCTGGTATAAACAGCGGCCACTACAGTTGATACACTTGAAATCCAGGTTCTCCAAAAGTCACTAGATCATTTCATCATATACTTTTAGATAGTGAGTCATTTTGTTTCATTTGGCATTGATCCTATTACTTATTTTAAGGGTTAATTTCATAAAGGGTATAAGCTGATTGGCTTTGAATTTTGTCATTTTTTGGATCTATTATCATCACTTGCTGAATACTCTTATTCCTTTAGTTCGATGCAGTAAAGAAAAGCACAGCTGCCACTAAGTCAACATCTTCTTCCACATCTCAGCAAAGGTACGTGTATATCTTTATTTATAGTTACGTTATATTGTGTTGTGTATTGATCTTGTCAAGGCTTTATTTTAGCCTGGGGAAGGGGCATTTGCAAAGTACGATGGCATGTCATGAAAGGCACTTATGGGTACAAATTCGACTTTTTTTCTGCAAGGTTTCATGACATTTTTGTCCATGTCCTCTTTCACTCATAGGTTATAGATAGTTATTAAGCTTATACAGAAGGGCGAGAGTAGTCAGTCACAAAGCACACGAGCCTGCCCCAGAGAGAGCGGGAGGGTTCCCTTGCCGCAGGGGGGGGGGGTCGCAAGATTGCCAAGAATGTCAGGATTCTTGGCGTACGTACTTTATTGATATCGCATCTAAGAGTAAAACATAAAAAAGTGGTTGATACCTCTCTCTTCTGTTAGCGCAAAACTCCCTTTCAGGACTAAGAAAAGTATCAAAGTACGTGAGAAAATTTGCACCCTATAAACTTTTTTCAAAATATCTTATGAGATATGAAGGGTGTATAGTAATTTGAAGGTAGGGATGAAGTACAAATCAAAAGTGAAATGAAGTGAAGGAAATTCTCGGGTATGTGGGTCTTGCTGAGGGGAGCAAATGTTTTGGAGGCCTTCTACCACCCTTTTGTTAGTCAAGACCCTTTTGATATATATATAATGAACTTTTGCTGTAATTAAAACTGTGTTTTCAAACAGCTGTTTCATTAATCCTTTTTTATAGTATCTTTTCCTTTCAGTTTTGAAAGTTCCATGTTTAGGCTCTTTAATATTTGTTATTTAAGCATAAAACATTAACTGCATTTAAACTAAAATTGCTTAAAATTCCTTCTTTTAGCGTAACCTAGTGTGATTTACAGGCCGTGTTTAATTTTAATCAAAGCAACGCATTGCTTAAAATTTCCAGGCTTGATCCACGTGAGTTGGACATCCTGCTTGGTGAAGTCGTTTTGCTAAGTGCAAGAACAGAGCTCTATGTTGGCTTTTTGCGCAGAAGACTAAGGGTATCGTTTGTTTTTTATTGAATTCTCAGTAAATAGTTCACCATTTCTCTGCCTCACGATTGCTTGACTCTACTTTTCTCCTGTCTAATTCCTATTTTCAAATTTCATATATTTAATTCTTTGAAGAATGGTTGTCCTTCAGCATAAGCTGGTTTTGTGAGGGGCTGTCCGTTAAAGACATTGACTAAAAGTTGTTAACATTAACCAGAGATATTAATCCGTTCCAATTGTAAAACCTATTGATAATGATAGAAACTTATATACAAAGAATTTATGTTAGAATTTGCCTTTAAAAAAACCACCTTCTGTAAATCAAATATCTTTAAAACAATACAAAGTGGATACCTGTTTTGACTCGGCTAAAATATTTTCCAAAGTTTTGTACAACTATGGGAGAAACAGCTCTGACCTTTTTCATGCAGCATTTAAAGGTGCTGCTTTGCCATATAATTTGATTTAGCATATATTTAGGTATTGTTCTCTTGCATTTTGTAATATCATGTTTATGCTACAGGCCGATCTTAATGGCATACAAAAAGAGGAGATGGGAGAAGGTAACTTTTAATCCCATCGTTTACTTTAAGTATAGATAAAAAATAGATTGACTATTAATTTAATTATATTAAATTCATCTTTGCCTATGAATTATATACTCCCATATTCGCAGATAATTCGTGGATTTATTTTTCTGTCAACGTTTGTAAACAATTGATATCTAAGATCTGTCAACCTTGCTCCAAAGACTCTGGCTTTAATCTCGTGCTTCTGGGTCACTTAAATCCCCCATCAAAACATTCATTACTTGATTCATAGATATTCTTTTGAAAAACTGTTCCGAAACAAGAGCAAAACCTTAAAGGCAATCTGTCACGACGTTGATGGATTATAAGAACAAAGGGATTTTTTATTGTTTCCAGTCCCCCTTTAATTCACCTCATTATAAAAAGTATGGCGGAGCGCTGGAATTGTGTTTAGGCTATTGTTCCAGCTATTGTTCTCGTTAACCAATCCACAACGAGACAGATTGCCTTTAAAATCAAATCAATGATGGATGTAGTATTTTGCGTGCATTGCCAAGTTGCTTTCTTGGTATTGAATATTTATTGGTGATTGTGAACTATCAGTGCTTCTATCTCATCTAAATTAATATTTTTTACATTTTAGTTTCATTTTTAAACCATAAGCCTCATAGTTAATAGGCACTTTTTACATTTTTCGTGCATCAGAAATTTTTACAGTATCTTGGCTTTCCAGATCTCACTGCTTTGGAGGCTCGTCTCATTTCGAATTCTGGCCTAAGTCAAAAGTTACAGGTATTTTCGTGATATGTTCAATCTACATTTTATTGTGTATCTACTTAGCAAAGTATATCTACAGGGTTTCTGTATCTCAATGAATTAAAACTATTTCGAGCAGCATTCATGATATTAAGTGAAGGAATTCAGATGTTGATTTATCATGATTTATAATATTATAAGGATAAAGTAGGATTCAACTACCTAAACACTCTCAGCCATCAGTCAGACTAATACGTGTCCAGTAGTACAAATGCTATAGAATGGGGATGTATTTCCTAAAAGTAATAATGGTTTTTCTAAATTGCATTTGCAATAGACTTTGATTGGGGACTACATCTTCATGGAAGAATATTTTATGAAGGAGATGATATTCAAGGTTGGTTTGCTTTCTTAAACTTTTCTCACTCTACATCAATAGAGAATTTTCTAAGATACTTTATGAAATGACCGATATCTTGCTTTTTGTTTCTCAAGGATTATTTTCGTTTAAAAGACTCTCATCTATCTCATCTCCAAAAGCTACTTTTGGTAAAGAGGCTAGTTGATAAGGCTAGATGTCTTTGTTTATCTTGCCTAATCATTTTCAGTATGGAGACACGTAATCAGAATTAACGCTTGTCTATTCAAATAAGGACTACAGATTTATTTGAAAATATTTATTCAAATAATCTTTTGGTTGTACAAAACCTGAAAATGTCTTTGAAAAATGCAAACATTTGAGTAAACTAAAGCATTTCGTCTGACACTCTTCAGAGTTTAAAAAGTCAGAACATAGATCGAAAACTCTACGCTAGGAAATATATATACCCAGTTGTTTTTTGATCCACAACTGGGTATATATATTTCCTAGCGTAGAGTTTTCGATCTATGTTCTGACGTTTTTAACTCTAAGGAGTGTCAGACGAAAGCTTTAGTTAACTCAAATGTTTGCTTTTTTCAAAGGCATCTTAAAATATTTTCATTAGGTTCGATGGTAGATTCTCATTAAGTGTCTCTTTTCTGCAGGCCGTATCCTTAGATTCAACAGAGGATGATACTTTGATATCAAGCATGGTTGATGACGTTTTCTTTGTCATGCAAAAGTCACTCATGTAAGTTGTGTATGTCACTGCCTTGAGTTTTTAGCTATGGGGTTGGCAAAATAGCTACGGGTTTGGGGGTAAAACCGCGCGTTTGCATTACTGCCATCTTGTTTTATCTGCTGATTCAATACTGTTTATAATATCACAAGTGAATTTCTGCATCTTCTTCGGCTTTCTAATGTATTGTCAGTGATTGTGAATTTGAGATAATGTTTTCTGTTTGAATTGCTGTAAACCTGCCTCATATGCAGTCCAGATTTGTACTAGTTCGATTTGTGATGGTTATATAATTATCTTCATATTTTGCCATCCAATATCTACTGTAACAACACCTTATTATGTTAAATGTGTATGAACAAAAGCAAAACCTTCTTCTTCGTAGATGCAATCATATTATTATTACATAACTCAATTTTTTGTTAGGCGAACTATTTCGACATCAAACATGGATGCAATCTGCGCCATGGTGAATAATGCGAGGTGAAAACTTTATTAATTAAAATAATTAATTTTTTCTGTTTTTCTGATATTATTAATTGAAATAGAGAGGTTTTTTATATATTTTTTCCAGCTCAATATTATACCAAGTTTTTTATAACCTTATCTAATTTTGTTTAATTAATGAATCATTTTTTAGATTTATGGAATGTTGTAAATTTGATCTGATAATGTTTATTTATTAGTAATACTGTTTGTAGGTGATAGTCTTGGCATTGATGCTTCAATTGAAAAAAGTTCACTTTAAGGAGGTTATCTATTTATTTCTAGCTCAATACTGCTTTCAGAGTACAAAGATGTTCTACGGGTCAGAATCAAAAGTGGGTACCCTTCATCGAGGTGAGTAGTTACAAATGATGCTCTTTGCCCTTTAATTAGAATCAATAAAACAAACAATAACCCTTCGGGCAAAATTCTGCGATTAACAGAGCATTCTCATGTTTAAATATATTATTTATTATAGATGATCCTGTTGTTTTGAAACTCACGTGTCTAATTTTTCAGTCTCGATATATCAGGGATGATCCAAGGTGCGGTCAAAATGCAAACCAGTAGCCAAAGTCAGGATGCAGCAAAATTAAAAAGAAACTTTCTGGTAGGTTGTTTGTTCCTTATTTTACGTTTCGATGTTTACAATTTTAGTTCGTTAACCCGAAAAAATAGTTAAAATTTGCATTTCAAAGATGTACTCATTATTTTCGTCAATTTCTCGAAAAACGTGTCTCGAAAAACATTGTTGATAGGGTCAATATTGACAGAAGAATTTTATCTTGTATCTTTCTTTCTTTGTGTATCTTTGTGCCAAATCACCTCATTTTAGCTGATTTTAAGTTACTATTCTCCTATATATCAAAATTAAATTAAATTACTGTTTACGTTTGCTGTTTGCTTTTTCTTTCAGATTGCTCTAAATAACATTGAAGTTAGCATCAATAATTTAAAAAAGCTAAGAGCTACAATTGAGGTATTTACCTTCGTTTTTTGCTTTAATTTCCTTCATTTTTAGCTTTTTTCTATTTGCTGTATTATAAAAATTGTTGCTGAAGCTGAAACAATAACTATCCCGAGAAATGTTTGGTTCACAATTTATTTGAGATTTCAATATGGTGAATTTTTGCTTGCTGTATAGAAACTTTCTGTTTTGATGCAGTTTTAAGTAATGATGTAAAGGTCTTTCTAAACTTTGTAACTGCAGTTAGAGCTCAGTGCAAAATTTGATAGTTGCGCAGCTATTCTTCTTAAACTATTAGAAATAATTGATAGTTTTAAAGTATTAGTATTTCGTGCTGATACTGCTGCTATAGTCTGTTTCAATATTACCGGGAAAGATGGAACGATACTATTGCAGGCTTATGCAAGCCTGTTGTTGTGACATCGTTTCGCGCGTTTCTTCAGCCTTGCGTTTTACAATTCAAAAGGGTTATTCTGTTTGTAAACTTTCAGAATGAATGCCGGAGACTGTTCGATCAGATTGGATCACGAGGAAAGGACAAAGTAGAGGTGACAGAAATTTTCTTTTATGATGTTTATTTCGAAAACAGTTTAATCCAGCAATATTTAACTTCCATCTTACATGATTTGCAATGTAAAAATTTCAGACGATACAGTATGATATTTTATTGGTAACTTACCTTGAAAATTTCAATTTCAGAGCTGCCTTACTGATATGACATCATGCACACAAAGTTTGAAAGACCTTTTACAAGTATTTTTGCTATATAAAGTATAGAACTTCTTCGTATGGAATTGTTAAAGTATAGAATTATTTCTTTTTGTATCATCGAATACCTGGTTTTATTTTGTTGAACATATCAGTCATGATCTACAGATGAAGATTTTCTCTAACATAAGATAGATGACAGGTGGTTGAAAATCTCACAAATGAGCTTAGGGTATGGTATCTACAGTGTGAATAAAGTTGGTGTCACTGTTACAGTAAAGCAATTTGATTTTCTGGAAATGTTGAGAATTGAGAATAAGTTTCACAGCTAATTTCATCTAGATCAGGCGGTGAAAGGGGGGTATCGTCCCCCTTTCACCGCCTGGTCTAATCTTGTCTCACGTAGAAATTGTTTTTTCTATCAACGACTGCGAATGAGGGAATGTCTCTATAATTTTAATTTTCAGTTTAGGCTGCTTGTCACAGTTTTTAACTTGATACTTCAAATAATCCAATATACTAAGATTTTATTTTTGCTTTAAATAGGCGGGAATTTCACAGCTTTGCAACAATGGAGTTTTACCTAAACTGTCAAGTCTTATAGAAGGCTTTTCAAGCATTAACCATGTTATATCTGAGGTAGGTCCTTCTAAATGGAGACAGAGGATTGAACTGTTTGCTTTGGTGCTGTTTATTGAACTGAGCTTGTTGCGGAACAAAAATTCTTATATTATCAAAATTACAGATTTACCGTCTGTCGTATGTAGCGCTCGTTGCCGTATAGACAGCAGTAAATGCTCTGGTTTAATTAATTGGACGCTTCTAAATTGCAATTCCATGTTCACTTTTAATGCCTTTATTAAGCAACTGTAATGACAATAGCATTATTTTACAAACAATATAAGTTTCAGTTGCTAGATGCTCCAGTAGGTCTTTATCAATAGAAGCTGTGTACTAACCAACCAATACTTTGGTAGACAACAACATAAGCCTTACTGGTATCAAATACACAAAGATGTCACGAAATTTCAGTTTTTCGCAGTTCAATTATTTCTTTCAAAGAATTTTAGGGTATCTTTGTATCGTATTATCGGTTATAGATAACATAAAACAAGCTTTTGAAAGTATTTTTGCTGCTTTTTTATAGACTTAGCATCTTATTTCTACATTTTTGTATTTTAGGCCTAATTAACCTTTGTAAGATATACTGGCAGCTTCTGCTCTTAATATCTCAGACCTGCTCTATTTTAAACCGAATCGATTTTGTTCCAGGATGAGTTTTCTTTATATGAAGTCAACGATCCTTTTGTTCAGAATTTTATCGCAAACTTAGACAAAGGCTTGTCATCATTAAAGGTAAGATATTGCTTAGTTGCTTCAATAATAGATTTTTTTATCTGCACAACGCTTAAGCGATAGTTGAAGACTGTTAAAGTCTTTGAGACAGTGGATTGTTTAACTACTCCACCGTATATACTTCTGTTGAAATCATTTCAGCTCTAATACTGTTGTGTTTCTATTTGGATGATAGTAAAGAGCAATGCCAAATTACATCCTTCCTATTGCATTACGTTACCTAATGAAATATAAAATTAAATATGATTAGAGACAGCTTTAAGGCTAGCAGAACATCGTGTATCGTATGGATTAAAAGCAAATTGGATGTTGTGACACGCACAAGATATTATGCAAATAAGATTAATCAACATATTGTTAAGAACATGTTTACTGGGCATAAATTTTTTGTTTTGTGCTTTTAAAAACCTTTTTTCAATCACTGGTGTATTCTTTCCATTTTGAGGATTCTCTGACAACATCAAATCATGAAAATGTAGTCAACCTTGTGTGCTCTGAATTAGCAACAAGATTAGAGAAATCGGTGATGAAAAGCTCTTATAACAGGGTTAGTAAACTTGAAAATTCAGGAGCTTTTGTAAATGTACTTTTATAAACGTTTTTTCAGTTCTTGTCTTCTTTCAAGAATTCCAAACACTGCTTTCCAAGGTCATATTCTTTGCTTTCTGAGGTCATTAAATTCCATCGAACGATTATCTCTCCTGACATTAACTCAACTAGTTTTTCAAAGATGACTTTAAGCGTTTAAATTGCTGTATTTTTTATAACTAAAAGTTTTTTATTAAACGAAACAGCTTGGTGGCCTGCAGTTTGACAAAGAGCTTCGTGCACTTGTTGGTTACTTAACAAATATAACTGAATGGACAGTGAGAGACAAATTTGCAAGGCTAACTCAGATCGCAACTATATTGAACCTAGAGAAGGTAAGCTTATGTCTTATTTCTTTTTTTTTTCTTTAGCTTATTTTGAACGAAATTTTAGAAGTGAAAAGAGGAATTGGGATTTGTTGTAAGAAATTCTTCTAGAAGCTCGTATTGTGAGAAGTTCCCTTTATTTATACAAATAGGTAACTTTTAGTTGACTGTTACCGTGGTTTTTGCAGGTCGGAGAGCTGCTGGATTATTGGGGTGCAAATTCAGGTCCTATGACTTGGCGGTTGACACCAGCAGAAGTACGCCAGGTTTTGATTCTAAGGTGAGTTCTTGCTTTTTTCCAAGAAAACACTGGCGACTTGCTTTATTGAAATGCGTCAGTTTCCCTTGTAAAATTTACAATGACGTCATTTAATCTTCAAGCTCTGTACTATTTGGACACAGCAGCTCTATTACAGCTGTTTGTTCAACCATTTGTGAACTCTTTCATTCATAGCGTTACTTCTAATGTTTGTTTTGGCTAAAGATGCATTTCCCTGTGCTAGTACATAACAAAATATGGATAGTTGTTAACATCATGATGTTTTGAGGTGCCTGAAGTTAGAAAATCTGCTTGACTTGTTAGCTTTTTCAAATAAGAATTGTTGGTTTATACACTGCAGCCAATTACTCCGTGCAGTTCAACTTGTTCATTACACGTTATAATTTTAAGTCTTCTTGTGAAAGAATGAAAGAAAATGCGTATTTTGTTTCTTTTCCAGAGTCGATTTTAGGACTGAAGACATTCAACGATTGAGATTGTAACTTATAAATTGAGAGGTCTGGAGTTGAAAGAAAACTAAGGGCAGGTATCTTTCAAACAAGACTCATTTTCATCGTGTATTGTATCAAAATGAACACAATAAAGCAATTTGCAGACATTAACAGAAATTCGCAAGCTGTTAATGATGATTTTCTATAGCTAGACGCACGCAATCAGACGGGAGATATCTCAACGCCATAATAGATGACTTCTGTCGTTAATTTCTACCTTCTTAAAGCCCAAGCAGCTTCTGTCGAAAAGACTATTACATTGGTTCTATTTGCCACGAGTTGATAAGCCAAAAGGCCATCCCTGTCATCTACCTATCGCTTGAGATTGTTACTAGATTAAGAGTTTCATTATTCCTCCCCCTGTTCCCTTCTGCAATGATACAGCACGGCCCTTCTAAATTCCACTGATTGGCCTATTGTCAATAGATCAATTGGCAATAGAATCCCTTCTTTTGCCCTCAAATCCCGAATCCAGAATCAAGGTCCTCAAGCGAGTCATCAAGATTTCCGTCCAGGACTTTGCTGTCCACTGCTTCTTCGGTATACTGCTGGTACTCTGCGATAAGGTCACTCAGATTTGAACTGGCCTATGAAATAAAACATCGGTTACCAATTCAATATAGAACGTCCTGATTTGGCTACTATCGCCCATCTTTCTAGAAATAAACAACCGATTTTCGAAATCTCTATGTATTTGTTTAAATCTCTATCCATTCAAAGTCTGTAATGCTCAAAGTTCGATCACAATTTGCGTTCGTCAGTAGATGTAAAATTTGGGTAGAGAAGCAATTAATTTTGTTTTTGGGCAAGCTAAGACTTAAAGCCCTGGCCAAACGAATAAGACATCATACAACATTGTTGCATAAAACATGTTTTATTCGTTTGGCCACCATGTTTTACGATGTTTTACGATGTTTTACGATGTTTTACGATGTTTTACGATGTGTTATGATGTTTTGCATAGTTTGATTTCCATCAAACATCTCGTAAAACATCTCTTTTGTTTTCATGTTTGATCAACAATGTTGCGTTCGTTTGGCCACCCCTTAAAACATTTATTTTACGCACGCAAGCGTAGTAGGTTAAAATTCGGCAAACACAACGCAGTAACTGTAGGAAACTGTGCGGGAGCGCTTGAACATCACAGATATTTTAACAGTTGTTTGATTCGTTTGACCAGGTCATAAAACATCGTCCAACAATGTTGGTACAATAATGTTTGACAATGCTTAACGGATGTTTTATAAGTTTGGCCGGGCCTTAATATGTTTTTTTCTAGCCTAAGCAAATGTAGAATTTCTCAAGATGAATATTGAGTATTATATAGCAATGACTGCAGTATTTCATTTGTTATTTGATCGGTGCTAGATATTGCATAAAAGCGCTTTGCATGTGCAATACTTACATCATTGAAGCTCAGTGGATCCAAACCCTCGTTTGTGTACCAGTGCACAAAAGCTTTGCGTTTAAACATCTTGCAGAACTGGTCCCTTATCCTCTGCATAACATCTTGCAGAGCGGTGTTATTGGCCAGGAACGAGGCACCGATCTTCTGGCCTAAAGGTGGTGCATTGCAAACAGATACCTTCGCATTATTGGGTATCCATTCCACAAACAAACCGCTGTGCTTGTGTTGCATTTTCATTATGGCCTCCTCTACCTCCCTCATCTCAACTTGGCCTCGAAACATGGCAGCGAATGTTAGATATCGCCCAGCACTTGGGTTGCACGCGCACATTATGTTCTTACCTTCGAATAAGTCTCGTGTTATTTCCTCTACGGATTCTGTGTAAAATGCTTGAGAGGCACTCGAACGGAGTGGTGCCAAGCCGGCCATAAAGAAATGAAGACGTGGAAATGGTATCATATTGACTGCCAATTTTCGTAGATCCGAATTCAGCTGAAATTCACAAAACCAAAATTATTGCTAAGGCGTGTGTTTCTGTATCTGTATATTTTTATATGAAGCAAACTCATACAACAGATGAAGATATCTTGGTATAAGCATATTTTGGCTTTATACTATCTTATAGAATTTTGTCATGTCTTTGCATGTTCTACTGTAGCGATCTGTTAATGTTTACTGATTTTTTATACACTACATATACTTGTTCCCCAATTAACATCGAAAATAGTTGCTCGTGACAAAATTTGCATTGACGAAAACTTTATTAAAGATACTATCGCTCCAGTGTCTCTCATTTTACTGTAAATACATTCGTAAGTTCTCACATTTAACAGCTAACAAGAAAAAGTAAGCATTTGCATTCTTTTGTATTTAATGCATCAATAAAAACAAAGACAATAAGAATGGCATCAACAATCATTATTGGCTACCCTCCCCATCTCTTCCCGCCTCGGAGTAACATAATGCCAATATTAACACTTCACTTAAGTGCGTCTTCTTACCTGCCCTGGAAACCTCAGAGTTGTCGTCACTCCGCTTAGCGTCTGTGCAATCAAACTATTCAGGTTTTGATACGAGACTTTTTTGTATTTGAAATTCCTTGTGCATATATTGTAAAGTGCTTCGTTGTCCATGCAGAAAACCTCATCACTCCATTCAATCAGCTGATCCATAGCCAATAAACTGTTGTATGGCTCAACTACGATATCAGAAACCTTTGGCGATGGCAATACGCTGACGCAAGAGAAAATGCGATCGGGATACTCTTCTCGTAGAAGATTAAGTATCAATGTGCCTAGGCCGGAGCCTGTTCCACCGCCAAGGGAATGAAACAGTTGAAATCCCTGCAGGCAGTCTGCTGACTCTGCCTCTTTTCGGAGTATGTCGAATATTTCATTGACTTTGGATGCCCCTTTTGTCATAAATCCAGTTGCCCAGTTATTGCCAGCACCGCCACTTCCTTCAATAGAAATCCATTCCAGTTCATGTGAATTTGATGAAGATTTTAACTACTAAGTAAACACTCATTAGATAACAGAAAGGCCATGCCAGTGACGTGTTCTAGAGCACTAGTTACTTTGTTGCTACAATGATTTAAGCCTAAGATCTTTTATGGGAATTTACTTTGAGTTGTCGCAATAGTTTGGGTAAGGGCGTGCTCAGGGACGAAAACAAGTTGCTAATTTTGGAGGGGCGTGGAAGGATGAAAATTCCAACTTTATGTGAGAAATTTTTCATTCGACCAGTAAATCTACTGTACCTACCAAATTTATATTTGTAAATAGCCCGAACACCATAGTTCTATTTTCTTTATAATTACCAAAACTTTACTCAATAATTAGCCTAAATCATAAAAGCCTAAATCTCTAAATTTTGATTAACATGAAACAAACATTTAAACTTACTGTAAGAAGTAAAGCAAAATTTAAGCAAAACCAGTATTAGATATACTTAATGATTAGTAGTATTCTTTCAGATCAATTGATCAATTTTATCTAAATTGATCAATTTATCAATTGATGCAGATCAATTTTATATAAAATACATTTCTTCACGATATAGAAGCACCAAGAATTTGAGCCCTTTATTTTTGTTCTTGATCGAAGAAAACTACTAACAATTTTCAGAGGGCCAAATGCCTTTTCGTTTTTTAAAATATAAATGATGATTTGAGAGCAAACTTGTGCATATGCCTGATTCGAAAGATGAACACTCTTCTTTGATCAATACTTCTACTGCAGCTTTTGCAATGTGTTCTTGCTGCACAGCAGTTTTGTCATGATAAGGAGTCAAGGACGTTAACAAATGACAGGGGGAGTTTAGCATAAACTCGTTCTTCATAAGAAGCCTTGAGAATTTTTAGTACTGAAAGATTATTTAATATTTTATTGAATTAGCTAATCGTAGTTTCTTAAAAAACTCCCACTCTAATATTTTCTGATCAATACGAATATTATTATTCCAAACTGTAAAGTTTCAAGTTTCTTATCCGGAAATTCACCTTGCCTGTTCGTAATTTGATTCAACTCCCGTCAGAAAGAAAGCAAACGGGGCAATTGTGCAATTTGGATCCAGTGGAGACGGGATTCACAATAGAAAATGATTAGTGGATGGGTCAACTTCGGCCTATGAATTTTTTGTTGGGGAGACGAGCAAGAGAAAGTTTTTTAAAAAGTGAGGCAACCCTCCGTCATGGAGTCAAAGAGCATGCGCACAGAACGAAGTTATTATTACGCATGCTCTCTGAATCCAGGACGGAGGGTTGCCTCACTCATTTGAAAATTTTCGCTCGCTCGTCTCCCCAACAATTTAATGTTTAGAATTTTTACATTTAAAATCAAAAAACTTCTTAAAATATAAATTCACAAGTTTGGTCTTAAGAAGAAAATTCCAAGTCAACCATTAAGTTTTCCAACTGTAACTGGATTTTCCAAACTTTGAGGGGGCGTTACGCCCCCCACGCCCCCTACTATTTACGTGCCTGGGCGTGCTTCTTACCCAGATAAAAGAGCAGAAAAATAACCTCAAATGAGATGCTATGTGGCAACGATCTACTATTTAGGACAATTTCAAGTCTACGTAATTTTATAGAAGTTTTTAAATCAAAGAAGCTTAAAAACAGAGAGATTTTGCTTACCATATACAAAGTTGTCTGGACGATAGAGAAGTCCATTTGGCCCCCCTCTTATTGCATCTAACGGACCAGGTTCTAGATCAATCAAGGTTGTCCTCGGCACATACTTTTGATCTATGAATATAGAAAACAATCGAAATAACAAGGAAGGCAAATGGTAAGTAAAGAAACGATAGAAGACTTTCTCTGGTTCTATATTAAATTGGCGAAAGGAATATTTGGAGCTGTAAGCGTGTCACTTAGTTAACAGCCGATTTAGCAATGAGAAGTAGTAGTAGACACATTAGCAAAACCCCAGCATAAAGTTTTTTGGTGCATATGAACGACATTCTTATCGAAAATATGCTGACCAGTGCTCTTCAATACTTTAAAGCAATAGTTAGAAATAATTTATATGTAAATTGTACGAGCCAGTAACCTACACTTTGAATGGTATGCCCCTGCGTCTTTAAATTGTGAATATTAGTGTATAAATATTGTAGACTCTATTTTCTTTTTCTTAATCGTCTCCGGACTGCTATCTTAGGCACATTAGATGCGATTAGATGCGATAAACAAGCATAACAATGCTCAACCAATCTCAAGCTGTATTGATGAATCTATCATTCATATATATTTGTCCCTCTTATAGCAGACTTGATTAATAGCTTATCGAGTTGAGCAAGTCGATCAATTTTAATTGCCTTAGCTTGCCATATTCTTAGATCCAGAACTAACCTTGCAGCTCATGGAAAAACACTTCGGTTCTTCCAGAGATCTCTTCTCCATCTTTAAGGTTAGATTTATGTCCATCACTGCCAATGTTATGTTCTTTGCAAATAAGATCCCAGAACTGCAAAGAAACGGAAAACGAAATTGATCGGGGTTGGGAACGTTCGTTTCAATCCTGTTCGAAGAAATTCAATTTTTTCGTGTATCTTGTCACACGAGGCCTAGGTCAATGCAATTCTTTTTTCATCTTAGCATGAGGCAACAATCATCGTTTCTTTGCATCTCGTCAAGTGGCCTAGTCAATTGGATTCTTGTTCAACAATGGAAAGCCAATCGATGACCATACCTGGGATGTTTCCAGACTAGACTCATCTCATAGACAAAATAACAAATTTGAAACAATTGGTTAGCCTGCTAGTCGTGTAAAAAAGAACGTTTTTGATACGATAAGAAATTGGAATGTGCAAACCCAATAGATAATGTCTCCGCCCCATAAACGAGGAGGGGCGAAAGAAAGCCTGTCTGTCTAGCTCTCAAAGTAAACAAAGGAAGCTTTCTACTTTCTCAAGCAATGATAATTAAAGCTACTTTTCATGCAATGCTCGACCTAATTCCAATCTACGTTTACTGATAACATATTCTTACAGTTTTCTCAAATAGACAACAATTTCTGTCTTTTTGCAGATTTTAATCTTGCAGAACTGTATTGTAGGATCAGCTGCAAGTTAGGTTACACTGTGATGATTTATTCATGATAATTTCACTTTTGTTTATAATTTTAGCATGCATAAGCACATTATTTCTTTCGTTATTTGGTCTGCCAAATGTCATTGTTTTCATTGCTTCCAAAGTTGCAGACCGTAAAAAATCGTTATTCGTAAAAAATCGTTATTCGTAAAAAATCGATATTCGTAGCATAAATTTGGTTCTAAATTCCATTTTAACTTTTTAATGCAAATAAAAATATTTTATGAGAAGGAAATTTTTGCTAATTATTAAATTTTCTTGTTGCATGTCAATATTAACAGCGGCGTTCCATCGGGGCAAAAAAGGGGCAAATATATCAGGTTTATTTAAAAAGTATTCCGCGAGACTTCCCGCGTGAAATCTTGCTAAGTTCAGTGCATGTTTTTATGAAATATTTAATATCGAAACGTACCTGATCACCAACTTGGTTGCCACACTGCCCGACCTGAATCGTTACTATTTCTCTCATACTCAATACCCGAACGAATAAAACCTTGTCTTTGTCCAATCGACCATGGCCTAACACTGTCAATTTTTTCTAAAACAATTCTTCAAGTCTCAACTAGTAGCAGTCCTCGATTTTGGTTGGCAACATATAACTGTTCTGAGTTGTGGTTTCAACAATAACTCCTTATTACCACTGCACCGACCCCCATAGTCTTCATTTTCTTCATCTTGGTCCTAAGTTATCTGCTGTTTGAAGTCATATGCTCATAATTCCAAATAATACGATGTAGTGGCATTTCTTATTACGTATCACTCAAAGTTTCATAATGAATTGCACATGTTTCTACAGACTGGTAATTTTTGCGATCCTTTATTATGAGTTTGCCACCTGTCAGTATAAAAGCAGATCAGAGATCAAGATGCTCGCCCACAAGCTCTGCTAACCAGGTTTGAACTCAGCAGCGCTAAGCTTGAAGCTCTGCCGCGAGTGAGCGATCTTGTTTATTTAACATCGAATGCTGAGTAGAGTCAAACAAAGTTGTTCACTCTCGCCGTAAAGGATATAGACTGTTTCTAATGCACATATTATTTTGTAGCAAATAAGTCTGTTGAATTTCAGGCTATTCTCGAAACGTTGTTAATCAACAATAAATTATTTATAACTAGTACAATTTTACTCAAGTTCCTAGTTATTTTCTATTTTATTGTACAGCACGCAACCTAGGATATTTATGGAATCCTTATTGGTTATAAGAACAGTGTATGTACGATAAATTGGCCAGTAGAATAGAAAAAACCAGCTCGAATAAATTCTTCTTCGAAATTGATAGCGTACATAGATTCCAAAACTTTTTCCAAATTGAATGCTCACAGCCTCCATGACCCATTGCGAACATGTTATCCACTTCGTGTCGTGCTAAAAATGTTGCGCTCCAGGGCTCTGTCCTCGCTTCTATGTTTCCCGGTTTGCGTAAATAAATCACACCCCTCATTCTCTATTCTAACTTTATCTTAATTATGGTAAACAGTAGGATTGATGATGGTCTACGTGTGATACAATATAGATGGCGGTTAAAGACCATAAAAAAATTTGACACACGTTATAAGCAAGATCCAAGATAAATGACCAATAACCATTTATCTTTATTACTTCTCAATTTGCTTTTGAGAAAACTCAGTAGTCTGTACACCACTCCAATGTACAATATTATGATCCAAGTATCGTGTCTCGGTTTTTATGTTGCAAAATCGTAGCTCTTGCTATTTTTACTCTACGAAATCTTGTTTACACCCACCAAAGTTGAATTTTTTTTTGAATATTATAGATTTAGAAGAACAAAATAACAAAGATGAGCAAAGAAACATGCATCATCCTTCACTAGAAAAGGAATGCAAAGGACTGCAGCGTTGCTATTGCTCGCTAATTGGAAGGACAATTCTTGGTCTGGAGACTGGATCAAGATAATGGGTTCCGAAGGTTACCATAGTAAAGTGTTACATTCAGTTCAGTTCATGCTATATTAATTCATTGTTAGGTCTTTTTGTCCATTTCCTTTTTGTAATTTTAGCTTAGGACACCTGGATTGAAAATTGTCTTACCAATTTCCTCAGAAGTGGCATTTGAAAGAACAGCTAGTTTGCAAATGACTATAGTTAATGAAAGTTTAGCATCCCCATTGAACATTTAATCTGAAAATTTTGGAAACTTCGGATAGATAGACAACTTTCGGAAGCATTATCGATAAATTTGGACAAACATTTTTGAGATGATGGCAAAACGGAGCATGATTTAAGGAACTATTATCGCTGCACATTTTCAATAAATACAGTGCTGATTGAAGCACAGCGTGAATAAACTGATGCTGACATTAAAAGATTTTTTTTCAATAAATATATGGTCATGGGGGTAGCCTTATGGGGTAGTGATAGAATTATTGTTGTTGAAAACTTGTGTTTCTGTTCACTGGAACGCTCTTTTTCTGGAAATGATCAACAATCCAAAAAGGCCTTTGTGTTGTAATTTCTGCATCTAAATTTATAAATGGCATCAATTTATTTGCACACAAAATGTACGTAAAAGTTTTGTTGGATAATATATTTATTTACCCATAAATCTGGAAAAAGAACGACATGAAAACAATTTGCATCGATTGCAATTTATTGGCAAATCAATTTACTGTAGAAAGTAGAAACTTTGTGGCACATCGAATTTTGAGTAGAAGTTTTGGAATGTCTAAAAAATTTCTTCACTTGTAGACTTGAGGCAAGAGCCTCAAGTCTGCAAGGGCCTAAAGTCTTTAACTTGACAATGGCTTGTATCACAGTACTAGATAGTTCAACAGGTTTTCTGCCAATGAGAAAGACATCAGAGATGTTCATATATTTGTATTGAGCCTATTGCGCCTGGTTTTGATCTAATTAAATATGTACGTTGCGTGTGGTACTTTATCCAGAACAACGATAATATAGTTAGCAAATAAATTTAGTACCAGAATGAAAATATAATAGTTTGATCGTTAAAAACACGACGTTTCGAGCATGTACTCGTTATCAAGTTTGACTTTGTGACTTCGTTGAACACGATGTCGTGTTTTTAACAATCAAACCATTGTATTTTCATACTGGTACTAAATTTTTTTGCTAACTATATTATCGTGGTTTTGATCTAATAGCTATTGCTGATCAATATGATGATATAGTGAAAAGTTAAATGCATCACATAAACATAAACAACGGGAGAAAGAATTATACCAACAAATAGCTCAAGTCATTGGTCATAATCTTACATGCAACTCCCATTCAGTTGATTTTAAGCGGTTAGTCTCGGCACGTTTAATAAGGGTCTGTGAAAGGTAAATTCTTGCCACTAAACAATTTTCAGACTAAGAAAGTTTTCGGACAATCAACGTTTTGGTTAAAATTTTGCCCGAACGTTTGGTCTTCCGAATGTTTTCGATTCAATTATATCATATTTTAATTATATTCAATTATGCATGATATCTACTGACTGGGGACAGCGGTGATATCATTCATGTCATAATCCTAACGTCGACTCTATTGTGGGTGCCCTCTTTTTGACGTAGAGGCTATTAGAAGATGTTCAGTTTCAAGTGTCTTTGGAACATGTGGATGGAAGTGCTTTCTGACTGATCTGGCTAAACCTCTAAAATTTCTCCCGGAAAATGGCCGATGAAAAGGCTGCCAAGAAAGCAATGCAAAGAGAGAAAGGTACCCATAAAAAGAATTCAGAGAAATATTTGGAAAATAAACCAGATCGTTGCGAGGAGGCTAATGATCAAGAAGACAACATCGAAGACGATAAACAAAATTTTAAAGGAAGGATTGATGTCCACACCTTAAATTATTTCAAAAGGGTTGAAAAACTCCTTGAAGATGATAGTTTTGAAGATGCAGAAAGCAAAGAGCTTTTTCTCAATAACGTTTTAGACCAAACAGGCGAAGGGCCAAGAACTTGCCAACTTGCAAAGCATAGGCTTACTAGCAAAATCTTGGAAACATTGATTGGAATGTGTAATTCAAGGCAGTTTTTATCACTACTAAAAAGTTTGGTGGATGGAGCTTTGTTAGTTTCAAGTGATAGATTTGGGAGTCACGTCATCGAAAAGGCAGTTAGTATGGTACCAGTTCATTTAAATTGTAAGATGGATGATGTTACTACCGAGATTGAACAAGTATTTTGCAACTTTGTGAAAGTAATTAAGAAAAATGTGGCAGAGCTGATGAGAGATACATATTCAAGCCACATTGTTAGTACAGTAATCCAGGTGCTCAGTGGAATATGTGTAGCAGATGCTGTTTCAAGGAGCCGAAATTCAAGAATAACAAGAGGAAAGTTCTTCAAAGGAGCTGGATCAAAAAGAGTGGGTATGCAAAACAAAGTTTTAAATCTCATAGCAACAATCCGGGAGATCAAGTTTCAAGTTTATTTTGTTACCAATGAATCCTAAATACTTTCCTTATGCATACTAAAAAAATTTAATAAAAATATAAAATTTAATAAAAGAGTAATTACAAATTTACGAAACTAAGACTAATACTGTGTCTTATATGCTGTAAGTCTAAGCTTGAAGAAAGGTCTAGTAACTTCTAGAGTTTCTAGATGTGGTTTTTGCAGGAAAGATACTCATCAATAACAAAACACAAAAATTTGACATACCGTAAAAGGGTCATTCCATGTGAGACCCCATGCCAATTGGACTAGGGGTCCCACATGCACCACCTCAGATTTACATAAAAATTTGTATCAATGTTTATATATGTAAGATAAAAGCATCATTGAAATTTCAGCGTGATATTCTATACCATCCAAAAGATATGGTTCTTCAAAGTCTCCTACTTTGGCTCTGATGAGGAATTCTGGGAGATGGAAACAAACTTTTGCAAACTTTGAGGTCCTATTGTTCTTGACCCGATTTTGACAGCCTCTTCAAAATTGATACTCTGGAGCATTTTCGGGGGCAGTACCAAAAACAATTTACAAAAAAATTTACTTTCAATAGTTGGCCCATAATGGCAGCAAAAAAATTGCTAAAAATTTACTTCCGGATATTAGGAATTCAAACTTTGAAGGGCCAGGGCTTAAATTCAGACTATCTAGAGCTGTGAGAAGTTTTGAGGAAATCAGAAGGTATAAATTATTATTTGAGAAATTACAAGGCTTGGTTCTGGAGAAAAATTTAAAAATTTGTCCTGTTTGTGGGACCATGCAAATCTGAGATGGTGCATGTGTGACCACTTTGAAAATTGATCCATTTGGCATAGAATGACCCAAAAGCTCTATTAAGCCCCCCTTATCAAGCAAAAAGTAAAAATAAGCCCCCCTCTCTATTAAGCCCTCATTCTTAAGCCCCCCATGTCAAACAAAGAAGTCATGTGCATTGAGTGTGATGAGGACAAGATTGTGTGCTTCAAGTACAGCCCATGTAATTACTTGTGCACTTTAGAAATCAGTTGAAATTTGTTTAGAAGATGTCCCAGTGGATATCAATTGATCCTGGTGACTTTGAGGATAATGAGGACATTATAATTGATTTATTTTAAGAAACTTTTGAAGATGCTACTAGCAAAGTTTTTGAGAACATTTGTGTGACATTTTCTTAAGAAAAATACATAAGGGATTTTTTTCAACATTTTAACATTGAATTATTAATAAGCCCTCTCTCTCTAATAAGTCCCTCTCTCTAGGACTGAAAAAATAAACCCCCCTGGGAGCTTAATAGAGCTTTTACGGTACCTTTCTAAATTTCTAAATTTAATGCTGTAACCCTCCCCTTAAATTTAAGGCTTTTCATTTCTGGTATAGCTTCAGGGGAATGACAAAAAGTCTGTGAGACTGAAGAAGAGTTTTTATAGCATGGGTTTGATGCAAGCGCTCACTCATGATCTGCACTTCATAAACCCAACCACACGTAAACCCAACCAAATCTTAGTGGGAATATGCAATTGAAAATCAATTCCACTGGAAATGTTTTGGAATACTGTAGGCACTTAGTATTTTAACTACAAAGCCCTAAGAACATCATCTGGGCAGTAAAAGGGGTTGTAAATATGGTTTGGAACAACATTTTGTGACCATCCGGCAATAATGCCTATAATATGACCCCTGTGATCTACATAAAAGTTATAAATGCAGCACATTCATATTAGGTCTTTGATCTTTCTTGGAGTGCATTAAAGATCATTGTAACAATTCATTTTCATTTGATATCACCCTAACAAAAAAGTACCTTTTAACAGGATCATGCAGTTTTGTAAATAAACATTGCAAATGTGTTAAGCTTTGTTGATTATAATTATCATTTTAGAAGGATTGATTGTGCAAGAGAAGGCATGCAAGTGTTGTGCCACTCCTGTGGGCTATTTCTTTTGAAAAGGCCTGCTAACCCTTCTTCTATAAAATTGATTCCATGGTACTTAAACAAAATTAAGGTATGATACAGTTATTTTAATTTCAGGTCAGTCAAATTTTGGTAAACTATTTGAAAAGTCAACCAATCCGACGCCAGAAATTTTCAAGAAACATCTTAAGAAAATTGCCAAAAGCATATGCAAAGATGACAATTTTGGCGAGCTTCTTTGCCATAAAAGTGGAAGCACTGTTATACAGACACTTCTTTTGGCTTTGAAAGAGAAAGATCAAACAATGTGTTCAAGAGTTTGTAATATGGTTGTAGAACGAAGTAAATTATTAGAATGGGGGAGAGCAAATGAGGAAAATACATCTGCAAGGTATCAATTTAATAATTTAGTTGTTAATGAAATACATCCATCTTTAGTAGAAGTTTCATTTTTACGATGGTATAGGCTAAATTGTTTTTCTTATGGCTTAGTTCTATGCTTATCTGGATATTTTATCATCTTTTTATCATTGTCAAAAATCTGATTTTGTAATAGGCTCTTAAAAGCATGTTTCTGTAGACAAAAAGGTATTTTTGCTTTCCACTGCTGTCCTACAGTTTTGCAATAAATCTAGATTTGTCAAGATCATTTACCAATTCACTTGCATACTGCTAATCATAAATTTATTAGACCAACAGTCTGATTGAATGTGAAATGTTATTACCAACCCTACTGATTACAAAGTTCTTGCCATTACAACTTGATCAGCCTATTGGAAATTCAATACAAGAAAACATTGTGTAACAAAATTGTGAACAATTGGCTGCTATGTTTAAAATCTGTAAAAATGTAAAGAAGGCTTATTTGAGAAGGGGGCCCATTCAAAACAAAGCCTGATGCTAAAGAGGGAGTTTATTGAAGAGGGAGTCAAATTGTTATTCAAATGACATGAGGTATTTGCGTTTTAGTGTCCCTATATTATTTGCTGATGAAGTTGGCAGCCACGTTATGGAAAAGATCTTCCATGCTGCAACCTCGGATTTGTATGAAGTTCTCTTTTCCAAGTGTTTTCAAAATCATCTGCTTCAATTTGCATTGCATCCACTTGCAAACTACATTCTCCAGCATATGATGACTAGTATACCTACAGTGGAAATGGTAAGTCCTTTCATTACACACATTTTATTATCTAAGAAATTCTTGCACACATATAAAAATATTTTTCTTACACATATAGGTCTTTACTGTTTTTCGTTAAGGAACATCCTTCATAGGTAACCTTAGACTCAAGAAAACAGCCATCTTTTGGAATGAAGTAGGCAACCATTGAGTAGTAAAAAGACCAAATAAGTATCGAACATCCAGTCAGGACAGGGTCCAAGAGAATGAATGTCAAAGGAAAAGTTTAAACGACCACACCCTATAGAGCATCACAGAATAACCCTTGAATGATTTTGTATCTCAACAATCTACATCTGCTATTATTTAAATATGTATCATCAACAATCTATATATAAATTATGGTTATTGAGAATTTTTCTCAATTTGGCATAGGTTAACACTGTTTTTGATCAGATTGCAAAATTTGAGCAAGTCTATTAGGATGCTAATGTGTATTTCGCCTCAACAGACATATAGGAATGAAAATAAAGCAGAGTTTATGATGGATCAATTTCATCCAAAGCGTTTCATTGTTCGCAAGTGATTCAAATTTTGGAGTAAAATTGATAGAAAGCCAGGAGAGACCATAGTTAAAGTTCCTGAGCTTCAATTACCAATCAAGCTAGAAGACCAGCATATGGTTAATTTTGAAATTGATACCGGTGCTGGAGATAATTTTCTTGGCAAAACTGTATGGAAGGAGCTAGGTGAATTCTAGAAGCACCAAATCAGCAGTTTGAGTCAGCAAGTCAACAAAAGCTACCAGTTCTTGGTGCCGTTACATTACAAGCGGAAACTGAAAATTCTGAAACTTGCTTGGATGGAGTGCCATTGCGCAACTCGGGATATCAGTTGACATACTCATCAAACAGAATAGTGGTGCACGCTGCACAGTGTCATGCTGTATTTGAAGATTTAAAACCTGACCGAAATTACAAGCTGAATGTCGCAAGCTATGTGAAGGATTTCCAGATCTAGTCAAGCCGGAGCTTGGGAAACTGAAAGATTTTGAACTGGAAGTGAAATTCTAACCTGATGCGAAGCTAAATTTTTGCAAAGCAAGAACAGTTCCTTTTGCGCTTCAGGAAGATTAAGTTCAAGCATACGTGGCCGGCACCAGGTGTGGTTTTTGGCAAAGAATCTATGATTACGGTACACCAGCGGTATCCATCCGTGAACCGTTGCTTCTGGGACAGACAAAATCAAAACTTAGAGTTTGTGGAGATCCCTCTGTTGCTGTCAATGCACAATTAGAGATTGAATGTCAATGCAGAAAAATCAACATCCAATTTCTACACCGGAACACCTGATGCAAAAGGTGTCAGGATGATGTGAATTTACAAAGATTGATCTTGCTGATGCATATAACCAGATTGCACTAGTCCCAGAATCGCAAAAAGGCTTGCTTTGAGTACATATCAAGGTGTTCTGCTTCAGATACGTGTTCCATTTGGAATAAGCTCAGCACCTGGATATTTCCAAGAAGAAATGGATCAACTAACAAGTGGCCTACCAGGTGTTGCAGTTTATGTGGATGACATATTGGTCAGCCGTTCAATTGCAGAAGAGCACCTTACAGACTTGAAATGGCTGCTTAAGCGACTGAATGAGGAGGGACTACGTTGTGGTTTCGAAAATTGATCATTCTGTCAACCATATGTAGAGTACCTGGGACATTTCTTGTCTAGCCAAGGAAAAGCAAAAAGTCCAAAGGTTGATGCTGTTTTGAAGATGCCTGCACCCAATGATATTTCTGGTCTATGATCATTTCTAGGATCAGTACAGTTCTAGAACAAGTTCCTGTCTAACTTGTTCACACTTATAGAGCCACTTTACAGACTGAGAACTATAACCAAATACAAAAAGAGGCTCTAGCAATTATATTTGCTCTCAGCAAGTTCCATCATTTCCTTTATGGAAGGAAATTCATTTTAATAATGGACCACAAGCCATTGCTTACATTATTTGGTCCTACAAGAGAACATCATCACTAACCGCCAACCGTCTAGCAAGATGGGCACTAATGTTGAGTCAATATGAATATGCCATTGAGTATAGGAAGACTTCGGACCACGGAAATGCTGATGCACTTAGTCTTCTGGTGGGGCCAGATGCCCAGGTTTACGGAAAGGAAAGTGATAATAATGCAGATTACATATATACCATCAAAACTGTCAGTTTACAGCTCAATGCAGCAGATCCAATACTTTCAAAAAAGACATAAAAAGACCCAGTGCTTGCAACTGTAGTGCTGTATACAAATGAGGGTTGGCCTTTCAGCAAGATACACGAAGATAGCGCTAACAGTGAAAGCATACGTTATACAGTGGATACTTTTAGGGAAATCTCTGAGTCACTGTCGGTAACTGATGGGTGCTTGTTCTACGGAGCACGTGTGGTGATTCCAGTCAGTCTACAAGTGCAAGTGCTGGAGATCTTTCATCTAGGACATTTCTGCATGCAACATGAAACAGCTTGCCAGGACTGCTGTCTATTGGGCTGGGATTGATGCAAGTATTGCTGATGTTAGTCGAGCTTGTCAAGCATGTGCTGAGCACCAAATCTCCAGCCCAAACCACCTGTCCACCCTTGGATGTTCCCAGAGAAACCATGGAGTCGCCTACACGTAGACCACGCTATTAATTTCTTGGGGTCAAATTAACTTTTACTGACAGACGCATACTCCAATTATCTTTGTATCCACCAGACCAGCTCTACAAGTTCCAAAGCAACCATTGAATTGCTGGAACAGGACTTTGCACACTTTGGTTATCCACATACACTCGTCTCGGACAATGCTTCAAGTTTTACCTCAGAAGAATTCTAGGAATGGTCTAAGACAAGAGAGATAATTAATGTCACAGGACCTCCGTATCACCCAGCAACTAATGGTGCAGCGTAGAGACTGGTGCAGGCTTTTAAGAAGTCAACATTACCTTTGAAAGCAGCCCTTTAGCAGTTCTTAATGCAGTACCAGAGAACACCACTAGCTTGTGGTTACTCCACCAGTGAGCTGATCAATGGATGCCAAATAAGGTCACCAATAGATATCCTGATTCCTTCTCCTGCGCATCAACAACAAGGATGTCAGAATAAGTAAACAGTGAAGGTTGTGCAAAAGCTAGCTGGGAGATTTATCCAAAATAGAAAGTGAGTACAACTTGCTTTGCTCTCTATTGTGAACATTGACGAGATAAAGATCCATGATGGGTACCAGCAGTAGTTACCAAGGTACAAGGATCACAGACTGTGTCTGTCAGGGTTTATCCAAAGGGACCTATTTGGTGCAGACATGTAGACCAGTAGAGGATGATGAGCTGGGGGATATGCTAAGCATTGCAGTTCCAACCTGTATATCAGAGGCGGCGACACACACAGAAACAAACGTTGAAAATTGTCAATAATTGAGGCTTGCAGATCCAGGACCATCTTTTAAACCCAATAGACCTAACCCCCAAATGACAACCAGTTCGAATATAGCCAGGATAAACCAAGAAGATAAAGGCGTTTAAAGAAGCAATAAAGTCAGTCGCCTAAGATGGATGTTTTAGGCTAGCAGGGAGATGTTGTGATTACAGAAAAGACACTTTTATTAAAAGGTGTTAATCAGAATGCTTGATTGAACATCATTTCTACGACTGAACGTACTATTTCAATAGCATTGTTTTTTAGTTGTTTTTGTACTTCAATAGTATAGTTTGAGATGGAACACTTGTAGTAAACCGTTTTATTTTTATTCTTACATGTCTGTTGATGCGAAGAACAAAACAGATTCAAATTGATTATATCAAACAAACCACCTCTTGCATCAAAGCTAGTGATGTTTGGTATAAAAATTTAAAGACCATCATTCCCATTCTCTGGGAAACTCCAGGGGGAGTTTTCTGTCAATTTTCCATGTGGTAGCCGGTCACGAAGAAAACTGCCTGTATGTTAATAAAACATTTAGAAAGGTTTGAATTACAGAAAAAAGGATTTTTCAAAGAAAATGCACTTTGCAACTGATTAAACTAGGTTTCCTAAAATCAACAGAAAATGATTTCTGCTCAATTATAATTCATATTTCTTTATGTATCTAATTTTTTGTATCTTAATGCATGTGTTGGTTTTCTGTTAGGCCAGTGAAACAATACAGGAGCTATTTCCTTTCACTGAGGATATTTTGGCCAGTGGAAATATGGGTGTTGTTGTTAGAATGGTAGAGCTGAGCAATCAGTTTCAGTGCAAACAAAAAGAGCTTCTCAAGGCATTGATGAAAGCTGTACATTTACCTAGTGAAAAGGAGAAGCAGAGTGTATTCTTGAAGTTATTGCTGACATTATCAACATATGACATTATGTTTGAAAATTGCATTGAAGAAAATGTGAAAGATACACCTGAAGATATGGAAAAGAAGCTTGATAAGCAGGTTTGTGAGTTACATAATTACCTGAATTTCAATCAACTGTTTACTCAAATATTTTCTTGAAGGAATAAGATTGAATTCTTCATGCTCAGTGGTCAGTGAGGTAAACGTATAGAAGCATTAGCGTGAGTTTTTCTATAATGACTAAAATTAAGCTATTTGTTGAGCAGGTCTGTCCCACAACGACTTAGATCAGTAAACAGCTAACTTGGGCATGTTTATTTTACAATCAATGTGTTTGAAGTACACACCACTGAAGGCCAACACAAAAATTCACTTTTTTATCTAAAGATTGACATCAGAAGTAAATTTAGTAAGTTACTTGTCAATTTTGTTATTTCCTTTATAGGTTTTACCTGGTACATTGACCAAAGAAACATTGAATTATCATGGAGCTTGCCTTGTAAGAACATTGTTTTGCTTTGAAAACCCAAAAGTGCTCTTAAAAGGTCTTATGAAAATGGAGGAAGACTTATTATTCATTTCGACACATGATTATGGAAGTTTTGTTATTGAACAGTTTTTGACAAGTGAAACTGTAAAGAAAACCTATAAGAAGAGATTTCTACAAAAAGTTAAGGTAAGTGTTGATATATGTGAATTAGATTTTGTTATCTACAGTTCATGAATTATATGTAAGGTTCTTGTCCGATAACCTAACCAAAGGCAGTAGTGTAACGCTCTTCACAGATTTTTAGAAAGACTATGCAGTACATGTGTGAGCTAAATTGTGATTGAGTCAGCCTGTCTTAATTTACAAGCAAGCACAAGTTTGGTTTAATGAATTCTGTTTTTTACCCTCTGTCATGCTGTAGATTTTCAGGCCTTTTCATTTGATGCGAGTGATCACTCGCGATCGGGTCAGCACTCGTGCAAACCCAACTGTTTCATTGCTCATGCAAAATGGTAAATTGTGAAGAATAAATGTCTTATCAATTTACAAAGTTCTAGTCATCTTTTGTGACCCAAGCAAGTGACATAGACAATACAAAGCTGGTATATCAAAACACAGAAAATATACGTAAGCTGACTTAACCACATCTCAACAAAAAATTCTTTGAAAATCAATTCCACAGTGAATATTTAGGAATACTTTAGGTACTCAGTATTTGAACTTCAATAGCACATAGAACATTTTCTGGGCAGTTAGAGCGTTTTTAAAAAGGTATGGAACAACATTTGCAATCAACCGGCAATAACGTCTTTATGATCTTTGTGATGTACATAAAGTTTGTGAGCAAAGCACATTTGTACTGGGTATTTATTCTTTCTTGGAATGCATTAAGGTCATCGTATGACAAAAGGATACCTTATAGCAGGAACAATTTGTTCACTATCAGAGCGATCGCTCATGCATGAGGAATCAAACGAGTGATGGGCAACTTGTGTGGGCTATTTCTCACGAAAATGCCTGGATTTTCCATGAATGAGCAATTTCATGAAATCCTTTTTGAGCCATTGAATACTTGAGGAGTGATTTTATATTCACAACAGGTTTTCTTCAAACATGCAAGTATATTTGGTGTGGTAACAGGTTTTGCCTTACGAAAATCTAACCCCCTTGTTACAATTAGGATGGCACACAAGCTTGCAATGATACAGTTTTTGATATTCTACCTTCAATGTCTATCTTAGACCTTATTTTTGATTCAATTTCTTTTTCTTTGCCTCAAACCTTTGTTATCAACATTACTCCTCAACTTGCGCAGACACAGAATATAGATTTATTTTTCTTTTTTAAATGTTGTTGTCTGTAATGTCGCAGGTGCCTAGATAACTAATGCCATTACCATCCACAGTTTAACACCAAGCTTAGTTTCAGTCAAGAAAGTTTCTGTTGTTTCCAGGTACCTAGGCCTTCTTGACCTTCAATTCATTTTTTTCTGCTTTGGGGTTGTCATCCAAAGCGGAAAGAGGCTGCAGTGTTACCCACTAAGCCACTGGGGAGACAGGATACAAGTTGAGACTATGTACTTATGCACTGTTCCTCTACTTCTTGACCTTTCAATGTTGTCCCAAAGCATCACCCAAGTAATTGCTACTAGTTATGATTATAGCTCCTGTAGCTTATTTTTACAGAAAATCTCATTTCAGGCTTTAAAAACAATTAAATTTAAAGTTGATGCCTTAATAATAACCTTTTTATGAAATGGTATTTCAGGAACTTCTTATTACATTAGCAATGGATAAATTTGGTAGCCGTGTCGTTGACAAGCTTTGGGTTATTGGAGATGAGGAAGAAAAGAAAATCATAAAAGAAGAATTGTATAGAAGCAGAAGTCGCCTTAAAGGAAATATGTATGGAAGAATAATTCTTAGGAACTGTGGTATTGAATCCACACAGTTTCAAGCAAGAAATGATGATAGCAAAACAGAACAATTCAGCACAGGTAGTTCAGCTACAAAGTCTAAGAAAAGGATCAAGGAAAAGCCAACAGATAGTTCTTTGGATGAAGTTTTAGTTAGGGAGAAGAAGATTAGAAAAATTGACAGCTCAATTGATGAGGTATTTCAAAAGCTAGGTGCTGGAATGGATAGTGATGGGACAGCTGTGATTGAAGAGCTTGAATCTGAGGTGAGAATTCATAGCTGCAAATAACATTTTGATTTTTATTTATTGTCATATCTGTAAGAGTACATTTTGGCTTAAATTCTCATCGTCAATAAATGGTAAGATTTGACAAAGCTTCTGTAGTTTGACAAAGCTTTTGATTCCATTCCATTTGATTCCATTTTATTCTGTTGCAGGCCAAAAATGAAATGACAAACAGCAATGAAATTGATGAATTATTTGCCAAAGTGAAAGTTGCTCAAAAAAAGAAAACAAAAAGGACAAAAAGTTAAGAGCATAAACAAACTGCCCTGCTTAAATGTGTTAGCCTTACGGTGAGAAGAGTTTGGATCATGTTGGCATTATAATAAAACATGTGCTTATAATAAAACACGAATGAGTACATCAAACTCCAACATGGCATTTTTTGTTTCTTTTGTTAAGATACTTCTACCACTACTTCAGATAAACACACAGAATGTTTGTTAAATTACCATTTTTCTCTCATGTATTCCCACTGCTGGTTTATTGAATAAACCTTCTATTTATATGCGGGATTATTAAAGACAGTATTATCGGAGAAGCAAGATTAATTTTCAATCATTTTTTAAGAAAGTGGAATTTTTCAACATGTTCTCTCTGTTTTGTATGGAAACTTCGCATGTAATTTGCAAAGAATGTTGACAAAAATTTATTAGAAATTTATCCTGACAGATTGAAACATAATGAAAACAGATAGAGATAACACTTGAGGTTTGAAAATCATGCAAAATTCCTTAAGTATATTTTTAATGCAGCGGTTTCTTTCATTCATCAAACCCTTATGCAGGATTATCAGAGGCGGGAATAATTTTCCAAAGGAAAAAACAAAAATATGATTATAAGGAAGAGGGTGGGAATACAAGAGAGAATACAGTATTTCAATTTTATTTCTTGTCATCCAAATTATATATACTCAAAATATAGCATATTTAGCCGTAACCTATAAAACTTTCTATAATTCTTTTGTTAGAATGTAGTGTAATAGTAACAAAGCATTTACTTTTTCTTTTAATTATCAAGGAATGCTACCTAAACCCATTTGTATAGAATCACAAAAACTTTGACACAAAAAACTAAAAAGCATGTTGGTTTTTTGATGTTTTGAAAGAAAATGAATTTGTATTGTACATTGCCCTTGAAACTTGGCTTATAAACCAAAATTTGGCTTATAAACCAAAAGTAATAATTATAAAACCTAAAAAGCTATTTGTGTTAAATAAATGACACAAATAAAAATTGGATAAAAACAAGGGTTTTGAGAATACATTGTGAATATAAAATAAATAAATATAATATTAAAAATAAATTGCTTTAATCTTTGACATTATGTATCTTGGATGACTTTTGGTTCTTGTAATGATAAACCTGATAAAGGATGGCAATGTCAATTGTGACCTGAAGCATTCCACATATCCCAAACTGGATTGGTGCCTGCTTCACTATGAAGTATCCTGTTTTGAATGTGTCTCCACAAAACCACATAGCTACCATTTTGATGCTAAAATATACAAGAAGATATCAATTAGAATCACAGTCCTTTACTAATGGCATCTAAATTATAACATAATAAGTATCTGAGTGTCACAGCAAAAATATTAGACAAACCAATGCCATGACTATTGCATATGCCTTGTGATTTCATATCATCTACTCAACTTTGTTAAAGCAGCTATTTTCTCTTTGTCAAGCTCTATATTTTAGCTATGTAATTTTCAAACAAACCTCATTCCCTCAGTTGATTTGTTCTGGAAATTTCTGTAGAATTGTGGGGCTCCTAACATTGCTTCAGTGAAAACTGATACAAAACCAAGAGTTTCTAAGAAAACTTTGACATCTAGTAATAAATATGTAAGTGATGCTCCAAAAAGTATGAAGAGAAATAGAAACTGCAAATAATCTCTGAAGTTTGTCCAGTTCCAAAAATTGGCATATTCTAGATCTAAAATAGAAAGAAAGAAGCATCACATTAGACATAGATAGGTATCATATTCTATATCTTCCAGTTTTAATTTGGTTTCTTGTTTGTCAGAAGAAATTTGGTTTGGGATCTAGGTAAATTATTTTGGAATTTTTGTATGTGGAAACAATGAACCTATCAATAAGGTTTACCACAATCTGATTGCCTTTTGCACTGCATATTTTCATTGATCACATTAATTTTTAGACATGGAAGATATTGACTGATGTTACCACAAAAAAGCTGCAAAAGGATGCTGTCCAACCGTTATGAAATTTGATGACTATTTTTTCTACCAGCTTTATGATAAATGTAGCATATTATTAAATACTTACAGCTTTGTGTTTTTACCTTCTATTTTTGTTTTAAAATGGCAAAACCATTTTATCATAATCTCTTAAAAAAATGTGTTGCTGTTGTAGAAATTTAAAACAGCTATTGGTGAGACAGGAAGAGCTCTGTTTCCTTATCACTTATTGATTTGGAACTATCTTTTTACACTGTTAGTTAGAGGAAACATCACATCAAACAAGGGTTTGCAAATGATTGATTCAAAGTCGGTTTTACATTTGAGGGACTAGTTTTATTGTATCTTTGGAAAATCTGAATTTCATTAGATTTTATGCTTGATAGCTATATAGTATGTAACAAAATACTCACTCCAAATATATCTTCTTTTTGCAGACATTTCACTTTCTCGTTTTATTCTTGTACACAGCTCAAGTAACACTAACATTGCAAATGTCATTATGATGCTTTGTGCTAGCAGAGGAAGCTCAAAGGGGTGTCCATACCTAAAATCCATAGAAAATTTTTATTATATACCATAAATGACAAAAATGTCCATCTGGTTTAACAAAATGTCAAAAACAGTTTATCTGTTGGAATAGTTGGGAAAATGTGTATCTAAAGCTTTGTCTACCACTCTACATGTATGTCAGCTTTAGTTTGTCTTGAACTGTTTGCTTTTCTCAGAGCAATTTTTAAATTTTTGCACCACCAAAAAGTTTTCATTCAAAATTATTTTGGAAAAATACCTATAGTTACACCAATGGTTCCTCACAGAAAGGCATTAACCAATTATTATTCAAGTCTCAATGCGATTTGATATTGTGGATATATATTGTTAACTTTGATTAGATGAAGGTAAACAATGCCAGCAAACTTTGCAAACAGTGAGATATTAATGCAGTTTTATATTCTTCAAAATCATAGATTTATGTCCACTTCTCCTATTCTAAACATGCACTCTCAGAAAAGTGTTGGTTGAACTGTTGATGAAAAAGATTGCTAGAAAATTAAGTTACTCTTGCTTTGGAGAAAGGGGGGGGGAGGGGGGAAATTTTAAAATTATTTGCTCATCTACCAGAGGTAGGAGGGAGACTTCAAATTTAATCTCTCTGCTCATCCCACAGAACATCAACATTATGGATTGTTAAATTTTTTCATGAGAGCTATCATATTAAAAAACAAATTGAACATACCAAAATAATATCCTTAAAACGTTTGCAACGAGAAGAGCCAGGCAAACATGGGTAGAGAATCCATCTGTATTTCTTGTTTTATAGATATCATAATACTGTGGTATGTATGGTACAACTCCACCAAATACCATTGCTGCCGAAGCAGCAAAAGAAACAAGGCTAATTATGTTTAATGATGAAAACTCGGGTATTAAGTGGCCATTCTCTATGCTTTGCACACTTCTTGAAACCTTGTTAAACAGTGTGTCTTTTTTCTCCATCTTTTTCTTTCAGCATTGACTGCCTTGTTCTGCAACAGTGAACACAGATTATAATACAGTTTTTATATAATTTGAAAGAACATTGTTTTACATTTAGATGTTCTTGAATCCAGTGGTGGCGCCAGGGGAGGGCTAGGGGGGCTACAGCCCCTCCGTTGGAAGCATGTAGCCCCCCCATCGGAGAAAATTTTAGGTTATTGTTGGAGCAAATCTGACAAAATAATGTACAAAAACTGCTTATTTTAGTCATTTTAGCCCCCCTGTCGGAAGCTCCAGCCCCTCTGACAGAAGATTTCTGGCGCCACCTCTGCTTGAATCTATATACATGGGCACAAATTTAAGACACAAATTTAGCAGTTAAAAAGAAAGTTAATGGCCAATGTGAAAAACCAAAGAAAAATGCTTTATTTGAAACATGCTCAACTAAACAATTCTTTTGCTACGCATTTGTATCTTGGTATGAAGCTTGCTCACGTTCAAAAATTTCAAACTCTAGTGAGACTGTTGGATAAAATGGATTCATACTATATCCATGATATACTAAGAAGAAAACAGGCCTTTCGGTATTCCTACAATTTTCCACATTGTTAACATTCGTATGCATTGTATTATCGCTTTCTATTCTATTCCGTAGTTTCCATTCCAGTAAACACAAAACTTTAGGAATTAACAACGTTCATAAAATTAAAAATAGAACCCTTAGGGTATACAATGTCAATAAAGTTTATTATCGGCGTATTGCGGTGTTTCATATTTGCTACGTGTATTGTTTACTCTGTTTATTTACTGTATATGGGTTCGATTCCCTCGTTCGAAACGACGAAAAAAATTGACATGTATACCCTAAATCAGTAAAGGCTGTAAATATACATAAACAATACACACTGCTTTTTCATCAGCACAGTAATGTAAATTTACATAAATTCACCCACATAAATCCCTTGTGCCTGTTAGTAACTCATCAACGATTCCTTTTATAACTGACCATTTACTTGTTCTTAACAACAATCGTAAAAAGAATTCAGAAAGAATTTGTTGTTCTTGCTGCAAGTATTACGTTTCCAACTCATCACGAGGCTTAACTATAATGGTTGCTGTTTTAGGTTCGATGTAGCCTGTCAATAACGGGAAGTAGATTGATGGAAAAAGAATTGTAATCAAAATCATCAAGTGGTACTTAAAGCTAAGCAGCATGGTATTTATTCACTCTGGCCTTTTTTTTCTGAGCCACATTTAAAAGCCTTTAGGAAGCTGGGACACTTTTTGCAGAAGAAGCTGCTGGGGGTTTTCCAGTCCTTCAGGCATGTTTTGTAATTGCAAAAATGCTTCAGCTGAAGGGGAATAGTTTCCAATTTGCAAAGAAGCCAAGGTCCTCATATGTAGGAATAATAGTTAGCCAGTTAGGCAGCTTCACATAAAATCTTCGCGCTTGCATTACCAAATTGCTACAATCTCATTTTAATTCCTCCGCTTAAAACTTTAATTAAAATCGAAAACATTAAAGTAAAGAAATTAAGTACAATATTGAAGATAAGAAATTAAACAATATATTGAGAATGCAAAAAATGCAAAAAACTTATTAGATTCAGAGTATAAAAGCACACTGAAAGAAAAGAAATATATTTGTCTAAATAATAAATAATTGATAATAATAAAATTTGACTAAATAATTGACTAAATATATTTTTTGAACACATTTAGGGAAGATGCTTGTTAAGTTTTGGCAGGAAGGTCATTCCACATTCCACATTATACATTAAAGGATGTTATATTTTTAAAGCATGCACATCCACTGATGACCAAACTGCAATGTTTGGGTATGCTTGGGGAAGCATTCCCCATGCAATAATTTTTCCCTCAAATTCCATCACAGCATTTTCATCAAAGTCAGATTAATCCATGCAGTTGCATCACAGATCTTTATGCGAATCACGCACACATCCTCAACAAATGCTTATAAATGCTATTTAAAAAATCCTAAGCTTTAACCTGCTATTTTGTAACTTGGTTTGTTCAATGCAAGCACAAGAGGCAGAAAATGATTCCCTGTACAGAAAAGTACTTTGCAGTCTTGACTAATGATACCTGTGATTGCAAATCAAATGTAAGCCAGTAAAATTTTGTTCTAGTAAAGTATTGTATCTCAAACAATGCAGGATAGCTAGCAAGAAGTTTAATAACAAGGAGATACTATAATACCTTTTTTGGATTTCAGCATGGTGTATTGAAAGTAAAGACGACAGCTGAACAGGAAGCAGAGAGAAAAAAGGAAAGAGCAGAGAAAGCTGAAAAATTTAAGACTCTAACTGAGGAAATTTTTAATAAGGTGGAATTACTTATCCATAACTATCCAAATGGCATAGTTTTTTTATAAACTGACTTTTTGATTTGGCATAAAAAAAGATGGAATGAGAATTAGTAGATATGTTTTTGGATAAAATATCAGATGGAAACTTCTCAACATTTACCTTGAGAGAAAAACAAACTTGTTTATTTGCATAACATGACATTCATTGTTTTGAAGTTTCGAATTTTGGAATTAATTTATCATCTATTATTTTTTTCAGTCAAATTCAAACATTTAACAATGCCAACATGTCAGGGTATTTTTTCCTTAATAGAGAAAAAATGAAGAGCTTGATGATGAACTTTTGAAGCTTACAGAAAAACTCCTTGGTTCAAATCCAGACTTCTCTACCATGTGGAACATAAGGAAAGAAATATTTCTAAAAATTAAGCAGCAGAGGTTTGTTGTGCAACATTTTGGTAACAGCTCTGCTGTACAGACTGAATTTAGTTGAACTTAACTGGATAATAGGGACAAATAATTTAGATACCATAGAACGCTTGATTCTTCCCATCCAAAAGTTAGTTGTTGGTAAGATGAATCAGAGCAACTTTTCCTATGATTAACACATTAATACTGTATCTTTTTTTAAATGATGTTTATAAACTTTTATCAAGAAAATTTTGAGGGTTTGGAGTATGATCCCTGTCAGAAGCTGTTAATAAGATCATAAATTCTCCATCTGCTACATAGGCCATCCAGGTTTTCCTCATGATTTAAATGAAAACATTTTGCAACCAACACAAAGAACTTAAGATGCACAAGAAAATGCTGATGAGTAGTTTTAAATGATAGCTTATAAACAAAGGAAGGGGATTTGTTTAAAGACTAGTTGTTATTGTGTTTGCATATATCTTGTTTTTTTCTTGTCAGGTCTGATGATGAAATGAATGAATTATTTCTTCATGAACTTAAATTCTTGCAAAGCTGCTTGCATGTTAATCCAAAATCATATGGTGTTTGGGAACACAGAAGGTTTGCACTACAAAATATGCCTAGTCCAGACTGGAAGAGAGACTTGATGTTATGCAATAAGTTTTTGTCAATGGATTCTAGAAACTGTAAGTGGCCAATTTTTGTACACCTGGAAACACAAAATCATAGGTTTTTGAGAAAAAGCAAAGTGATATGTCAGAGAAAGATTGCTTGGGGTGTTGTGTAGATCATATAGGTATTTTTTCTTGACACTGTCTAGCCTAAGATTTCCTATATACATTAAACAGATGTCCAGTTTAAGAACACTTCTGGCAGATCATTTTTTGCTTGATTTGGCAAATAGGAAAAGCTTAGATCAAATACTATGCAAATGCAAATTTAAGTTGCTGTTCAGCTTCTTCAGTTTGGTTTTTCCTTAGCTTTTCAAACGTGGAACTCTTAATTTAGTGCTTTCAGTTTTGTCTCTCTTGGAAACCACTGCTTACTTGCATTTCAGAGTAACTGTTTTAGCTTTCTGAACCATTATTGCTATCTATACTGAGTCTTTTCACAAGTTCCTTGCCTCAATAAGGGCTCCTTCCATTTTTGAAATTTTTTCTTTGTTGATGTGTTTGCTATAAGAAGACACCTGTTAATAATAACATTTTACTGTATTAACCTGTTAAACATGATTTTTTCATAATTTCTTGACTAATGTTATCAACTTTTTGTTTCATTTCAAGTTCACTGCTGGGATTACCGTCGCTTTGTTGTCAAAAATGCTAATGTATCAAGCAAAGAAGAATTTGATTTTACTACCAAAAAGATTTCTGAAAATTTTTCAAATTATTCTGCTTGGCACAACAGAGCAAAGTTGCTGCCACTTGTTCACCCTGATCCACAATGTAAGGGAAAAGTTGAAGAGACTGCTTTGTTGAGGGGTATGTTAAGAATTGTTTTTGTAATGATTTGTGTTTACTTGTAATTTTATGTTTGCTTAGTCACATGTTCAGTTGTGATGTTATCATATAGAAGTCATTTCTCTGACCTATGATCAGTTAACATTGATATAGGAAACAACTCCAAGGAAAGATTTTCTGCTCTTTTCAATTGTCTTTTCAGTGCTTTGAAATGCATCCTGGCATGTATTTTCCATGTGATTTTTTCTAATTGATAGGTTTGCACCTGTCATATGTATTTAAAAATTATTACCTCTGTTTCTACTTACTGATTCAATCCAATTGAAATTAGACTGTGATTGTTTGCATAATAAATGTCTCCAGTAAAATAATCTTTATCATAGATCACTTATGCTGAGACTAAAAAATTGCTTGGATCATTGCAGTTTTCTAGATTTTCAGAGCGATGCAAGTGTGTCTTTAATCTAATTTTTTTAACAGTTTGTACAGACAAGCTGATATTAAAATATACTTTATGACAATTATTTAATGTCCCTTTTTCATAAGCAATTGATAACTATTGAAAACGTCCGAATTAAAATTACCTTATTTAGAATTTGGACTTGTCCAAAATGCTTTCTTCACTGACCCAAACGATCAAAGTGCTTGGTTTTATCAAAGATGGCTCCTTGGAAGAGGTATGTTAAGGCAGGATTTTTAAATTGTCATCTATCTTGTTCTCAACAGAAAGTTTTTAAAAAGTTTAAGATATTGGAATATTTTAGCATAAAGAAAGTACCAATAATCAATAGTAATAACATCTGGCTAATTCTTTATATTTACATTCAGTATTTCGCTTTTTAATTTATAATCCACTTTTACATTCAGTATTTCATTTTTTTAATTCATATTGCCTTAGTTTTTGTCCATATCGGTTAATCAGTTCAAAACTGCTATCTATTGAAAGTGAACACTTTGTCACTGATTGTCTTTGCTCAAACAGAAGTTAGCTTTTCAACAATTTCACCAATTTCATCATCCTATTAAAATATTAACTCTTGTCAAACAAAATAGGATTTATCTGTCGTGTTGATCTTTACAACCTTTCTTTTGCAGAGGAACAAAAGCTAGATATTTTGTACATAGGAATTAAAACAACAAGCGACGGTTTGAGGCTGGTTGTTAGTCTTTCAAAAAAAGTCCAAGTACGTGCTAAAGTTTATTTTTATGTATTTTTATCGATGTTGTTTTGA